TTTTCCACTCAGAGTCGATCAAAGCTCGAGCAGCACCGACACCCTCTTCGAGTAGCGTACAAATGACTGCAAGTTCAACATGCAACTGCTTGAACTGGAACCGCGCATTCCTAGCATTTTCATAGCACTTCAACGCCTCCGTCAGCTTACCGACATGCATGTAATGAGACATCTGCTTGTGAAGCTTTTGGTATTGGTCGACTGGTCTCGAGGGTGTCATGTGCTGCAGCGTTCGCTGATACCACGGTAACGGGTCCTGCGTGTACGGCATCAGGTTGACTTCCGCAAGTGGGAATGATCGCTGGTCATATCCGAGCACTTGTTGTGATGTGGCAGCTTGCCCATATTTCATCCGAGCTGCCTGCAGCATCTGCCAGAATCCCACTGGTGCTTCCTCAAGAGCGTGACGACGTTTGCGAAGCATCTCCAAGAACTCCTGCTCATTGATGTAGTTCGGCCAACGGCGCTCACGTGCGAACCGCACAAATTCATCAACCATTTCCTTATCACCCTTTTCCACGAATGCCTCCAGTATGTGCTTGTAAAGGATTTTATCGGGAACCATTTGGAACTTTTCGATGTAACGATAGACAAAGTCGCGAATTTCATCACCCGAATGCGATACCCAGTATTCAAGGAAGATACGGTCAAATATCGGCGTAAAGTCGTACTTCCTCGAAGTCAACTTGAGCTCATGCATCTGCTGTAGCCCAGCGTCCACGCCCTCCCAGTCACAGGCCAAAGCCCTGCCAAATACCAAAAGACCTTTTGTTCGGCAACGAAGGGGAATGCCGTACTTAGTCGTCATGTCTTTGACCAGAGCTTCTGCATCAGCCAGCCGACCAAATTCCACGTATGCTTTGATCACGGGGTTGAAGAGCTTGTCGGTGGGTTCCTTTCCCAAGCGAGGAAGTATTGTCAAAATTTTCTTCAGTTGCCCGTTCAGAAGCTCGATACTCCTTGTCTTTTTCCAAAGCCCTGCAAGATAGGCGCCGCATAGGCCGCAGCCACGATCAACCTCGAGATTCCTAAGAAGAAACCATTTCGCTGTGGTAAGTCGATGAGACTCTAGCAGGCATCGGAGCACGATATCAACCATTTCCGGGGGAACTCTGAATTTGTGCATGTATCGAGTGAATATAGTGGCGACGGATTCGATGCTCCCCTTTCTCGCTAGCGCGAACATCAAAACTTTCCACATGCCAGGAGACACCTTATCCACGTCTTCTAGGCGTTCGAAGATGTTCCTCGCAACCATGACGTTCTCTTCCTTGCAATTGGCATAGAATGTCTTGACCGTAACTTCCCGTCTATCTGTAGATATGCCACTCACCGTCGCAGGGTGAGCGTCCAAAAACAAGTGGGCAGCATCGATAGGCCGACCGTGGTCGAGAAACTTTTGCATTTCTTCTGTGACTGAATCATGCCATTGAGCTGCATCATCTGTTTGCTTCTCATGATCTTCGACTGTTCTTTGGTTCGCATGTGCAAGGGCGGATTTTGCTCGGTCCAGTGCATCGGTCGACCGTGTTAGGTTCGGAGGGAGATCGGGAGCTGAGGTCGATTTCGCTGGTACTTGTCCGGGAGTAAAGGAGTCAATCAACTTTGAGCGTGTAATATCCATGTAAGACTCAGCAGGGGCGGCAGGTTGTTGGTCTTGCAGCTGAACATCCCAGCTCAAGTCGTTACCATGAACTTCTCCCCTAGCCGGGACAGCTTGCGCCTCTCTGAACTTCCGGTCTTGCTCCTTGAGAGATTCCAGGCCCATAAACTCTCCCGCCTCAGCCGCCTCCATCATACGTGCCAGTCTCCTTGCTGCAGACGTCGCATCGTAGTTCGGCGCTGAGGTTTGCAGGGCCCGCTTGTTCTCGACAATTCGCTCCGCGACGCGCACCCGACGGTGGACGTCGTAGGTAATAGCTGCAACCGTACAGAAGCTTCCCACAGTTGATCCTGCAAGAGCTAAACGACGGAGCACTCGTAGGGCATTTCGTGAGGGCACAGCTGGTGTGCCGTTGGTGGGTTTGGAGACCATGGTGGTTAACCTTGTGCACCGCTGACAGCGGGCTGGGTCGAATCACCACTAAATCATTAAGTGAAAAAGAAGGCTACGAGGATTCAATGACAGAGGAACCGTCAGGAACCCCGCGCCGGCCGGTCAATTGGGTCAATTGGAGTTCTATGATGGAGTAGGAGGGACTCGGAGCTCGTCGGTCGGAAAGTTTGCACCAGCTTGGTCGAATTGGTCGCTACCGCCCGCCGTACCGCATCCGGTCTTTTCCCGGTGTGCCCACTCGTCTTACTAACATTCTTTACCCGCCCTTTTTCCGACTCAACTACTACTACTAATATTCGGTGCTGTGAACAACACTACAATGGTTCTTTTACGGAATTCTATCGAAGGTATCACTTGGTACCAAATTAAATCCAATATATAGTCTAACAATTCGATACGCCAATTGTGACGAAGATCAGTCTAACCGTGACCCATATTAGCGGTCGCATGCAGTATAGTAACTGCTCGGCTCCACTTCTAGCATCACTAGAGAATAGAATCCGCCACAAAGCCTTCTTCATTAGCCTCACCTCGAGGACTACTTGGGTAAGACTCGTCAAGAGTAACTGCCAAACACCGACTCGTTAGCAGACATTCCTAGACAATGAGAAAGGAGGGTCACCTACCATGTGGTTTAATGTAAAAACTGCTACAGAAGGTGAGCAAGAACAAGGCCCCCAGAACAACAAATACCGCTGGAGTGAACTTTCCAACCGTCAGGCTGTAAAGGAGACTGCAAGCGGTTGGCGCAATCACTCGAGCCAGCGCATGCAAGAGTCCTTTCGCACCAAGGATCTGACCTAACCGTTCCCGAGGGACATGTTTCGTGAGAGATGATTGCATTGTCGGTATCCCCATGCCGCCAAGCGCTGTGACTATTCCCGAGAATACCATGAAGGAACCCTGATTTGACATTGCATATCCCACATAGCCAGCCATGTCTAATAAGAGAGAAAGTCGTATAAGAACAACTTCGCAGGTGCTGGACCCGGGAACGATGTGATCTGGTTTGTGTGGTTCACGGAAGATTGCGGTGATAATCGGATATACAACAAAGAGGTTCACGACTCGGGCGATGCTGATAATTGATATGAAGAGGCTTGATTCCACATTGCCCCAGTCGAATTTGTACTCGGCATAAATAATGACCACTTGAGCGGTTCCCAATGCGACCCCAAATGCAATAGTATCTATCGCTGTAAGAAGAATAATATTTCTGCGCAAGGCCGGACTCGCGCCGTGACGATTAGGGAAAAGCGTGCTGGGACGTCCTACTGGCGGTAGCAAAACAGATAAAGGTGTAATTAGCCTTTTGGGGTTGAGGTTCTCCAGACTCAGCCAGCCTGCCTCCCCTTCGTCGATGACTTTTCTTCGATGATTGTCTCGCGCTTGCTGCTGACGTTCTGTTGATAATGATTCCGGGATAATGGTCATAAGCGCAATGAGGTAGAGCGCATGCATGGCCAATGAGGCCTCAAAGGTACTCAGTGCCTGGCCTGATTGCTTGATCAAGATAGCCGCCAGCAGAGGCCCGGCTGCAACTCCGGCGAAAAGAGAGCCGTACACATACCCGAATCCCGCACTCCGCTTCGATGGGATGGTGCAGTCGGAGGCATACGACATTGTCAGCGCCATGATGGTGGTGAAAGAACCACAGACGCCATCGACGATGGCAGCCACTAGAAGCACATTCACAGATACAAGGTCTGGCTTGGCTGCGACAAAGACAAAGATAGCTTCCGCCAAAACGGTCCCCAATGCGCTAAGGGCCAGTATCTTTGTCCTACCGTAGCGATCTGATAGGTGACCCAGTCGGGGGCATGCTAGCGCAGATAGTATCCCGGCCAGGAGATTGAAATACAACTGGAACTGAGCAAGTAATGACTGAACTTCGGGTGTCTGACACTGCGAATTCTTATTCCCAATGATGACAGGCAAATACGTGAAACCTGGATCCTGGGTCGCTTTTCTGGCCATATAGTCTCTGCAAATGAGAGACATCATCAGGTTAATCTTGGGCACTGCAGTGCCGCCGAATCCTAGCATATAAATGACAAGAAATGGAAGAATCCAAAGGACCTGTTGCATGTCAGAAGTCGCGGGGCCGAATGTTGTCCATCGAAGATGGAGGCACTCACGCTTGGCCTTCTCCATGTCTGCCAAAGACCTTTTTGATCGGTGGGAGCATCATCTCGTGGGCCGGCCCGATAATCAGGCTCCGGTTGGGATTCTTCGTTGTCTTGTTGCAATAATGGGGTTCGCTCATGGGTGTCTTCCCAAGTCTCAATTCCAGCATCAATTGGCGCAGGGGCGTCCAGACCGGCTTGCAGTCCCGAACCAACCTCGGCATGCGCAGCAGGCGGTGCGTCGCCCCTGATTGTGGACATTGCGCGAACCATTTCGCACCAGGAGCAGGAATAATGGGTATAGCAGATAGAACTGTTGCCTACATTTGCTTGCTCCGGAGTTGGAACAAAATAACACTTGGGGTGGGCTCAGAACATTTAAGAACCGGGCGGGGGGAGCGAAGGGAGCCGGCAAGGAAGGACTAAGATGAAAGATGGACAATCCGTTTGTTGGTTAAACTCCGAGCAGGTCGCTTATCAATCGGCATGAAACAAATGACAGGTCAGCAAGTGTTAGACTGGACAAATGCCAGCGCAGTGTTGTATCTCTACTAGTTAGATAGTGGTGACGTGATTCTAGAAATTCAGACTAGGATAGCCATGACTGGTGTGTGGATGTAGAAGTTGTTTCACGGTTCATCAAGCATGCAGTCTCAGAAGCAAGGCAAGCCAGCTCGGCGATAACGCTCTGGACTCCCCGCCGCCTCGGGCCACTTACATCACTCCACGCTGTCGACCAGGGGGTTCGAAGTGTCCCCCATTCCCAGTTCTAGAATGTCTCGAGAGGCAGCTGCCAGGAGTCAAACACATACACACACATAAGATACTCTGGTAAGTGGTCAGTGACCCTGCTGCTGTCTGCTTTTGGGATGCACCCTATCGCAGCCCGCCAAAATAACTTGAGGGAGACACTTCGCCCACGTGAGGAATTTGCCGAAATCGTAAACCGGAATACATTGTAGCTTGTTGCTTGTATAGACACACTCAGACTATCGTACACAAAACGCCTTCACATACACACATCAAACGACAAACCCCCTGACAAAGAAATGAAAACTTTAGTTCCTAGCAATCTATACTACCAAAGATGCTCCCTCTTCACCGGCGAAGAACTTCTTTTGCTCCAAGCACCTCTCACTCCGGCAGCCTTGACAACGCAGCGTCATTTGGAGCGAGCATTTCTCACCCTTGCGCAAGTGCTCTTGAGCAAGGTCTGCAAGGGCCTGGATGAATACGGGGCTGCCGTTCAGACTTTCGGCCCGCTTGACACCCGGGGAATTCGCCTCTTCCATGACTTCGAGATCCAGCTCATACAGGGTCTCAATGTGGTCGCTGGTGAAGGCGATCGGTACGAGGACAATGTCGGTCTGTCCACGCTTCACGTACTCTTGGACGGTATCGCTTGTCTGCGCTCCCAGCCAAGCCCTTGGTCCGACCTGAGACTGCCAGCAGAGGCGGTAAGGGTTGCTAAAATTGAGCCTTTGCATCACCGCATGCACTGTTGCCGCAACCTCGGCCGGGTATGGATCACCTAAAGGAGAAGTTGTCGGTTAGCTACCGGGAGTTGGTCACCAAGACCCTTGAGACTCACCTCTGTTCACAACACTCATGGGCAAACTGTGGGCCGAGAACAAGAGAACCACTCCATTTCTCTTATCTTCCGGATAGGTTTTGAGTTGATCCTCAATGTTTCTCGCAAACGCCTCCACAAGGCCAGGGTGCGTAGGCCATCTGTCGATAACGCTCCACTGGATAGCTCCGGAAGTGTCCACGTTTCCGTTTGCTCGCTTGCCCTCCAGCCGATTCCTCCATTTCCACAGCTCATTCAGAGAGCTACCCGTAGTAGAACAGGAATACTGGGGGTATTGTGAGAACGCGACCGCACGACCGCCCTTCCCATTGCCAAAGCCATCTTCCAGCAATTGTGTGTACATTTGTTCCGTCAGCGGGTTGGCGTAACGGAAGGCAACGTACGGCTTGTGAGGCGCAGTCTCCGGGTTGATCTTGTCCAGCAGCTTGCACATTTCCTTGCATTGGTATTCCGACCATTTTCTTATGGGTGAGCCTCCGCCGATGTCCGCATACTGCTTTTGAATCTTGGGTGTGCGTCGTTTCGAAATAAGAGGCCCGAGGTAATGCTGGAACTTGCCAAGAGGAATCAAATCGCCGTCGGCCTTGAATAGAAGTAGAATGTTAGAAACGTAGCAACCAGAATGACAGCTTGCCATAGTCGGAGACGTACAAAGAGCCGGCTGAGGAAATCCTCTACTTCGTCTGTCGTCGAGGGCCCTCCCATGTTCAGGAAGACCATGGCTGTAGGGCCCTTAGAGCCTGTTGCATCCTGGGTAACCGGAGGCACTGTTGTTGCCAGCCCACATCTTTGTTCTTGCTTGTATCCGAACAGGGTGCGAGAAGCCGGTCGCAGCAATTGCCGGGGCAGGGTAAACGGGCGGCGGAGAGCCATGACAGGTAATTGTACTGAATTCGGTTGACCTAGTCAATGGAGGTAATAAGAAAAGACCGTTCGTATCGCGCAAGCAGATGAACTATTCACGCCGCATTAAATATTCAAAAGATGGACGAGTGGCAAGAACAGGTAGTGGGTGTATACAACAGCGCAAGGCCTTCTGGAAGCTGAAAAGTCCAGAACGGCTTGATGACGGAGCACCGAGACCACGACCAACTCCGACTCCCGACAGCCAATGACCGGCCAGCTAGCGTCATCAATTACCGGGCGGACATCACATGATGTTCGTGTCTCCCCGCGTCTTTCTGCCCACCGGTTTGATCGCGTCCCTCGCGACCGGATCCAGTGACGATATAGATAGATCTATCTCCGGCTGCAGGCAGCAGAGGCCAAACAGGCAGACACAACAGCCCCACTTGTTCCTGGTTACGATTCAAGTTGTCTTAACCTTTATACTTCCCTCTTTCAATTTCGATAATATCTTGAATGCTTTAAACGATTCCACAACATTCTACTATGGCGGACGGCAACCCACATCGGGAAGATGAGGCGGCCGAGGAAGAAGAGGAGATTGATGAGACTGTACGCAAATTTACCCATGAACTTGGACTGGAACTCTGGAACTGACAATAAGATCAGAGCTACAAACCAGTCAAAGATGCGGTCCTCTTCGCAATCGATGTCAGCGATTCCATGTTGACGCCTCGCCCCTCAGCAGATCCTAAGAAACACACCCAAGAATCACCCACCACGGCAGCGCTCAAATGCGCCTATCACTTCATGCAACAACGAATCATATCAAATCCACAAGACATGATGGGTGTTTTGCTGTTCGGGACCCAGGCGTCCAAGTTCTTTGAAGAAGATGAAGACAGTCGGGGAGACCTGTCCTACCCCAACTGCTACCTCTTCACTGATCTGGATGTTCCTTCGGCTCATGAGGTCAAAGGACTTCGAGCACTGGTAGATGATGAAGGAGACTCAAGGGAGGTTCTATCTCCAGCGAAAGAGCAGGTCTCTATGGCAAACGTCCTATTTTGCGCCAACCAGATATTCACATCCAGAGCGCCAAATTTCCTCTCCCGGCGTTTGTTCATCATAACCGACAATGACAACCCCCATGGTGATGATAAAACCCTGCGGTCAGCGGCGACTGTACGTGCTAAGGATCTTTACGATCTTGGTGTCACAATTGAGCTGTTTCCGATCTCACGCCCTGAGCATGAGTTCAAGAACAGCAAGTTCTATGACGTAAGCTATCATACTCTATAGCAAAGTGGCAGGGGTCGATACTCACTACAGATACAAAGGATATTATCTACAAGTCATTGCCCAGCGATCCAGAGGCGCCTGCATATCTACAATCTGATTCAAAAGCGGCGACTGCGACCGGGGACGGGATTTCACTCCTCAACACGCTTCTGTCCAGTATTAATTCGAGAACGGTTCCGCGTCGCACTCATTTTTCGAACATGCCTTTAGAACTTGGCCCAGACTTCAGAATTTCGGTATCGGGCTATATACTCTTACGAAGGCAAGCGCCCGCTAGAAACTCCTTCATCTGGCTGAACGGCGAGAAGCCTGTGGTCGCGAAAGGAGTGACTTCCCACTCCGCAGATGATACTGGCCGGACTGTCGAGAAATGGGAGATCAGAAAGGCATATAAGTTCGGTGGCGACCAAGTAACCTTTTCGCCTGATGAGCAGAAGGCGCTTAGGGATTTCGGTGAGCCAGTAATCCGGGTTATTGGGTTCAAGCCTATCACTGCGCTTCCATTCTGGGCAAACGTCAAGCACCCATATTTTATCTATCCATCCGAGGAAGACTATGTAGGCTCCTCGCGAGTATTTTCCGCATTGCATCAGACTCTTTTGCGTTCCAAGAAGATGGCACTCGTCTGGTTCATTGCACGCAAGGGTGCTGGCCCCGTTCTCGCCGCTATGATCGCAGGCGAAGAAAAGCTTGATGAGAATGGCGTACAAAAATACCCTCCTGGCATGTGGATTCTTCCCCTCCCCTTCGCAGACGATATCCGGCAGAACCCCGAAACAACGTTGAATGTCGCCCCGGAGTCATTGATTGATCAGATGCGCGTGATCGTCCAGCAACTGCAGCTGCCGAAGGGAGTGTACGAGCCTCTCAAATACCCCAATCCATGTAAGTCACTTCTGTCTTGCATTGCTCGTATACGATGAACGAGAAGCTGACAGCCCGTGATCAGCCCTTCAATGGCATTACCGCATCCTACAAGCTCTCGCATTAGACGAAGATCTCCCCGAAAAACCAGAAGACAAAACCATTCCGAAATACCGCCAAATCGACAAGGTAAATCCACCACACCCAACACGAGAAATAACCCTCCAGGCGTCCAACTTACTGACAATTGCACCACAGCGCGCCGGTGACTACGTATTATCCTGGGCCGACGAACTCGAAAAGCAATACGCCAAAACCTCAGCAGCGGCCCCTCGCCCAACCAGCACCCTCGTGAAACGAGGATCAAAAGACCGAGCAAGCGAAACCGAGGACTCCAAGCCATCGAAAAAGATCAAGGTTGAGGAAGACTCTGGAAGCCTAGAGGAGGAAGTCCGCAGGCATCACAAGAAGGGAACGCTATCCAAGGTAAGCCACCACAGGCTTTCTACACGTCCTCGTGATGGCAAATATGACATCGTATTAACCGGCGGTTTTCTAGCTTACGGTCGCTATCCTCAAGGACTTCTTGACTTCCAATGGACGCTCAAATGCCGGTAAGAAGGCGGATCTTATTGAGCGGGTAGAGGAGTTCTTGGAGCAGTGACATGGCGGGATTGTTGGATTCGCTAGTGCGCTTCTGTTGGTGGATGTCGTTATGTGGTGTCTTATCTCGGGTTAGGCGTTCGTGACCTGAGGACATGAGCTTGTAATTAATGATGGGTTGGATGTCGCGGTATTCGTTCTTCAGCGAAACGTAATGGACACGTATTTTAGGCGATGTACAGTTATAAAAAATCGAATTCGCTGGGCTAGCCGGACATGTCAAAACGAAGAGCATTAGGAGAGACATATCAGGTCCAAGTGCTATCTTTCAAACCAGTCGCTTAAGATCACCGAGGCATTTATCTCCAGAAAATTCACCGGTTCAGCAGGTGCGCGTATCCCGAATTCAAATTAATATTGGAACGATCGTAAATAACCACCCAGATTCGCCGTAAACGATAGTAGTCAGGCTTTGCCGCCGACAGAAGGGGACGAGTATGTCAACTGAGTCAACTTGAACCGAGCAGTCCCTGTAAACAACGCCACGCTGTTTGTAATATCCCTTTAGAAACGTATTGTCGCTGGCAATTATCCACAAAAAATGAGTCTAAACGGGCGAAAAAAGTCACCCGAATGGGAGAATATGTGGAAAGAAGAAAGAAAGAGAGACCAAAGCAAGAGAGCGCCGAAAGGAAGCTATCGTAATATATACAAGTAGAAGCCGTGGGTATTTTTATAAAAAGCAGAAACGTTAACGGTATGCGTACAATGATCAACATTGTCCATAAACTTGACAGTAGCAGACTTCTTCGTCGGGACAGCTGAGAGTAGCAAAGTGTTAGTATTTAGGACGCATTCAGCAGGTAGGGGGGGAGGGGTGCAAAGGCAACATACTATATTGATTCTTTGCCGAATATGACATGCCAGAGAAATTCCATGACACGGCCACTACTGGCGTCATCCTTGTCGGTATCGATTATCCACTGGCGGATCTTGATGTAGTCCTCTCGTGGTCGTCGGTGGACCTGCTCCCGGGACACGGCGAATTGCGCACAGCACGCCGCGCCAATCTGTTTCGGCATTTGCAGGAACTTCTGGTATTTAGCTTCGTCGTATTCATCTTGCATCGTAAGGCCCCCGGTGGAGTTCAAAGGCGGGGTGCTGGTGCCCTCAAATATCTCTGCAAAGACTTCTTCCGTCACGTGCTGGTTGGTGCGATGGCCCTGCTTGCACCCCGGGTTCCAGTTGCAGCGGAGGTTGACATAGCCATTGTCTTGGACGAAGTTGAGACGCAGGGATTTCATCGCAATGACATTGTCGTGTAAGGGCGCATCTACATGCCAGGCCATCAGGAAACCCGAGCGATGGGAATGAAGGAAAGCAATAGTGGATGGTAGGGTGTCGTAGTGATCAATTAGGTAGGTGAGATAAGCCATGGACTCGTGACCCTTGTTCAGCGGGGTTGTGAGTATTGTGCCGTCAGCTGCGACCTTTTTGGAGGGATTCACGATGTATATGGCACGTTGCCAGCTGTGGAGGGAAGCTATTAGTGCGCCGAAACATTGGGTTGGGAAGGGGAGGACAAAAAAAACTCACTCTGGTAGCTCCTGCTCGACCCATTCAGTGTGCTCTTCCTGTAGCCTGGCCATCACAATCACTTTATCCCCTGGTGTGACAGGACGAGAGCCATTTAATGTGTTCATCGGCGGGCGCAAATCCAGCCAATTGATCAGATATGCGCCCGCGCGATACTGATCGCAAAGGTCCTCGAGGTGGATCTTCAAGAGATATAAGGGCAAGATGAGTGCTAGACTAGCACATAGTGCTATGCGAGCGCCCCATCTCATGATGAATGGCTAAAGGACGGTAGCTTCTGTGCACGGTACGGGACTGTTTCCAGAAGAATTGGTGAAAACGCCAACGAGGACCAATATCGAAAGGCCGTTATCGATGTAATGCAGGTTAAAATCTGTTCCTCTCTTCTGCAGGTGACGAAATCATAGGACTATGAAGGTGGATGTTGTCACAACACGGGTTGGTGTAAGGAATGACTTGAGTCGGGAAAGACCGAGAAAGATGAAAGACGGAGAGGATAGTTTCGAGCATTAAAAGGAGGGTCAATCCTATTAAGGAAGAATCCAAAAGAAGGAAAAGAGGAAAAATCGAAAAAGGAGGGTAGGTCTTGGAGGGGCTATATGTGAACCATATTGCGAGAAACAGAGGACGAGAGTAGGAAGAGAGAAGACGGACGAGAGGGGTCAAGGCGAGGTAATCAGGAAAGGAGACTGGAGGACCGTTGATTAACCTATTCGTCTGCCTACCAAGGCGGTAGGTGCAGTAGTAGGAGAAGTAGTCAAGGCACCAGGTACTTTTAGTGACTTTGGACTAAAATAGTCACTAAGACGAGTAAGTTAGTGGTGGAGGGGAAGGTCCATCGAATGCTTCCAATTCAAGCCCCCATCTGCCTCCGTCTGTTTCGCCCGCTCTCAGGCACTTCGAATCTTTCAATCCGTCCGTCTGTCTTTTTGGGTGGCGCGGCATGGGGGCAGTGGGGCGTAACCGGACCCCCCACTGGCTGGCCACGCGTTAAAATTGTTGCTATCGTTTGGCTCCCCAAAGATGAAGACTAAGGGGGAATGGAAGAGGCTGTCATAGGCTGTTGAGAGACGGAGGTCCCCTCAGACAATCGCAAACCTTAAGGGAACCACTTTCTTCCTTAGCGGGCCTTAGCGGGGAAGCTTGGCAGCCGCCAAGTTTAGCGTGTGAGCACGACATCTTTTGGGGATATTTGGGACCTACGATTACGAACTTACGGGTGATAGTCCTCCCTGTATCTCTCATGGTCTCTCAAAAGCTAACCCCTTGTTCCTTCTCTGGAATCTTACAGCCCATGAAAAACTCCTCCCCCCCTCGTATAAAGAGTTGAGATCACCGCCTTCCATGCCTCAACTTGGCTGTGCAAACCATGGACCATTGGTGGCGGTCAACCTTTGCCCCTTGACGGGATGACGTCGCGGCGGCCATTGCGCGTACGTGGGCACCACTAATATCTCTGGCCAATATGCCACGCAGCTGCGACGCTAATCGGCCATGGTTCGCATGTCACAGCCATCGTTCGAAACCAACGTTCTACGGTTGCCAAGTTTATCGGTTGAGTTGCCAAAACGTCACCCCGGATCGGCAACATTGTCTCGCACGTCCCGACATGGTGGATAAGAGAATGGCCATGAGACACTGAAACAGACATGCAACGGTGGGTAGGCGACACCACAAGAACCATGGCCCACTGTGTACCAATCTATATACGTGGACAGCTGGAGAATGGATATAATATTTGCCCGCCAAATAACAAGTGCCTCGGGGATTTATCCACTGATAAGAAAAGTCAGGCTCCATCCATTCGGATCTAATTTCTTTTTCCATTCAGCTTCATCTCGCCGCCCCGCCCATTTTGTGTCTTGACTCTTTTTCGGCTTGTCTGCCTCACATAATTTGTTGTTCTCGTGTCGCGGATTCTTTATCAGTTTATCTTTTGAGGTATACTAAGCAAGTACTTGGTACTTTTCCGGTTTCGGAGAATCCTAAAATAGCCTTAACAGTCAATGTGGCGCCCAGCAAGGCTTAGCAAAGCTGACCTTATAAGGAAAGAAAATGGCCCCCAGGATTACTAGTGGACATTATCAGTAGCCGAATCAGCAATTCAAGCAAGCAAAACCAGTGCGGGGAGGAGACCAAAGGATTACGACTATATTAGGAAGATATAGTTATCAGGCAATGCTACTTTAGTCAGTCCCATACCCAGGCCCAGCTGCCAGTATTGCGGTAGTACTGCTACGTATCAAACCTAAAGAGAATCAATCACCATTTTTCTAACCTAGATTACTCCACTAAAAACGACCTTGAAGGCTTTCTGAAAGTCCCTCTGTGCCGTGTTAGAAATGCTATTGAATTTCTTCTGTTCTTTCTAGGCACGCTTCAACCAACTCGAAAGAAAATCATACTCACCGAGAACTCTAGAAGCTATCGAAATGATTGGCCTAGATTGTTGGATCTATTGAACGATCATTCTATCTGTCACGGCGACGCAGATTTGTATTTCGCGAGTTTTTGAGCACTACGATACGAAGAGGGGGGTGCACTCACCAATATGGGTAATTTGAGCGAATATAACAAAAGTCAATATGAACATCATCTCTCTAGATATGAGAAGGTGCAGCTTCTTCGTGAAATATGCCAATGCATACTAAAGTCACCTGAGCTTGCTTGGATGCACAATCAGTGTGTACTGCTCCCATCAGTAGTATGTGTCCGGTTCTTTCTACTATATCCATACCTTAACCAAACCAAGAGAAACAACTCACGGTTGTGATACTATACTGCAGTATGCTTGACATAAACTCCACCAGCACTCTTGAACTCATTCTAATAAAAGCTTTACGCAAACCATTTTACCCACATGCACAGACTTATACCGCAATAGAAGAGGCGGAGCAAAATACCACTATGGTCCGGGGTAGAGGAATATTGTGATTAGTGAAATAGATCAGCTCCACTCGAAAGAGAGAGTGTGGATCCATACATATATCAAAGGGCTCACAAGCTGCGATGGCGGAGAAAACCCGTCGGACTCCTTCGGCTTCGCTGTGGACAAAGATAAGTATTACCATGGTTCATTACGTCGTTGCCTGGCTCGCTTCCCCAGAGAAGTGACCCTTCGCTTTTCCCCAAATCTCATTCCAATAGAAGTGATTACGGTATTTTACTACTTCTGATCAGCCAAGGCTTATGACTTGAAGGTCTTTGCAGGATTTGTGTTGATATTACGGAATGGCTTGACCCACGTATTTTATATAGTGCGCGGCAGCGGAATAGTATGATCCTTGGGTTTTTAAGAGATCAACGTCGAAATCGCTAACAATAATATAAGATATCAAAGGTAGGTACTACTCTGGCACAAGACAGGTTATGTTTAGTTTCATTCTCTTCCCTTATTCTAGTTGTCTTATTTTATCAGCCTTCAAGTTCTTTTTCCTATCGCAAAATCCAAGGACTTGCATACTACTGAAAGAAATGGATAATGCAACTACTGCCTAGCACTGTGGTATATAGCAGAACTACATGGGCGCCGCTATATGAACTAATGCCCAAGTAAAGTTATATCCATGAAACAACATACTTTAGCGAAGGACCAGTAAATTTTTGAATCCCAGAATTGTTTTTGTGAAGCAGTTGTCCAAATGTCTTGGCAACCGAGTACAAAGGAGCAAGGGGCGCACAATAAGATTCAATGCTATCAAGTCGCACAACTCAGATGGATCAAAGTTTCGCTTGTTCTTTCTGGTCCTTTCGTTCATCTGACATCTAACCATTAAATCCTCAGTGCTGGTATTGAACAGCTCACCCTTTCTCGGTGAGAGAGTTTCTGGAATGATGCGTCATCCAATGTGGTTGACACGTGGTTCATCCCCTACGTGCGACATTGCAGGACCTGCAGATTGACAGATCGAGGTGACAATGGACACAGCATTTGAGCATTGGGGCTGTGCATCGAGTTGAAACTAAGTTTGTCGTTTGCTTTCCTTCTCTCAATTAGTCCTTTGTAAACATGTGCGAGAATTACCAGTGAGTATTCTGTGTAGGGTCCCAATCACATGACCATAAGTATTTCCCGATCGGCATCAGGTGACTGGAAGAAGAAGAAGAGGCATCCATGCAAACCTAGCAAACAGCCCGCCTCACCAGCTGAAGACTACTTACTATCTTTAAGTAGTATTACCGAATCGGCAAAAGTGTGGTACGGGTACCTCTCCTTGTTGAATGTCGGGTACCGTGGGTGGGATGGTTTGGGGCACCGCCCGACTGGTTTAGCAGTGAGCGGGAATGTGATGGTGGTGGTGGTGATCATCGGGCAGGTCACACCCTCGCAACTTAAAATGGGTGTCGCTACGCGTGTGCGGGAGGGCTTACTTAGTTCTCTCCGGTAGTTGGTTAGGTTGCTTTTGTACTTTGTGGACATCTGAATAACCTTCAATGTGCTTGTCTGGTTCCAAGGGAAGCTAGCTGATGACAGACCCCTAGTCCGGTAGATCGTGACTTGTCCCATGTCCCTCTTCCGATATGGCGTCCTCTCTGGAGGATATGTATGGATGGAGAGTGTGGTGTCAAGCAAACAATCAATAAACGCCAGATCCCAAGATCGGCTCCCCCCTCCCAATCGGCCAGCATTGCCATTACGTATCCGATCAATTAATGCTTCAGGCACCATTTGTTTTGGCTCCTCTGCTGCCCACAATAATTCTGGGAATTATTTGCCGTTAGCCTTGAGGAAACCTTACCGTCCTGGTGCAGGCACAGCTGCGACTTACGAGTAGACTTAGCAGAGACAAGAGGAAGAGAGACAGAGCCAGAGCCAGGCATAACTAGAGGGGGGGGAAATCTGAGACTTGAGACAGACTATCTACTTGTTAGACGGTCGGTGCTGACCGGAGGGGAACCTGAGGCGAACGGTGCCCCGAATAATTTAATTCCCCTGCCGGGGTGGTGGGCTCCTTTTCTTTAGTGAGTTCCTTTCTGGTGGCTCCCCTCGTTCCTCACAATTACTGCTAACAGCCTAACTCACTCCGGGTACCCCAAGATTAGTAGTGAGTGAGTAGTGAGTTAGTGAGGTAGTTAGGCTAGTTAGTTGTTATTCTGGTTAGGGTGATTGACTCTTGTCCATCCGTCCCTCTCTTCCCTCTCCCTCCCTCCCTCTCTTTCCCCCGCCCAACGAACGAGTCGCCCTCGTCTCGTTGACCAACAACAACAACATCAACAACTGGCACTCGCTGCCTTGAATCACTCCCTCATTTTTCCCCTTCCCCCTCTCCCCTTCCACCACTTCAATCCCCCTTCCAATTGCCCTTTCCCTTTTTTCCTTGTGTCTACTTCCCCTTCGGACTTACCAACTTCTTACTTTGCCTTTCTCTTCTTTCCCTACTTACCCTTCCTTTCGCATTGAACCCTGGTCCTTCCTTTTCTTCTACCACGTCATTTCACTCTTAATAATCCCTACTTATCTTTTCTTGATCTTATCTATTGATTGTATAGTGTGGACGCTTCATTGCATCCGCCTGTACCCGTAATTTCCTGGATCCTTCCCTCCGTCCTTTGGTTCTTATTCTGCGCCCGCTTCTCGGCGACTCCCTTGTTTCGCCCGCACGCCGCTGCCTCGTCCCGAAGGCGCACATCTGGTCGCACACGCACAAGGTTACTCTGCGTTTGCTAGACAGGTACGCGTTTGTTGTCCGAAGCTTCCTTGGGAGCAGGTTTTCAGTCCCTTGCTCCAAAGTCTTTTCGTCACAAGCGAGGCGTAACCGCCACCTTCGGCTCCCGGTATCGTATTCCGCCGATCCCAAGTGTTTTTGTTGTCTTCTTCGGTCGGCAATCGACGCGGCCACCGCAGCGAATCATCAGCCAGCAACGCGCATCCCCTGTTGTTTGACGGTCGCGAACTCTTCCAGCCCCGAGGTGTTGCGAAGATCGGGTCGCAGGTCGGCTCACCGAATCGCCATTCGCATTGAAGAGAGGAACTAAGATTAAGCAAGCAGGCCGGCAACGAGATCGTCGCATAACCGGAGGATGACCGAAAATTAAAACGAGGAAACGAGAAAACGAAGCGACGAGTGTGCGGGCTATTGACGTTGGCTGTACCCTCACCCTACGGGATTAGGCACAGCCTGCTGTTCGATCAGCCGCAAGAGTGGCCGTCTCTTCAGGCCGCAGCACCAACGCCCCTATCGATGGTGGACGACGGACAACTGGCAACATGTCGACAATCGAAGACCCTTTCGTTTCCGCCTCCCAGGAGGGCGTCGTTCCTCGCGAGTCGCACCGGTACTCGTCCTTTGACACCCAGCTATACAGTCTAGATGCATCATCCCCGGCGCAGGCAAAACGAGCCCTCGAGGCGCATCTGGCCGAGACAGAGCGTCGGCTCGAGGAGGCGAGCAAGCTCGGTACTGCTCTCATTGAGCAGCAGAAGGAGCTCGAGGAGAAATTGAAGGAAGTCGAACAGCAGCAGGAGGCGGGCCAGATTGGGCCCGATCTTCGTCAAAAGCTCGCGGACTTGGAGAAAGAGTACAATGAAATCGGCCGGGAAACTGCGCGGGCATTCCTTGCTCCAAAACGCATGGCGGGCGGCGAGGATAGCCACTTGGGCACCCCGTACGAGCAAAAGGTAGGCCGAGGTTATTGTATTAACCGCTAAGCGTGCGCAGGTTGCTAATTATCCGTCGCAGTCACCAATCAGTCCCGCCCTGTTCGCTGGCCAAGCAACAAATTCTCCAAGTAAAGTGAGCGTACCGTCTCGCAAACAGCGAAACCAATCTTCGACCCGCGTCCATGACATCGAGTTCGCGACCGAGATTTCGACCTCCCTCCTGGCTCAAGTTCGCCAGTTACAAGCGTTGCTTGCTGAGCGCGAGGAGGCTTTGAAGATCCTCAACCTAGAAAAGTCAAGGCTTGAGTTGGAGGCAGAGGGGTACACCCAGCGTATCCGTGCACTGGACGAGAGCGAAGAGCGCTACAAGGACGAGAACTGGGCGTTGGAGACAAAAACCCATGAGCTGATGGCGGCAGTTAAGGAGGCAGCCGATCGAGAGAGTAGACTCAACAGCAACCTGGGCCTTCTAGCCTCCGAGAAGGGCTCCGTCGAACGAGAGCTTGAGGACTTGAAGCAAGTCAATGCGAAATTGATCGAAGATCATACGGCAGCGCAAAAAGCCAATGATTCCGAGATACATCTCCTGCGAAGGAACCTCAACGCTGGAGATGCCGAGAAGCTTGCTCTTCAGAAGAAGGTCGAGGAGCTGAATTCGCAGAACGAAGAACTCGCGAGAGCCGTGGCAATGCGCATTCGTCAACACGAAGCAGAATCCACTCGCGAGGTTTCCCGTGGCCATGAATCGGATGATCAAGACCAATCCACGCCGGAGAACTCCCCTCCCCCGTCGCCCAACAAGTTCACTCCTCGACACAACCATCTGGAAACCGAGACGTTGCGGAGTTCACTGGGCCATGCCCATCGGATGATCCAGAATCTCAAGAGCACTATCCATCGCGAGAAGACCGAAAAGATTGATCTCAAGCGTATGCTGCAAGAAGCTCGTGACGAGATAGAACAGCGTCGTCGCGAAGCTGCTGCCCCAACTAATCCGTCAAGCAAGCGCCAGAAGACCAAGGCTGAGGCCGCCAGAAAGGCTCCTCGGCCCGATTTGCTGGGTGCTGGACGGAAGAGGGCAGAAATCGAGATCCAGGATTCGGACTGGGAAGACAATGCTACCGAAGCCAGCCCGTCTCACAAGCCTTCCATGAAGTTGCACCAAGGTCGTGTAGGAGGACAATCGTCTGACGAACCTAGCGATGCGTACCAGACTGCTACCGAGGCTGACGACACTTTTGAGACGGCCAACGAACGAGAAACCGCGACCGAAAGCGAAGCTTTCCAGACCGGAATTGAAAGCATGGCTGACGATAGCACTGATACCGATGAGCTCACGGAAACCGAGGAGCGGCTGCAACGGACACCGCGCGGACGTGTGTCATCCTTGACACTGACGAAGGCCCGCGATAGGACCTCCTACCAGAGTACTGCGTCTACCTCAGGCGATGAAGACGAGGATTACGACGATGGCTTCCCGTCGCCTAGCCAAATGTCGTCGCCTAGATACCGGCTCAGGAAGAAGAGGAGCGTCATGAGGAAGATTCGTCCTTCAGGAGAAGCCCCGATGGCTTCCAATAGCCGACCGTCAAGTGCGCGAGAGTCCCCTGCGACGAGCTTCACCCAAGGCTTGCCATCCTCTGAAGGTCAGAGTCTGTTTATGGAGCTTGCGGAACTAGACGGAGAGGAAGATGAGGGTGCCTTTGGCCCCTCTATGCGATTCGCTACTGGCTCGCAGGCTTCCACCCCGCGCATGCTTCCCACCCCCGACTCTAGACGACCCTCGGAGGCTATACTCGACGCGGTCCCCAAGCCTGTGATGGTTGATTCTGGCGTGATGACTGACCCTTGGGTCCCCACAACTGTAGCAACAACTAGCCTCCAGGATACGAACGATGAGGCAGCTCGTGGTTTGCCTACAACACCCACGAAGACAGTCATGTCTGATGCCAGCACCGCAACCGAGGTAGAGGTACCGCCGCAATTGGCACACGCGGGGACACAATGGACTCCCATCGAGACGGAAGTGAAGGAGGAACAGACAGTTGTAAACGCTGAAGGTGTCAGACCGAACGGTCATCCAATGCCTGTTATGGAAACGGATGTTTCTGCAGTTTCTTTCCAAGAGACTGTTCCTGTGGCACCAAGGTTACCCGAATTCAGCACCTCATATGCTGTTGGGGTTACTACCGAGCCCGTTGCGTTTGCTGTTCCCGAACCGCCGGAGGTTACACTGTCATCTATTTGCTCAGAGTTGACTGAACCCGCTGATGCAAAACTCCCTGAGCCCGAGCCTGCATACGTGGCTGATATGACCGTCTCGGCGATTGAGTTCCAGTCTACACTGCCCGTCGCGCCAGCTCTTCCAGAGCCAGCGCCGCCAGTTCTGTTGTCCGAGCACGGCACCAATACCGAGATGCCCAAGGTGTCTGTGTCACCTATACTGTCGCAGCACACGGAGCCTGTTGAAGCCCTTCTGGAGCCCGAGGCGCCAACCCCCGAAGCCGCGGTAGCATACGTGGAGCAAGCAGAATGCCCGGAGATTGCTCTATCTTCCATTGTTGCTCAGCAGACACAGCCGGCAGCGGCTATCCCAGAACCGAAGGAAATCGCCCCTGTAGTCGTGGAGGAGCAAATGGTACCCAAGGTTGAGCTTGTGGTTTCTTCTATTTCTTCTCAACAGACAGAGCCTGTTGATGCCGTTGCACCCCAGCCAGCGCTCCCTAGCCTTGCCATCTCTTCTACGGCCTTCCAATGCACCGAGCCTATTCCAGCACAGGTGCCTGAACTGCCAGTCCCTCTGGTGTCACAGGTGTCACTGTCCAGTGTCAGCTCCGTGGAAACCCTGCCCGTCAAATCCACTCCCCCGCCACCTGCAATTCCCGTGCTCAACTTCCCCGACGAGAATGTGGCCCCCGAGTCCAACGAAAAGGCGCTTAATAGCAGCTCAATAATGGAGCCCCCTTCGCTCGTGGTTTCAGAAGATACTATCGACGATAGTCCAGTCAACAGTGCTGCCAACATCAAGTTGGATGACTCGCTCCCCTTGAGTGCCATTTCCGGGAACGCTGTCCCACGTCACGCCCGGAAGCATTCGTCCTCCAGCCGAGCAGACCAGGGTGCCCAGACGATTCTGTCGTCGAAGCAAATCGATCAGATTCTGATGGATCGTATTGTCGCGCGGCCATTGTCTCCTCCAGACAGCGACAAGGCCAAGGAACAGAACTCCTCTCCCTTTGCCACTCCGAAGGCAAGGACTCGGCCGACTCACCAACCTTCCGCAACATCTCTCCCGTCCCACAAGAGGCCTGGAAGTGCCGTTAGCCAGACTTCTAGTATCCAGAGCCATCCTCCTTTGCCCATGGATCATAGAGAAGCCATCATGGCAGCCGAGAAGAGATCGTTGGATCAACGCCCCTCTTCTCCAAGCTTGATGGGCCCGCCTCTTGCCCCGGCGTCTGCCTACAGGACGAACGTAGCTCAGCGTCCACGGACTCCCAACGACTCCAACCTTCAGGTTGGAACCGCAACAACAACGTCACGGATGAAGATGAGACGCGAGAGCCATGTGTCGCGGAGATCGTCAGTGTCATCCTTCGCTTCTGAGATTGAAGAACGGTTCAACGGGCATCCGAACCCAGCTCTTGGCCCTCAAGGTTATGCTGCTGGTACAGATCCACGAATGATTCAGGCAATCACACAGACTATGATTGGAGAGTTCTTGTGGAAATACACCCGCAAGACCGTGTCCGGGGAAATCTCCAACTCGAGGCATCGTCGGTACTTCTGGCTCCACCCGTACACCCGTACGTTGTACTGGAGCGAGCAAGATCCGCAAAGTGCTGGCAAGAGCGAGCTCCGCACAAAGAGTGTTCTGATTGAGGCTGTCAGAGTTGTTCCAGATGACAATCCTTACCCTCCCGGCCTTCACTGCAAGAGTCTTGAAGTAGTTAGCCCGGGCCGCCGAATCAGGTTCACTGCGACTACTAGTCAGAGACACGAGACTTGGTTCAATGCTCTCTCATATCTGTTGTTGCGCAACTCGACGGAAAACGGTGAAGAGCAAGAGGGTGATGCTTCGTTGGAAGACATCGATGAGTTTAACCCCGGATTCCGCTCACGGTCGCGTCAGACCTCCCGGCTGTCATTCTCGTCCTCTCGGAGTCGTACCAGCCGGAATTGGCCTAAGCAACGTGCAGGGTCCATCCTGTCAACTCGTCGGGCGGCTACCCCTGGTCGTAGTTCCCCGGCATTGAGTACGCCGTCTCATTACTCGGACCAGAGACACGGCTCTTCCTCCCGTCTTAGTACAATTCTGAACACCACAATCAAGGGTTCTTTCGGTCGAAAGGGTCCTAACTATGCTACCTCGAGCATGCATGAAGGAAGCCTTCATACACATGATAGCGAGGAGGATCTGCGGCAGATGATGGAAAGGCAGGATGATCGGCTTGAGAATGTGCGAGCCTGCTGCGACGGTATGTTCTTTGATCCCTATTGCTCAGATTCGGTAGTCCCACCATCATGGCAACCAGCTGATGAACTTCAAACAGGCAAACATGATGTCGGCGCGCTGTCGAGGACCAGCAAATACAGCCCCCGTGTCAACCGAATTCACTCCCATCATTGAGACCGTCATCGAGAAGAATCTACTGAGCCGTGGCCTTTAGGCCTACCGGGCAATTTTATCCTCTACCCTCTTCCCATGGTGTTAAACACTTGCATGAGCCTCTTTTGCATTATCATTATAGTCATATTTTGGCACCTCATCATGTTCATTTGGTGTTTATGAGCGCAGAATCAGCGTCTGGATCAGCTTAGCCGCGAGTTTGCATACCCCTGATGGGCACATTCCTCACTACCGCCACTTTCTATACTCTAGTTCTTTTTAATCCCTGGGGCTTGACCTCATCTCCCCTCTCCTGTGCCCCAATCGTTTCTATTGTCATTCATTTGCGAGCTGTTTCGCACGAAACCATCCATATGTTTCCTTTGTTGATTACTCAATTGTGAGCTTAACAATACCTTGTGAACTTGGGCCACTCATTACACACTTGGCTTGATTGCCAACTGCCAAATTTTTCATTCTTTTTCTCTACAATCTTTTTCTTCTCTATACTAACAAGATACTGTGCATTTACCTGTGCTGGATTGCACTTGTGTACGATCGAAGCTGTATTTCCCCCTTTTTTTGAGCTCAAATTGGTTGCGATCTGTGATGGCGGGTTTAACTTTTTGTCTGACCAATTGCATCCATCCGGTTAGCTTCGCATGGCCAAAGTGATTGGTTACTATCCCATGTCGGTTTCTTGCGTGTCTCTTTACTTTGGGAAATTGATCTAGGTTAACCACCCTTGTTGCACTGAGATAATTGAAGATCGTGTGAGATTAAGGGAATCCGCTAGCCATTCGTAGACAAATAGATGCTATGCCACGAGTAGTTTTATAGTCAAAGGACCTGCAAAGAAAATAAATTCGAATGATGAGAAAAAGACTAGCCTTATCATGTACCAAATAATGCCGCCATAGTAGCTTACCAACATCCTTCGGAAGTCATGGACATCATCAATCGTCACTTCAATTCTCAAATATATTCTCAACTATAACTATCTAAGGGTATCATATCATATAATAAAGACCACAAATATTTACCACCAGTAAGAAAAACGAAGGATTTAAGACTAACAAGTCTTAGTCGGCTTCGCCCGCCCAGCCGGCCAATAGTCAAACAGATACTGAGCTTCCCATGTCCACGGGCCACCGGTCTCTGATTCATCTTCATGGTTGTTGGCATTGTCAGCTGTATCCGTCCTGCTCAGAGGGCTGTTACCGCTCTCTGAAGCTCGGCGACGATGATTATGATGTTGTTGCGGGGGGAGATGACAATTGTCGTCGTCGTCGTCGTTGTTGTTGTTCAAGGTCGTGGTCGTGTTCATGTTGAAGCGGGTAAAGGCAGTAGGGTCGGAGTGGGATTTTTGGAGGGAGGTTCTGCGCTCTATTCCGGCTTTTAGGGGTGGAGCTACTCTTGGTGTAGTTGTTGTAGGAATGGCGGTGGTATTGTGTTGCTGATGCGGAGGGGGTGAAGGTGGAGGGTTATCATCATCATCTGATACTACTATGGGATCGTAATTGTCGTTTCTGGTATGAGATGATGGTCAGTTTGGTCTTGTTCGTCCCTTGGGGTTCTGGCATATACTGACTCTGGCTGTGGCTGTGGCTGTGGCTGTTGTTGGGGTTCTTTTTCTTCTTCTTGTTGTTGTTGTTGTTGTTGTTGCTGTTGGGCTAGGATGGTGTGGTACATGAGTTTCTTGCGGGAGGGCTTGGTTTTGCTGGGGAGGCGGAGGATGTTGGCTGGGGGTTCGTTGTTCTTTGGTGATTCTGGTTCTGGGACTGGTTCTGGGATCGGATCTTGGGGTTGTTCTTGGGGGTTGGGAAGAGGAGGATTGGAAGCGGTTTGCTTTCGCTGGGGTTTATTGTTGGACCGGTCTGTGGGTTTGAGATGGGAGACGGTAGAAGTTGTAGTGTGGTTTTTTGGGTCGCTTGTCCTGGAGGATACACCAAAAGATGTCTCTGTCCGTCTCTTTGATATCTCCGGTCCTGGTGCTGGCTCTGGTCCGGTCAAGTCGATGCTCGCTGGTTCACGCCGACGGGCGACCTCCGATGCGGTCTCCGTCTTTTTGCGTTTCGCAGGATAATCCACCTGCTCGTTCTCTTTCCCATTCACCGGCGTTGTATAGCTTTGTCTAGTACCCGTCTGAGGCGAGCCTGCGCGCTGTGTTGGGGTCTTCTTGATACCCAGGAGATCGTTCAGTGACCGGGTCGGTTTCTGCTGGGAGGGAAGAGAAGGTCGTGCGGGAGTAGAGGAATTATAGACGACTGTTGTAGGGGTTGGCGTCCCTCCTGGTCGCTGAGACGGCGAGCCTTGGCCTTTCCTTTTGTTACTATACAACCCCGACAGATCTGTCTCCGTCTTCTCCACCGGTTCGCAAACTTCAATCAGGGCCCCGTTGTCCAGCTTCAGTTCGTCGCCGTCTTGGATCCCTTCGTCCTGTCGCCAGTGGTGGTCGCCCACAAAGTTACCGGCGACATCGTATACCATGACGCGTTTGTTGAAGGTGTGGTATCGGAGGAAGCCATCTTGCCAGCGCTTGGCTTTGCGTCGCATGTCGTAGGTGTAGAGGCAGCGGAAGCGGATCACAGGTGCGGTGTTTTGGGTCGCAGGGACGTTCATGCTCGGGGTGCTTCGTGGGGTGGCCATTTTGGTATGGAGGGGGAATGGTCGAGACAGAAACAGGGCCCTTGATCGGTGGCCCTGTGTCTGATCACCATCTAATGAGGAAGGGATGGAACGAGTCGTGAGATTGAGATTGTTTGATCGATGCGCGGGGAAGAAGTTGTGATACTGGCGGAACGAACCGCGGACGGGGATATCTGCCTCAGGCAAGTACTGTGTTGGAGCATGGCTACGTTTTAGTTAGTCAATCTGCATTATTGATTGTTTGACGTGCATGTCAGCGAATGCATTCATGACCGACAAGTTCCCAGTTTCATCAATAATTTCTATTTCGCTGCAAAAGGGGTCTGCCTTGGCGGTACCACTTGGTTACTGGAGACAATTGCGCAATTCATCCCACGAGGTGTCCTTAATAATTACGAGGACCGCGCGGCACAAGCTATAGGTAGCATGTTAAGGAGGTTGCCAGGGATAGTAGTCAGTATACTCCATCTCATACAGAGACAGATCAGAATTCCCACAGACAAAGTAGCAATATCTGGCATATCCTTAGCGTCAGCGTAGTGCATCGACTAGCAGAACTGGTCCGTTCCCTGGAAATCAACCAGGGAAATCCATCCATTTGATCCTGATCGACAAGGCACTTTCCCACCCCAGAAGAAAGACATTATTCGCGACAAAAATAGCGTTGCGTCAGCCCATCCAGCCAGAAGGCTGAAACACACTTGAGACCCTCTTTTTTTCCCTTTTGCTGGGGAAGCAGCAACAGCAGCAAAGTAGCAAAGTAGCAGCGGCCCCTCTGGGGGGCTGCGTCATGCGCGGCTGGCTTAGTTCTCACGGGCAAAATGAGTCCTTTTCGAGCAATGCCACGATTCCCTCTTCATTCCCTCTCGCTTGCTTGCTTGCTGGCTTGCTCGCTCTCTCTCTCTCTCCCCTGCCTCGAAACTCCCTTTCGATCCCTTTTTCTCGTTCCCTGAATCTCCCTCCCTCTTCGCCAATGACCGTCTCTCCATCCTAATTCCAAATTCCCCGCCTGTCTGTCCCAATCTCCGCATTTCTCCCTTCCTCCCCATTCCCCCTCCCTCCACTGAGGGGCTCTCAATTGGCACGCCATGCAGTCCATGCAAAGGCAGTTTGGCCGACTCATGAAAAGGTCGGCCGATGACAGCCAGGTGGCAATTCTCCTCAAGGATTTTGAAGAAGCAGACAAAATCTTGGGACGAGTAAGTATTTCTATATGTATTTTTTTTTTTTTTTTTTTTTTTTTTTTTTTTTTTTTTTTTTTTTTTTTTTTTTTTTTTTTTTCTTTCCCCATCCACCATGCTTTAGCGTGCACTTCCCTGCGGGGTGTGATTTGTTGATATCCTTCCGTATCTTGAACTGACAGCAACTCTTCCGCATTCCGACAGATCATCGATTCCACCAGCGCATGGCGCGATGCTTGGTCGTCCCTCTTGACGCACCAAAATCGAATGCTGAGCGAATTCGAAGGTCTATATGCTCCCATTCTCGGTTCCTCCGACTCTTCTGCGCCACAGCCTGCCCCAACTCCAGAGGCCACCTTGGCTCGGACCAACAAGCTCCGCGAGCATTATGAAGACCTCCGAAAGGATCTACTGGGGGACCTGGCTGCCATCGATGATCGCATGATCCGACCAGCGTCGCAAGCTAGGGAATTCATAAGCCCAGTCAAGAAGACCATCAAAAAGCGAGATGATCGAAAGGTGCGCATTATCTCGCATGGGGACCTATAGTAACCCCGTTCCTGGCCTCCCGCTCAGGAACCCGCCCATCAATGCAACCATCCCATGCTAATTCTATTCTTGTTCTAGTTGGACTTCGAGCGCTACCAAGGGCGCGTAGACAGCTATGCCAAAAAGACAAAGCGATCAGACCGGGACAACGCAGCTCTTGCCAAGGCAGAGAGTGACCTTGCCAAAGCAACCGAGGTACGAGCCCATTATTCCGGGCACAATTACCATCAGTCCATCTCTGTTTCGTTTCTAACGATCGCAGGACTACCACGCAGCGGATGACCACTTGCGAGAATGTCTACCACCTTTGATTGCCGCCGCATTCTCGCTGCTCCCTCGTCTGCTCGCCACGCAGATTGAGATCCAAAACACCATGCTAGCCAACTACTATACCGTAGTACACAACTACTGCCAGGAGGCGCAATTCCCATCGCCTGCTCCCCCAATGGAGCAAGTCATCCAGGAATGGGAACGCGACCACCTCCCCGTCCAGCAAGAAGTAGAGGCATTCGGCTGCATCGTCAACGGCAAAACCGTGAAAATGTCCCAAGTCCCCGAGGAATCACGAACCTCCCGCATCACCAGCCGTCTCCCAGCAATCAACGGATCCTCATTCTCCCGTCGCCCTTCAAACAGCGAAACCCCTCCACCCAAGCCGCCACGGCCCACTTCACCTTCTGCCACAGCTACAGCTACAGCTTTCAGCAACAAAAAGCTCCCCCCACCACCCAAACCATCCTACGACACCAAACCATCCCCAGTCTTCGAAACGAAACCTCGATTAGCCTCTTCAGCTTCTAACAACAACCTCACCATCCCCTCCAACTACCATCTCTCCCCGCAACCATCCTCTTCCCCAGGCACAGAGTCCTACTACTCAGCAACTGAGCACGCCCGCACTCCATCCCCGGGCCCCTCATCCTCCGTCGCGGCCCGCGCCGACTATTTCAGTCGAATCCAGCCTTCAGCAACACCAGCCAGCGCCATCAGAGCAACCTCCCCCGGCGTTAGTGCCCTAGTTGCCGGAAAGAAGAAGCCCCCGCCGCCACCCCCACCGCGGGCTAACTCGAGCACTGCGCTATACGTGACGGCCCTGTATGACTTCGGAGGTCAAAGCGCGGGGGATCTGGCTTTCCGGGAGGGAGATCGGATCCGTGTCCTGAAGAAGACGGATAGTACGGATGATTGGTGGGAGGGGGAGTTACGTGGGGTGAAGGGGAGCTTTCCGGCTAATTATGTGGAGTGATTATTGTGATGTCAAAGTATATAGCTGGGAGGAAGTGTTGTGTTGGTAAGCGTGAGGATGGAGATGGACAAAGAGGGGAAGAATGAAAGAGTTGCATGTATTCCATATATTCATTCATATTTAGTAGTAATATCTTGATATCATTTCCCCTTGTGGGGGAGCTCTAGTGGTTAGAAAGTGAGGTGCAATGTGTATACTGTACTTGCGTTGTTATTGTGTTTTATTTGTCTTTAATTAGTAGGGGTCTCATACATGGGAGCGAGTGAATAGAACAATGACTCGATATGATGCCTATCATACACACTATCACTAGACAGCTTTGTCCCATCATCTGCCACAGTCGGTTTTTTGCTCATTCATTAGAGTGTAAGTCATGGCCAAAGGATAAACGAAAGGATACACATAACCCATTCTCACCAGGACACACGGATCCTATAATGCCTGGCGTATAGTTAGATGAACGCACCCTTAGATGGTGCTCCGTCGGACATTTCGGTGCCCATTCGTCGACGGCGACTTTCCAGGAACATCTCCACCATACGTTTACTCGAGATTGGCGAGTACATGTTCTGAAGTTGACTGTCCTTACTAGCGACCTCTTGATACCCATTCTCGAGACGGACATTCTCATCAGTCAATCTTCTATTCTCTTGAGGCACACGTGAAGACCTGATTTGGGAGGCCTTCGAATCCTGGGCTTCTGGAAGCAACCTGGAAGGCTGTCTCCCGTATCTTCTACCCCCTGCTCTCCACCGCGCTTTATCCGTTGCATCTCTCCTTGGAGTTGGAGACTCTGGAGCCCGATATCTATTATTCAATAGTGCAGGTACCGGCGACAAAGCCATACCATCGGGCCGTGTCTCCACCTGGTTAATGAACAAGCTACGCCCACTAGAGCTGCTTAATACCTTGGGGGTCGAGTCGGACGGCGGCGGAGGAGGAACCAGAGTGTCTGCTTGCTCCTTTGGGGCAATGACTGTTGTGCGTACACTTGACGATCGGCTGAACGGACGTGAGAAGTTATTTCTGGCTGTTACTTTGCAAGTTGTCCGCAGATCTTCATCTGGCGATCCACTCCAGAAGCCTCGTCTGTCTCGAGATGGGGTTCGATAAGCAAGATCCGCTGTTTCGTCTTGGATTTGGGCATCTTCTCGATAGTGACGCCTGGTGGGTGTAAGATATTCAATCCGCTCCATTTGGGTGCGCACCCATTGCTGCCAATCCGCACTCGGTCGTTGCATCGCCTCGGGACCCTGGTCAGCATTACGCTTTGGCGAACTATAGATCGCCCGCTGACTTGCGTATATGGTAGCCACACCTGGCTCATTCGCAACTTCAGGATCACTCTCACCCATTTTCGGGTCCGTTGTTTTAGGCGAGGTTCCGCCAGTGGAGCGAGAATACATACTTGGGGAATCCTCGTCTTCCTCTGGGCTTTGAGATCTTCCCATAGCCATGTTTCCGGTCTCGTCTCTAGAATCCTCCTTGATAGTGTGTTTAGACGATGCCAGATTGGCAGAACCAAAACGAATGTCCTGCAGGTGCTTTTGGCCGTGGGTACGCTGAGCCTGGCGCTGGGCTGGCTCGCAGGGAGTGACTGTGCCCACATCAGCTGTTGTATATGAGCCTGGGCTCTGGAGTGACTCATCGCTGGCGATCAAACGAATTGTCTTCCTACTGCGGCGAGTGTACATTGAGGACACAGGTGTCGGAATCGCGCGATGTTCCCTGACATGGCCAAGGACAATTTCTTTGCTTGCATTCTCCGTCTTGTTCCCATCAATGCGTTTCATCAGCGCAGAATACAAGCGCTGACTGTCTATCGTACAGTTAGGCTTTGGAGTGCGACAAGTGGTCAGTGAAACGTCTTCAGATGAGCTTGGCTTAAGACAGGAACTGTCATGTTCGTCTATAACAGACAAAGAGCTGTGGTCGTCTGCTCTATATGTTATAACAGTGTTTGCTATCGTCGAGTCCGCCCAGCTTGTTACGCGAGAGCGGCTTGTGGCAAGGCTCTCGGAGCTCTCGGATTTTTTGACTCCTGTATAAACCACGGTTCCCTCGGTATCTGGTGAGTGTGTCAAGGCATTTCCCTCGACTCCAGAGTTTAAGGGATCAGAGTGCTTTGCAGATATGGTCGAGGGCGACCCCTGTATTCGTTGCTGGTCATTTGAAGAAGATTTCCCTAGAGATATACGGGCCGAGGAAGGCCTGGAGAGCTCCAACACCTTCTTGAGTCCTTTCTTGAGGGACGATGACAGTGATCTGGCTTTACCGTAGGATATGACGTTCGTGGATCGCTGTATTGCCGGCGACACGCTTGCAGACTCTGCGTCTGACACCACTGAACGAAGTGTTTTTTTAAAAGGCCTTGATTTAGGGACTGTTAGTGATGATTTCCTGAGCTCAGTCGGATAGATTTCCGGCTGCTGGTAGTGACTTCGTGCCATTTCAATCGCTACGTCCTGACCCCTAGCATATCGTAGAGAATCAGAATTTTGGGTATCTCCCCGGAAGAATGACATGGAACGCCTCAGGGTGCCAGGAGCTCGGAGAACATCCTGTGGTTCTCTCCTTGTCAATATGTTATGGGTAGGACATCCAGGCGAGGACAGCCCACGAGGTACATGGGAAGAGCGCTGCCAATTCGTGAACATCGATCGGGTCTTGCGGAGTCGCCGATAGGAAGAAGGCAAAGTAGCGATTCCGGCATCGAGCCTTCCAAACTCCCTGATAGACGGTAGACCAGCTGGCGGAGATAGATCGCTCGTCTTGTCGAGCACAGACCGACGAAGATCTACATCCTCAACCGGAGCATTTGTAGCATTTAGTGCAGCACCTGCAGGTCGATGTTGCCTCTGAGGCACTGCCATTTTGCTTGGACCCCCGAGAACATCATAGGAGCACTTGGATCGCAGCATGGCTCGAGACGCAGCTGTGGTAGCTTGAAACCTAGCCAGCTCTGGGTCGAAGGGCTCCGTCGATTGGGAGCTGTGATGGCTTCTTCTCATGGACCGAGACGATTGCGATCTTCGCAGGGGTTCCATGGTGTGGATACAGGACCAACGAAGGGACTATTTTTGTGAATGGGGAGACTGTATTCGGTGATGGAAGTATGAAAGGTAGATGATAGAAACGTAAAGGTAATGCTTTCATCTGCAGCAGTCATCTGAGAAGACGAGTATCCATGTCGATAGAGCAGAAGGAAGGCACGGGTTCCTGCTAAAAGTGTACACGTTGGTTGCACTTGCACCTTCCCTGTCATTACCATCACAATTACAGCCCGATGTTAATAGTTCTACAGTGAGATGCAATGGCTGCTGTAGGAGGCTTAGGAGAGTTATAATCTCGAAGCCTCTCCCTATAGGATATATCCATAGCAAGACCGAGGGACGACATGGTTGCCACCTATAGTGTAGACCTGGGAAATCAGTATATTCCGTCAGTTCAGTCCCTTTACTAGTTTCATAACAAAGTATAAAACTATGCCTGGCTTTTGGTAATCAATGCCATCGAGTAGCACATAGCATACAGCTACATGTAGGTACTTGTTTCCATTCAGAACTGTTTCTTCCCCTGCCTGTACTAACCACCCGAGTGAGGTACCGTATGTGATGTTCCTGGAGGTACCAGTAGATAATCGCCTGGACCATCCGGTCATACTACTTACTTAGTACCGGGCAGAATACTACTCAGTTGTCATTGGTGGAGTTGAACCCGCGATCGATTCAATCATAGAGAGAGAAGATCGTAGTATCACTCGTAGATTATGTGGTCTAACTTAGTAGCAACTACATAATCACCATCATGTTACCTTTACGTGGAAAAATATATATCTAGTACACACCATGGATGTCTCGGTAACAGAGATACCAAGACACCACTAACTACGGGATAGTAGTAGATAACTAATCTATCAAAAAGAATAGTAAGATCGGATGCAAAAGCCGAGCCACATCAATTTAACTATCAACAGCAACAAAGACCGGCACGGAATCCCTATCGTAGCCGAGGGAGGGGAGAGGAGCCGCCAATCTTCCCGCGCCAGGATGATGATGACGATGACGACGCCACACCCTTATCCAACCCACCTACCCATCCAGATTAATCCAGTAGGCAAGGGACGCGTTATTCTTCATTTCGGGAAGGCTGGGGCCGGCATACGTCAGTCAGTCAATCACAGTCTGTTCGAGTCACCGTGCACACATCCACCGACAGGCGTAATGAGCGACACATGATGTGGTAGGGAACTAAGTAGGTAACTAAGTAGCTAATTACTTCGAACTTGGTGATAAGTAGAAGAATGGAAAGTATGACAGCCCGGCACATGTAAGCCGGGAAGCGATGACATCCGGGATCCGCGCTCTGCAGGGGTCTGGCCCCCAAAGCCCTCAAGCCCTCCTTCTCCTTCCTCTCCAGATGTCACATCGAAGAAGAGGGGAAAGGCAACAAAAAATAGAAAAAGCAAGAACCAAGGATCGACAACGGTCTGCAGGCATTACTTACTACATGCCCGGAGTCCGGAGTTGTGAAGGAGGAGTAAAGTGAACGGTTCACTAGTGTCAGCCGATCATCCTATTACTTAGGAGTTCTTTCATTGCCTGTTTGCTTTTTCCCTTCTTCCTTCGCGGTAACTAAAGAAGAGCAAAATTGAATGAAATAAGAAAGAAACTTGAGTACCTAGGGCAAATGCATTATTCGATTTTTTGTTTTGAATGAGGATAATAAATCGTACAATTAGCCGAATGGGTATGGAAATCGACCAACGATATTACAGAGCACACATGACATGACAAAGAAAATGGTACACGGAGGTGTGGGAACCAGACAAAGACGGTATCGAAAGCGAGGAAGGAGAAGAAAGGAAGAGGGAAAAGAAGAATAGAAGAATGACCGGGCGAGAGAAAGAGAAAGAGATCCAGCCTGCACCCCCTGCGTCCACTGTTGAATGATTCCCAGCGGTGTGTGCGCGTTCCTGCTGTCGGCGATTCTGGACTGTCAAGTCAAGGCAGCTCGCTGTCTCTCTCTTCCTCTCTCTTCTCTCACCATCGGTCCCTTCCGGGCAATCCACCCAGTAGCCCATTAATAAAATATAGATAACCAAAATGCCGTTCCTGTGATTAAATAAAAAGCAAACCCACATGTACACCAGCCTACTCGACCGCGCCCCCACCCTTCCCGCGCTATGCAGTTGCCTGGCGAAAAAAAAGACGGGGAAGAATGGAGGGCGAGAGTGGAACAGTGCCAGACCGCCAGGATAAATAAAATCGATAAAGCCGCCCTTCCATGGTATAATAGATGATCGATTAAACTCCCAGCAATGCATCAAGTCAGAGAGCATCAAGCCGCATATGGTAAGCGAGAAGCGAAGCGAAGAGGAGGCGAGATAGGCTCAAAAATTCCCTGGGTTCGGTCCCAGCCGGCAGGACCCCTGGAAATCTGCAGTGATCTTGTGGGATCTCTGCACCCGTCCTATTTTAAAGCGCCATGGGATCGTAGCCGTGTCGTCATAGGGAGCGCTCGATCTCCTTGAATGGTGAATCGTTGAGGATCTCCGATGGAAGGGCTCTCCGGTAGTCTCGGGGCTGGGCAAAGGGAGATGATGAAAGAGGCCGACGCAGCTTCAATTGCTGTGATTCTCCATGTTAGTGTTGGGTGTCTCGTAGAATGCGAGTGAAATGCCGAGGTCCGGTTTAGGGCTGACGACTTACCACACAGTCAGAGCATTTACCTCCCTGGATGTTGACGCGACCGCGGCAACCGCGAGGATAATTGGCGCAAGAGAACATGGCGAATTTTTTTGTGGGGGGGAAAGTTGAGAAATGCGCAGGTGTTTTGGTGGCAGTCGTGGTTCGAGTGAAGAAGATAAATCCCGTCAAGGGAGCTTTTCTAGGGCTGAGGCTTGCTGTCTCGGAGCGGAGCAGGAAGGGGAAAAAGTACAATAAAAAAAAAAGAAGTGTCAAAAGCACCGGAGACAATGAATAGTAATGAAGGAGAGACAGAGGGGAGGGTTAAAAAAAAATTCAAAATAGCCCCAATCGCAAGCCACGGGGCAATTACGTCAAGATCGCAAGGCCGTTGTCTTGCAGCGGCACCAGCAGGGGGAGCGAAAAAAAGGAAGCGTATTTAGGCGCACCGGCCGGGGTCCGTTGAGGTTCTAGCGCTGAGGTTAGGCTGCGCCACTAAAGTGGGTGGTGGATGGGGCGAAGAGAGACACAAAAGTGCAACAGCGTGCAGCAGTTGACTAGCAAAAGGAATGAATGTCAAAAGGAGTGCAGGGCAGATAAATCGATCGATCAACGGTCAATTATCACACGGAGGGAAATGGGATGGAACGTCGAGGGAACCTAAGAGGAAAAGGAGGTAAATTTGAGGGATCTCAGATTTATATCAGTAATGGAGATCTATGCGAAACGGCTTCCAGGAAGATCGGGGTAAAGGGTCGTCGAAGAACGGGTGAGTATTAGTGATAATAAATTCGGAAAGAGAGAAAAAAAAAAATCGTCAAATAATATAACAAGCTATGCAAATGATCGTAATAGGCAAAATCAAATATTAATTTTGGGGTACCATGGCATCCAACGGGCCACGGGACGGGGCAAGATGGAGCCCGTGTGTATATTGTTCTGATGCAGCCCTCGAATTGGAACCAGACTTGTCTAGATACCCGACTGTGTATGGTCAATGATTACTACCTTGTGGTGCTGGTGACAATGGTGGCGATGATGGATACTAATAAACAAATCATACACGCCGGGAATCACCATCATCTATCCCAGCATTCGTAATTTGAGTGTACCACAGTGCCAGCCTTCGCTTGTCATCCTGGGCATCACCGAGTGCTGGCCTTGGCATAGATTATTTTGCTCCCTGTGATGTCGATGGACTCCCAACGGGCCATTGGTTCTTCGAATGCCCAACAGTGGACTCTGTGTCTCCCGGCTGGCTGCTCGAAGGTGATCCAAAATGGGGAATAGGGAGGGGGGCAAAAGAGCGAAGGGGAAAGGGAAGAAAAAATTTTTCTTTCTTTTATTTTATTTTTTTATTTTCCCTTTTCTTGTTCCCGAACCTACCATACAGTCTGCCCCCATGTAACAGCCTGATCGCCCATATGACTCGCAGTTATGGCCCCTGGGTGGGTGGAGGATGGATGACTTGATTGCAGGGCGGCGTGGGCCCTGTCAAAAAAGTGATTTTCACGACTCAACCATGCATCGCAGTGCAGCTGGTGTTGTTGACCTGGTCGCTTAAGATAGAGAAGCAGATAATAATTGGGAGACCCACTGGTACCAACAGCCGGCATCGTAGCAGCCCATGGAGTTTCGAATAGATGAGGGTAATAGAGCCGTAGCAGCAGAGTCTGGATCTTGGGCCCGAACCGTCGCACCAAGAAAGTTTCCACAGTTTCTGGAACGTCGACTGAGCTTCTTCTCCTTTTCTCTGTGTGTTTCCCTTCTCTCCCCCTTTGCCCCTTTCGGAGTTGGCCCCCTCTTCTCTCAGTCTCACCCCTTTTGCCCTCTTTAGTGCGCAGTCAGCTGTCGGAAGACACGGGTGAAGTGACCAATGAAAGGACGGTTTTACTGTCTGGTCTTTGTTCTCACCCTGGCATTGCCTTGATCCATGGCATTCATTGTTACTTCAATCGGGTGAGTCAGAAGACAACCTGAGTAGAGTCTGGATGACACCGAACGGCCTCCGCTTCTTCCCTGGTCGCATCCTTGTCTTCCGTTGTGTTACCTCTGTTGATCATCCCTCAATTGCCTTGTTTTGTGATGATCATTATTGCTTTTCCAATACATTCTGCCTGTTCGCCTCTCTTATTCGGACCTCTTATTATTTTTTTTTCCAGGTTTAGTTAAAAGGTAGTCTCGGTAAGAGTCAAGTGGGAGTCACTAGGTTCCGCACCGCCGGGTTGGCAAAAGTGGGGGGAGGCCTGATTGATGCCTGCCGCAAAGCCGTGAACGGTAAATCCGTAAAGCCTGGCTTTCCCACAGCCTAGCTGAGGCAGGGCATTATTTGTCTCAGAAGCAGCCAGCCGGTTCAGTTCAGCAGTCTAGTGCAAAAGGAATACGATCCGCAATTCAGCCTCGTCCATGGCCATCGGGGTCAGGATCCGTCCAGCATGTGCTGCTTTGATCCAGTAGTGGACAAGGTGAAGCTGGCAGACCCAAGGGAATCCTGTCAGGTGAGCCTGGGTTGTTCCCAGGCTTCCGCAATTGGTCCGCCTGCGTAGAAATGCCGTGCCCAGCCATCGGTTTCAGCGAACCTGACAGTAGGTAATCACAACGAGCGCCAGAGAGTTCTGTTCCAGGGCCGACCCAGACATCCCGGGCCGGAGGGTCCAGACCTGGACCATCATTGTGCGGTACGGCCGAGGGCTGGTGCATGGCTGAGCACGGCATCCATCGATGTGGAAAGTAAGACGCGGGAGGGATGAATTGTATGAGGAGGGGAAGATGGAAGCATCGGGAAACTTGATCTATAGTGGTCACTTGACCTGCAAAGGATCATGTGCTTGTACGCTACACGGATGGTCGCATTGGCTATCTCTACTTTCGTACAGAGAGTAGTAGGTACTAGAATGTTGCTCTAGATTCACCCTATACTTCCAATTGGGTATTGGTGACTACTCGGTGATGCTCTACTTACCACTGCCTCAATTTTGTGCACTCGGTAGGACGAACCGGATCTTAACGGAGTACCATCAACTCCGTTGACCGTGATATACTACTAATCAATAATTCTATGACCCGGTGTGTACTTGCATGTGTCTGTCCTTCCTGCCGCCATCCGGCAAGTAAAAGGTCAATCCAATATCTCACACAATCAAATGATAGTGGTGAACAGTGCCATCACTTTCCTGCCGGGGCCGAAGCATAGTTTTGGCGAAGCCCGTGATAATTCGTTCGATTTCTATACTATAGAGTTGACCCAACTAATTACTATCCCAGACCCAGACCATGAAATCACCGTATGATAATACTAACTCAGTGTAGACATCTCCAGCAGCAAATTACCGTCCATTAATTCCCATTAATGAGTAGCAAATTACCACCCATTCAATATATTAAACCTTGCAGCTTAGATTAATATCAAGTGTATATTAAAACCCAGCATCGTCACCATCTTCATCATCACCAGACTACCAATATGCCGCTGTAACCGAATTCGGTCAGACAACGCTGTGCGTCGGACACTAAATGGTTTCACCAGTGAGTAAAAGAGCGGACCCTCTCTCTTCCTCCCACTCAGAAATGCATCCATTCCTTACCATCACTAACTAGTAACCAAATAGTACGCAGGAAAAACCCTTTCTTTAGCGTCCTTATTGGTGGTCTCACCTGCTTCGCTTCCATGGAGCGGGCAGCCCGTCCATCCCTCTCATTAGCTATTTTGCCTTTCGCCCTTGTTTCTCCATTGCCTTAATTACCTCGGGACTGGCCCGCTTTTGCAAAAATTCCGCCCTTCTAATTAAATATTATGTATTAGATATTTATCTATCTATCTAGCGATCAATCTATTTTATATAACCGAAGCAGGTCTTCAGCTTGGCCTTGATGATCGCCCAACCGTGCAATGCTCCCACTTTGCCTGGACGGCAAGCCATCGACTAGTAGACGAGTCTGGATGCCTGCCCATCTGGAAGGAATCAATACCCACTGACTGGGTCGCAAGGCTAGGTACGACCCAAGCCCGTCAGACGGTCAGTGACCCGATCTAACCGGGGCCAAACTTTCTTCTGTAACGGCTCCATCGTCTCCAGGCACTACTAGGTTGTGTCGCCGGCTCGAATTTGGGAATCCCAGAACGGAATCCCAAAGCAGAGGAAGCATGCAGCGTGGCTTATACATCTCGCAACTATTTACCAACCCCCGCCCAGAAATCCTTCACTCCTTTGGAAGAAATTGGGTGTCTAGATTGTCGATCTGCTTTGAGCCTCTTCGTCCGCGCCGGTCCTTCTCTTTCCGTGTTCCTTGGGCTTCGTTCCCGACCGTTCTAGATCCGGCTCCCAGTCAGCTGACCCGGTGCAGAGGCAAACCCAATGTTATAGCTTGCTGGGTCCCACTGCACGTATGGATCCAATACGATGTCGCCTTGAATGCGGTGTCGCCGTCCCAGATGGACGAGGATGTGAGTTATCTTGCGCCGAACGACCTTGTGGCCATATTATTCAGCGGCGGTCAAAAATGTTACCATCATTTGATGGTGAAACCCGAAATAGCCCATGAAGATCCAGGAAAATCACCCGTTCGTATTGACTTTGCGTCTGCTACCGGAGATCGGGACGATCCACATGGGGCACAGTTTCAGGAAAACTCCGCAGAGCTGCAGCTCTGCAACGCATCTTCAAACGTTAAAGAACGATCGGAGCACGAGCCACGCCCCCAGAAGTCCTACAGCCGATGCAAGTAACAGCCCGTTTCCTTCCCAGGTCAAGGCCAGGTACGCCAAAAAGCCCACCGCAAGTTCCTTCCTTCGCGCGGCATCTCGTTTAGTCTCCCATTCTGGATCGATCGGGAAAGGGACAGCCGTCTGTGTCGCATCTTCTAGGCGCACGGACTGTGCCGGTATAGATACGGCCAAGGCGACGGCGCGATGGTCGGATGTTGGGAATAACGGCAAAGCATCATACTTCAGAGGTTTGACCTGACCTCTCTTGCTTGTGCCCGGTGGAGAATCCAGATACAACACACGGTCGCACCAACTGGGCCAGCGGGTCCTCGTCCACTTCCAATCTGGGCGTGCATTATCTGCCATTGGATCACTTGCTGCCTGGCGTGCCGCCAACGTATACTTGTATGTTGGGGGGAATGTGATCGGGGCTTCGGAGAGTCCGTGGAAACACCGAGACTGTTCCATCTCGCGGGAAAGCTGATCTTGTTTCAAGAGATGTGAGTAGTGCTGAGGGTCCGAAGGGTCTACATCCGCTCGCGGGAATCGGCTATGGTCGTCTGGTCGCGGCGATACGTTGGAGGTACGGTAATTGAGGTCACCCGCTAGGAAGAGGTAGCTTGTAGGCGTGTAGATGCCCCGATGGCCTTCTTGGGATTGCCGCAGCAGGGGCGCATTTTCCTCCGCGTTGGCTGTGTCGGGGATTTCCCGACCTGCAGCAGGTGAGTAGCTGAAGACCAACCGCTCGACCAAGCTGCGCCAGTCTTCATTCCTCTGCTCGACAGCGTGCTCCATGGGGGCGAGGTGCGCAGCAGCAAAAGTGAGGTCCAAAGGATCCCCGGCTGATGCTGCGCCTCTGTAGGCTATCCGTGCGCCCACGGCACCCTTATTCCCCATCTGTTGGACGCCAAACCCTACACGGGCGGTGTCAATGGATGAGACTTGGTCAGCGACATCCGACCGAGCAAAGACCATCAGACCGGTCATCCCGGAATTGTCGGTGACCAGGTTGACGTAATGGACATCCCAGTACTGGGCAACTGCGCGATCCACCACCTGTGTCAGAGCTGAGAAGTATGGCGTTAGGAACGAGCCTCCGAGAAAGGCATAGGCGATAGGAGCTATTTCCTGCAGGGAGAGCACGATGAACTCCGGGGCTGCAGGCGAGCTGGAACCCTCGGTGCGGGGTAAGGCATCGAAGAAATGGCGGGAGAAGCGGTCGACGTCGACGGGGTTTCGAGCGCAATTGAAGGTGAGGATATAGAGTAAGAGCGAATCCATTGTGTGGGCGTGTTTCAGTGGGGTTGGTCTTGTTTCATGAGATGTCCAAGAGTGAACAAAGAAGGCCGACTGTATAATGCGAAATGAGAGAAAGCAAAGGTTGAGATTGAGAGATCTTGCAGAGCTGGTGAGGTGGACATGTGACGATCAGTGGATCCGTTGCCGGGGAATGAGATCATCTGCTACATCGAACTATCACCACCCTCATCACCGCCACCAAACACTGCGCAACATAATGGCGACAATGAATACTCTGTATATTCCTTGAACATTGTCTGAGAGACTTATATAGTATTTTTGCGTCATATCCGAACCCTTACTTGACGCCTGCTGGCTCCAGTAACACTTCCCGCACTGTTTATCCTAGAGCTTCCCTTGCAACCCGTCAGTCAACTCCACCAACAGCATCCCTTCTGCCACATCCTCTTCTTCATCTTCCATCTCATATACCCATTGTGCTTGCCCTGCGCGCGGACTGCGCACCTCCACCTCCATCTTCATCTGCTTTATAAACGCTATCACCTGATTTTCAGCTACATGATCCCCCGAAGACACAAGCACTTCAATTAACTTTCCAGATAAAGGAAGGACAATGTGTCGTGGGTTACTTAAGTCTCCGCGTCTATGAGCGGATGAAAAGAGGGCAGATGCTGTGGTCGAGGTGGCAGCCAGTTCTAGTCGATAGGCACCGGAAGAACTGGGCGTCTGATACTCGATATCGGCTGCAAGCGAAGTCGGAAAGTCATTCCGCAGCACGCGTGTGAGTTGGAGGCGATGTTGCTGTGACTGCTGAGATGCCTCCACTGGCGTGAGTCTGATTGACCATGCATCTCCTCGTCGAAATAGAAGATTCGAAGAAGGCACACTAGGCAACGCAGTGGGACGCTGTCCCTGCACAGGTCCCTGAGTACGAACTGATCGTGAGACACTTGCTCCCTGCTGGAGCACTTGGTCCAGACTGGACTCCAGCCATTGTGTGTCTATCCTTCCAGAAAGGAAGTCTTCCTGAGCAACAACCCCTCTCAGCAATTCCAAGTTAGTCCGGACACCAGCCACTGTAGTGTCTGCAAGCACTCGCCGGGCTTTGAGGACTGCTCCCTCCCAAGTAGATGCAGTGACAATGATTTTAGCGAGTAGATTGTCCAACTGCGCCCCTACCACAACAGGGTTCGCCCCAGCAGCACGAATATGGGTATCAACTCTCACACCACGGCCACTCGGAACAACCATCTCAGTTACCTTCCCTACACTCAGGGCAAACTGATTGCTCGGATCTTCCGCACACAACCGGAGCTGAATAGCACAAGCCTTAGGAGTATCCAACCCCACATCCCCAAGCCCAAGCTGTGCAAACGTATACCCCATCGCCAGTTTTAACTGAGCCTGCACAAGATCCACCCTCATAAGCTCTTCAGTAACCGTATGTTCAACCTGTATTCTGGGGTTAATCTCCAAGAAATAAAACTCCCCACTCCCCTCATTCACCAAAAACTCCACCGTCCCCAGCGACCTATACCTTGTAGCCCTCCCCATCCTCACAGCAGCATCCACCACCCTCTGCACTAGCCCCCGATCCCCAATCAATGACGGCGCCATCTCAACCACCTTCTGAAACCGCCTCTGTACACTGCAATCCCTTTCCCACAGATGCCTCACCTCCACCCCGTCCCCAATAATCTGCACCTCTACATGTCGAAACCCCTTCACAGCCGCCTTTTCCACAAACACCATCCCCGACGGCGACTCGTTAACAGCACCCCTCACCGCACCCTCCAACCCCTCATCCCCATACACAAGCCGAATCCCCCGGCCCCCACCCCCATCCACGGCCTTCACCATAACAGGATACTGCACCTGCTTCACAAATGCCCGCACCTCCGCAACATCTGCCGTCGGCTGCGCCATCGCCGGCAAGACGGGAACGTCGCACTCCACGGCTAGTTGCTTCGCTTGGAGCTTGTCTCCCGTGCGAGATAATACTGAGCTGCCGGGCCCTATTACGGTGATTCCGGCGTCTTGCATGCGGGCAGCGAAGTCCGCGCTTTCGCTTAGGAAGCCGTAGCCTGGGTGAATGGCGTCGATGGCATTGTCCTGAGCTAGACGCACTAGGAAGGGACTGTCGAGGTAGGTTGCCACTGATGGGATGAGGAGAGCATGATCCGGGTGGGCTGTGTCGCAGTGCGAGGTGTCATCCTCGGTATAGATAGCGTATACTTCTATGGGTGGGGAGAGCTCGCGAGCGGCTTGAATGATGCGGACGGCGATTTCACCTCTGTTTCATTGTCAGTTTATGAGGTCAATGTGGAGATTGGGCGATGGCGTACCTGTTGGCGACTAGAAGTCGTCGGAAGGGTTCAGACGATGTCATTATAGTATGGTATCTTGTTGTGAAAGGTGTATGGTTTCGAATGCATAGATAGATAAATGGGATTGACTTCTGTATGTATGTATGGATGATGGGGTTGGTTGCATTCCTCGGACCTCGGAATTAAGAGACGTTGCGCTCATAGATATTGAGCTTACCCCTCATGAGGGACAACCCGCTGCAGTAACATGCAAGGGGAATCTGCAATTGAAAATAGGCTCAACAACCGCACACTATGACATGAATAGAGCATAATTAATCTAATCGAACCACATCATGTCCGACAATAACGACAAAAACCCCAAAGACGATGCGCAGTCACGACAAGCAACCAAACGACTCCGCCAACTCTCCTCACACCTACCTCCCGACTACTCCGACGTCCTCTCCCACATCAACACTCTCCGCACACTAGCCTCCACCCCCGACTCATCTCGCAGAGGCTATATCCGTCAAAAGCAAGCCGGGAAGCTATGGGTTCGCGAGCGCCTCGAACAACTCCTAGATCCCGATAGTTTCCAAGAAATCGGCTCGCTCTCGGGCACTGTAACATGGGAGAAAACAGGACCTATGCGCGAGAAGCCCGTTTCTTTTACCCCGAGTAATAATGTCCAAGGGGCGGGGAAATTGCGTGGTCGAAGGATTCTTCTAACAGCGGATGATTTCACTCTCCGGAGTGGACATGCGGATGGAGCTTCGCATGGTAAAACGATCTATCTGGAGAAGCTGGCATTGGCGCTGAGGTTGCCGGTTGTCAAGTTGGTGGATGGGAGCTCTGGGGGAGGCAGTGTTACTACTATTCGCACGGCTGGTTGGAGTTATTTGCCGTATGTGTCAATGTATAGGCACGTCGTTGAGCAACTGAATCAGGGGATTCCGAATTTGGGGGCTGTGGTGGGGCCGGCTGTATGTATCCAATCCATCATCATTCACCTTCGAGTGTTCGGATGTTTCAGCTGACAGTATAGATCGGACTGGGAGCTGCGCGAGTAGTGTCCTGCCATTTCTCCGTCATGGCAGCGGATGTTGGATCGCTCTTCAACGCAGGCCCAGAAGTAGTCAAGGGAGCCACGTTTGAGGAAGGTCTGGACTTTCAAACTCTAGGTGGCCCAATGATTCACTGCACGAATGGAACCATCGACAATCTAGCCGCCAATGAAGCTGAGTGTTACGAGCAGCTGCGCACCGTACTGAGCTATTTGCCCAACACTGGCCGGGAGGCACCGCCAGTCATTGCCGCTGATGATCCAGAAGACCGCGAGGATGAGTCGCTGCGCCGGATTATCCCTCGGCGGCAGACGCGCATGTACAATCCGTGGACTATTATCACCAGCGTCGTGGATAAGGGATCATGGTTCGAGATTGGTGCGCTCTGGGGTCGCACTGCTATCGGGGGTCTGGCGCGCCTGGGAGGGCGGCCGGTGGGTGTGATATCGCTCAACTGTGAGGTGAACGGGGGAGCTCTGGATGCAGCCGGGAGCCAGAAGCTTGCGCGGTTACTGAAGCTCTGTGATGTGATGAATCTGCCGGTTTTGCAGTTTATTGACGTTCGTAAGTGATACGGTCTGTACTCCCCTTCCAAGACACTCTCCGCTGATGATATACGATGTAGCGGGCTATGCTATCGGCACCGTTGCAGAACGAACCGCCACTATGCGCTGGGGAGTAGAATTAGGCAAGACGTATTTCACTACGACGATTCCCTTATTCAATGTAATTACGCGACGAGCCTATGGCGTGGCTGGAGGTCTTATGCTCGGAGCGCGCGACCCGGTCATGCAAGTCGCTTGGCCGTCCGGTCAATGGGGGTCATTACCGTTGGAAGGCGGGATTGAGGTCGCACATCGCCACGAGCTGCGCGAGGCAGAGAAAGTAGGACAGAAGGAAGCCCGGTATAAGGAGCTAGAAGAGGAGTATCGAAGGCTGATGAACCCGGTGCGGACGGCGAATGCGTTTGGCGTTGAGGAGATCATTGACCCCAAGGATACTCGGCGGGTGTGTTGCGCATGGGCGCAGCATGTATATGAGGTTATGATCCCGGAGAGGCTGGCCGACCGTGCAGCAGGAAAGATTCAACCGGTTTTTATGTAGGCTGCTATGGGTCTGCATTTGCTGTGTCAGGTGGTGAAGAACCTGAAGATAGTATGGCCATTTATTACGCTAGCAGTACCTCCATGGTATGTAGACAGGAGATACAGTATATAACTGAGACCACCAAGAGCACACAAATTAAGATACTCAATATAACGAGATTATCCTCTTGTCCCTAGAAACCCCCACTAGGCGTTCATTTCGGTTAAATCCGATGGTGTCTGACAGACAAGTGGGGAGCAAGCAAAGCAATCAGTCCCTGAGGGGGTCGCCCGGAGGTTCGGAAATTAAATCAATTTCAGGTCCATTAGGGACTGACTGTCTGCTGCCTGTTTAAATAAACCGATGCAAGACAAGAAGATCCTGAAAATGTAGCTGTCGGAAAAATACCTCACAAACTAACGCTCAACCAACAAGTACACAAACCATGAACTTCACCATCGTCAACGGCCAAATCTACACCCCAGGCCTAGCCATAATCGATGCTCCACAGCCCTATACTCCCCTCGGAGGAGGTACGTCCAACCATTATCCATCCATCTTACCCAACCCACCAACACTAAAATAAATAAAAAAATCAGATACCCTCCAAGTCGCCATCGACACCTCCGGCGACGGCCAACTCTCCACCACATCCACCACCACCAAATTTCACACCCTCACCCTCTTCCTAACCTCCACAACGACCCACAAAAACCTCACCATCTCCAACGGCACCACTCCCAGCAGCAACAACACCTACGTGGGGCCCGTGCTGGACCTCGAGCCCTCGTCCACCGTCAAGCACGTGAACTGGATCTGGCCGGCATGTTTTGTGGGCAGCGGCGGGGATAAGGCACCCCGGGGTGACTATAATGTCTCCGTGCATCAGAGTTTCCGGTGGGAAGGGACAGATTATTATACGGTGTTTGAGTTGCCGATTTCGGTGACGAATGCGATTGATGAGAGTGAGGAGAGAGTGGACTGTGGGGTTTTGGAGAATGAGTGGGTGGGGTGGGAGCAGTTGAGGGAGAGTAACGATTCTTTGCCGGGGCAGCCTTGGGTGAATGAGAGTCAAGTGAGTGGGAGTGGGAGTGGAAGCGGGAGTGGGGGGGATGAGAGTAGTGGGAGTATGGGGAGTAGGGGGTATAGAGCTGGGGTTATGGGGTGGGTTGTGTTGGGGTTGATTATGGGGGTTGTGATGGGTTGATCGTTTTGGTGTATAATAGTAATGGTAATAGTTTTCAGGTTGTCTGTAGTATTGTTTCTGTTGATTCAGATCTCATGTTGTACCTGTCGGGGTAGCTTTGATACTTCACGTGATAAATTGTTATTTCTTGATTAATCAAACAGGTAGATAGCTCTCAAACTCCGATCCAAATTGAACGCTCATCATCAAAGATAGGAAGGACACTAGGCAATCTCCGGCCCAGTATACATACAGCAGACTCATCGTGGCGGTCGTGAACATTTGACCGAAAGTGTTAAGACAGAAAGAGAAGATAGAAGTAAACCAGAGGGAGGGGAGTGGAGAAAATGAAGCCCCTGCAGGACTCATCATGCACACCACATTCGACACCCAGTTGGTCCAAATTAAATGGAAGGCCGACGGTCGCCCCAAAGCCCAACGATACCCATGGCGAGGGCAATGCCAGAGAAGACAGCCCGCACCTGCTGGAATCGACGCTCCGTGTTCATCTCCTTCTGTACACTTTCACCATTGACATTCTCCTCTGCCTCGACCACCACGATATCCTCTTCTTTCTTTTGCTTCTGGACGGTCAGGAATCCGCATCCGGTGTCCTGCAGAACAGACTGAATCCAGGCCACGAAACCATCCTGGCGGTGGAACAAATAGTCGAAAGCATAAGAGCCAACGGTGGAGGTGACACACACCCAGATGAGATATGGGTGCTTGCGCTGTCTAGAAGAGAGGCAATACGCGAACAGGAAACATCCGTTGGCAATGTTGGTCAGTCGCAGACCATGCTTACGGTTCAACCGCTTGACTTCATTGAGAGACCGGGAGGCAGTGCTGGCAGTCGGAAGAAGACTCAGGGAGGGGATGGCGACGCTGGAAGCGGAGTATGACATGCCCTAGAGGTGATAGATTGCGCGTCAGTTGGCGGCTGGTCAGATTTTACGAGGACTAGCTGACGAAGTCTCAGAGATCTTCGCAACACAAATAATCCAAGCAGGTTATAGAGATCGTACCGTGAGCAGCCCCAGGGACACTGTGCCCACGAACTTCGAGACGGTGATGGGACACGCCATGATTATGCAACAGGAACGCTGCCACTAGAGGGGAGCTGGTTGTGAAAGCTTCTTTTCACCCGAGGAGGACGTAATATCACTTCTCGATGCGTCTGAAAGAACGATTCGTTGATTGGAGGCGTGGTGCGCTTAGAACTTCAAGGCGGGTGCAAAGATAAGGCCATAGAAAAGTTCGCGATGGCAGATGGAGTGACGTTGTTGCATGCCTGAGGCTAGCGCAGTCCAGTCAGCCAATCACCAGCTCGCTGTTAAATTCCGAGAAGCATTTGCAACTAGGCCTATTCCGGTTAGCTCTTCGAGCTCATGTCTTTCATGAAACTAAGCCTAAAGGAGACACCAAGAGTGGATCCATCGAAGACAAACTTTCCGCATATAGTTTAGACCAGATTAGTATTCCAAACCCAGAAGCCGAGGCTTGGACTCGGAGTAACCGTCGGGTTGCGGAGATTCCATTCAACGGCCATCCCGGAGTCCTTCCTCTATATCAACTATCAGGGTAACCTTGACAATTGCACCAGACAAGACCGTTCTTTACTTCCATACTGTATATACACTATACTGATATCCTTTAAAATGCCCCTCCCCAAAGAATCCTATCTAAGTAACACGTGGAAGGATGGCCTGTTCAGTAAGTCGGCTTATGGCGGTCACCACATGCTCCGGCGGTCACTGACAGCCAACAGCCAACAAGGTTGTCTTCTGCACAGGAGGCGCAGGAACCATTTGCAGTGCGCAGGTTCGTGCTCTGGTTCATCTAGGTGCCGACGCTTGCATTATCGGTAGAAATGTCGAAAAGACCGAGAAAGCAGCCCAGGACATTGCAACCGCTCGTCCTGGCGCCAAGGTCATTGGCATTGGTGCAGTGGATGTACGAAAATTGGAGAGTCTTCAAGCTGCGGCGGACCGCTGTGTCAAGGAGCTGGGTGGCATAGACTATGTCATGTGTGTATCACATCGTCCTGGCTAGTTCTCTACTAATCTGGGCTATAACTGTCAAGTGCTGGAGCAGCCGGGAACTTTCTAGCCTCGATCAACCAGCTGTCAGCGAATGCTTTCAAATCGGTCATTGACATCGACGTTTTGGGATCCTACAACACGCTCAAAGCTACTATTCCATACCTTGTTGAGTCGGCCAAGAAGCACAGAGTGGACTCCGAAACTCGTAAGTGGACAGTATCGCGAATAGTCGCGACAAGCGCTAACGTCATACCATCATCAGTCAAACCCTCTGCAGCAGGCACTGGAGGGCGCATCATCTTTGTTAGTGCCACTCTCCACTATCGGACGGCACCTTTCCAGACGCACGTCTCAGTCGCCAAGGCAGGCGTCGATGCGCTGTCTCACAGTGTGGCTATCGAGTTTGGCCCTCTGGGCGTCACTTCTAATATCATTGCACCCGGACCCATTGCTTCGACAGAGGTTTGTCTTTGTCCCGCATATCATATGAATATGCACATCTGACTCAAGATTATAGGGCCTCGATCGCCTCCTTCCCAGTGATACGAAGGACGCTTACATCAAGTCGCAGCCCCTAGGCCGAGTCGGCTCTGTACGCGATATTTCGGATGCCACCGTTTATCTTTTTGCGGACACTGGCAGCTACGTCAGTGGCCAAACTTTAGTGGGTGAGTCTCGTACTTTTCAAATTTATAATAGATAATGTATTAACACAATATAGTGGATGGTGCATCCTGGCGGATGTCTGCCACTGGGGCAACCTTCGGGAAACTTGCGTATCCCGATTTCCTTCTTTCTGGCGACGCCGTCCCCAACGTCAAAGGCCAGAAGAAGTCCAAGCTGTAGAGGCGTGTTTTCATGTTTCTGTACAGGGTAGAAAATGTCTTGGGTATTTATATCTCATAGAGGGTACTTTTTGTTCCTTGAGTTAGCTCATACTACGCTTAGATAAAGAAGCCTTTATGAGAGGGACAAAGGCACAGTTCAATTCTCGGTGTGCTCTGACTCTTTTAGTACTTAGATTCTATGTTTCATCAGGATAAATAACAAAGACTATATACAATTTCAGGACAATGCCTTGGTTCAGAATCTTTCAGCGCAATCAATAAGAACCGAACAGCTGAAAAAGTGCCTAACGCAGAAATCGAACGATCATGGGCTTATTTATTAGTGTGCCGGTAGCCTACATTGCTGTCCAAGACAAATAAAAGATTGAAAAGCGATCTACTACCTTCTGTATCGTTAAATCCCCAACGAGATTGCGCCCTCGAATAAATAGAATCACATCCGACATAAGCGAAGACACTTTTACTTCCGGATAATAAATCAGCATCAAATACTCCCCTTACTCTCAACTCCGCATATCTAGCAACATGTCAGGCAGACGACCACCCAACCAACGGAGGATACCTTTCGGAGCACATAAGCAGATAACAGCTCCCGAAAACGATCCGGAAGAATGGCCGCAGGACGATGACAATTTAACCCAGCAACTCACAGAAGCACAACACAAGGCCTTAGAGCTCGACAGGGAGAACAAGCAGCTAACAAGCCAAGTCCATGATCTGAATCAGGTGCTTGTTGAGCGAGAACAGGCCTTCGCGCAATCAGAGCAAGAGCTGCGACGGACCCAAAGGGATCTAAAAGCCGTTGAAATCCAAATTAAGAAGAACGAGGAGCATGTACAAGCCGCAGAGAGCGCAAATACTATGCTTAATGCGAAAAATAATGCGCAGGCTGAGCAGATCCGTCGCATTCGCCAAGACTATAAGAAGCTCAAGGAAGAAGAGACATCCCGCAGTGGTGAGATTGAAAAATTGCAGCAGCAGATACTTGACGCGAGTCGAGAATTGAATGAAATCAAGCAGAAGCTTGACTTAAAGGAATCAGAATTGGCAGCGCAAAAACTGGAGATGGGGCAGCTTGCTAAGACAGTAAATAAATACAAAGGGAACGATACTGAGTTAAGGAAGCAATTAAACAGGCTTGCGGAGCAGGTGCATACAATTGAACCTGCGATGGCACTAGATACTGTTGCACAGCCTACAAGTGCGATGAATACCGCACTGATTCCTTCTGCCCAGAACAAGCTGATTACGCATAACCCCTTCGGCTTCAGCCTCCAGAATCCATCTCTAACACTGAGGCAGGAATTGGGAGGTAGCTTATATAGTGGATCGCAAAGTGCTGCAAGTAGCGGAGCTCTGTCACCAGTGGACCAGAGAGGCAGCATAAGCAGCAAGTTCAGCGCTCCAGTGATCCCTGCTCAGAATCAGAAACCATCTATTGAGGCGGTTCCTGTAGACTGGAGCAATATCCAGCAGGCAGCTAAAACCGGTGCGATACCGCATGTGGGACAAGCCCTTGTCCCTAGCACCAGTTTAAAGCGACCTTTTGCTGGATTGGAAGCCTTGCAGGGCTTTGATGGTTCGGAAGAGGCGATCAAAAAGCTGCGTGTTGCTGCTGATCAGCAAAAGCTTGGGTCCAACCCAGACAACTCATTTTTGGCTGTTTTCCAGAAGTACTTGCAGACGTTGCAGGAGGCGACTAATCAGAACCATAGTCAGCAAGAACAACTGGACGTCTTCAAGAGAACTGTCCAAGCCCTGACCGCGCAAGGCAATACAAGCTTTGGAAATCAATTTTCGAACTCTCAGAGCAGCTGGATTCAAGATTATCAGAAGGCTGCTGCACAGGCAGCGAATGATCCTTCAAAGGCTCAGCCCAAGGCTATAGTCACTGGCGTTAAACAGCCAAAAGGGTCAAAGCCCAAAGAAAAGCCGAAAAAATTCCTGACACGTACGCCGAATTATCAATGGCCAGTATATCTGGAAAAGAGATATAACCCGTCGACTCCATTGACGGTGCCACCCTTTCGAACGACACGAAAGAAGTTTGCCAACTTTTCAGTCCCTGGTGCATATGAAGATGATCAGACTGAGAGCACAGGATCGGAGTCAAAGTTAGAGTTTGAAACTGCGCCGGAGTACTTCGAAACTCAGGTCAGTGCCCCAGAGCAAGTACCGATGCCACCCGCTGTCATAATGGCACGGTGGGCTTTAGTCTTGCTGGGAGTTTTTATAGTTGTGACGGCTATGGTTGAAAATTTATTCGGACGGACGAATGAAACGCAGGATATCTGGATGCAATATAATGAGGTACCTGAGGGTGTCTTGGCTAAAGTCCGTGGCAGCAAACCCCCTGTTGTAGGGTCGATGCAGGGCTTGGATTACGAGTTTGCCAAATTCGTCGATATCAGATCGCGCCTGGTGGGATGAGGAAAGTTTCCATGGTCGGTGAACCCGGTCTGCTGGTATGGAGCGGGTATACAGTTATATTTCAGAATTTTCTATCTATGTCTCGTGTCTGTTCTACCATATACATGATAGCTGATGTGTACAAAGTACTTGTTGTGATGATCAACCACCATGAAATAAATGGGATTCAAGGCTATTTTAGGAAATCCAGAGCACGTGATGGACATTTTGCAGTGGATGCGTCAGCTGCTCCAAAAGAAGCAGGCGGTGAGGATCTCATGCGTCACCTGCTCCACCCGCGCGCCATCAACAGCCAATCAGGAAAGAAATCGAACGATGCGCGATTCGCCTTTTGAACCCCCTCCTGGCTGGCTATGCAAGAAGTGCTCGCTGGTGGAATCCATATCATCAAAGCATTCCCCCCATCATCTGTTTCTTATTTTTACGGCTGAATATCATCCGTTTTTCATCTCAAGAACTCTTCTTCCCATCACGAAACGTATCTTCATTCCACCGTTCTTACTCTATAGCGCCTCTTCACCCGTCTTATCGGTGCCTGGCTTAGATCCGCCTCGGCCACCATGCACCTCCGTTCGTGCCTTGTGGGGAGCGTTCTCGCTCTCGGCGCCAACGCCTTCCTTGTTATCCCCGAAGTCGAAGAAGCCATCGCCCCTGAGGGTGACTTCCCTCCCCTCCACCCTTTGGAGGTTTATGCTCCCAAGAAGGAACAGGTTGAGCTTGCCTGCACCGAATGTCCGTTCCGTGAAGTCAGTGAGGATGGGAAGGTCAGCTGGACTGACGGTTTCCAGACCTCTTTGGTAAGTAGTTCCGAGCCGATGTCTAGTACGACTTGGGACAGGTGAAGGGACTTGGATGCTAACAGTCGCTTCAGTTGGTCGACTTCTCCACTGAAAATGGCTTCCTTCTGGCCAACGGTCGCCAAATCTTCCCTCCGCCACCTCCCACTCTCATCACTGCCGTTCAGAGCCGGACGTCGGATGGCGTAGAGACGGAACCCATTCCGTTGGGATATGCTGTGGAGGAAATGCCTTTGCCCACTCCGCCTGAGGACCCTATGGATTTGGTCGCTGTGCGCTTCACTGTCCTCGATCTCGACAGTCGCCCCGTCCCCTTGGATACGGTGGCTTTGACTCTTCTCCATGACCCTAGCAGCGGCGAGCTGTACATCGCCAAGACTGAGATCGAAGAAGCGACCCCCGACCGCGTCTCCTGGAAACAATGCCGCGGAAAGCCGAAGTGTCTCAGGAAGCTCTTGTTCGACCGCATGCGCGCCTTGTTCGCTGCGGCCAAGGCCCGCATGCTTGGAATGGGACCTAAGCCGAAGGGCTCGCACTGCGGTGGTCCTCACGGCTTGGACTTCCCTCCTCCGCCCCGCCCTCACCATCACCATCACCACCATCCCGATGACAAGTTCGACCCTGAGCGCATGCCGCCCATGCCGCCCATGGAGGGAGAGGAGGCTGAATTCCATGGCCATATGGACAAGTTTGACCGCCCCCACCATCACCACCACATGCACCACATGCACCATGGCAAGTGGGAACGCACCGTCCACCGCGTGGTCCGTTTCATCGTGGTTCCCGCTGTGCTGGGTGTTTTGGCAGGTCTGGCCGCGAGCGCTCTTGGTATGCTGGTCGGCCAGATCGTGGTCTTCATGTGGCAACGTTTCCGCCGCTCTACTCCCAAGAAGTCCTTGGAACAGGGTACGGTATCTGAAAAGCAGGGTCTGATGATGGAGTCCGAAGAACTCCCACCGGCATACAGTGATGAAGAGGCCGTGGTTGAGGAAGTATCTTCGGCTAAGAACTGATTCGATCCACAATAATAGTACTTGCTCTCCTTTGCCTCTTCCGACCGCAAATCAAGATACTGCACTGCCCTTGACCTTTCCTATCAAAATATGGATTTGACCAAATATTCGGGCACTACTATGAAAAAAAATACATTTCCCGGATTTTTGTTGTTTCATTCAATGTGTTTCTATAAAGCGAACTCTCGTTTCAATTTCCTTTCCTCTCAAAATTTCTTTTCAAACTTCGTCCATCGTGTTCTGCAGGGATTTATAGTTCACTCTCGGCTTTTCCCTGTCGGCTGTACCAAGCTACTAGTCAGACTCCACTAGTTTCTTTATGTAGTTCCAATATGGTTATAAGTTGTTCCGTAGCGAAAGCACTTATGCACCATGCATCACCAGTAACACCTAAAGCAGGGGTTCACGTAGCTGCACTGGGGCTGCCTCGTGGTGTTTCAGAGCAAGACAAATCCCTGTCACGTGAGGATATTCACGGCCACCTGCCAGGAACGGCCGCCGCCAACCTTCCCCTCCTCTTCCTACCATGCCAACCGTCATCGCCCCAGGTTCTTCTGTCTGTCGCAGCCAGAAGCCCTCGCCGGACGATGCTGCGCTAGCTCTCTACGATGACCCTGATCCCTCTTGCGAATCATTCGTGGGCTTCTGTGCATCTTTCTCGCCGAACCCTGACTGCCGCTTGAGCTCCAGCAGCTCCCGCTTCCGTCCGAATCGGCCGTCAGCCGGATACTCACCCTAGACGCAGGAGGATACCTGCCTGCTCATTCATTTCACGCCACCGCACCAAGCTTCCCGGGCGCCATGATGCAGTGGACGTCATTCGTTCAGAAAGCCCAGTCCTTCATCGACCCGGCGAATTTCACTCTTCCTACCCTGACCTCCTCCGACCGCAACCCGTCCAAAGCCTCCCTGTTTCGCCAGCAGTTCCGCCTCCCCGATTCCCAAAACCCGCTGCAAGAGATCACCGCAGAGCTCATTCTTCCTATTCCTCATACCTCGTCACCGTCTCACGGAGAACCCAATCGCCCTTTTGTTGAGCGCGCTGGGAACCGCTATGCCGGCAGACTCCATCTGAGCGAACGGTTCATCTGTTTCTCGACCCAGCCGACGAGCTTCACGCCTTCTGCTAGCCTTGGCGCATCGACCCATTGGGCTGGTCAAACCAACGGCACAGGACCTTCTGGAAACGGATTTACTATCCCTCTCTGCTGCATCCGGAGGGTGGAACGGCTCAACAGTCTTAGCCATGTCTTCTCCCTTGCATTGACAACATGGAATGGTGCGCTGGGGAAGCAAAGCCCCGACTTCGTTCCGCAAAGATTCACGATCCAGCTGGCTGGAAGCAGGCAGGCCTGCGAACGCTTTTGCGACGGTTTGAAGAAGGGGCTGCGCGAATGCATGAAGGAGATTGAGAACTTGCGCATAGTCGTAAACGATTGTTACTCGGAATACTTACTGTCTGGTGCTAAATCCAAGGCCCAAAATGGAGAGACTGCTGAACAGCGTCAGCCACCTGATGCCGGGCTGGGAATGATATTCCGTTATCCCGGTGATGCTCGCAAGCTTCGGGATCGAAGTAAGATGAGACTATGGGGAGAATATTTTAGAGGTATGCAGCCCAACCCCAGTTCTATATATTGGGACGCTTATTAAGTCTTCTTGTAGAGAATGGCCGTAATGCCACTATCATTCGTCAGCCGACCTTCCATAAGTTGATCCGAGTCGGTCTTCCCAATCGTCTTCGCGGCGAGATCTGGGAGGTGACGTCGGGTTCGCTCTACCTTCGTCTGAGATCCCCTAAATTGTATACAGAGACACTCTCAAAGTTCTCTGGCCAGGAGTCTTTGGCGATTGACGAGATCGAGAAAGACCTAAACCGCAGCTTGCCTGAGTATGCTGGTTTCCAGAGCGAGGAAGGTATCGGTCGCCTTCGGAGGGTCCTCACTGCCTACAGTTGGACCAATGCGGAGATCGGATACTGTCAGGCCATGAACATAGTCGTTGCGGCTCTCTTGATGTTGGTTTCCCAGTACCGATTTCGGAAATGAAGCTGACCCTTGCAGTTACATGTCGGAGGCACAGGCTTTCTTCTTGTTGTCTGTGCTTTGCGATCGTCTCCTTCCAGGGTACTACTCCACGACAATGTATGGCACATTGCTCGATCAAAAAGTGTTTGAGTCTCTGGTCGAGAAGACCATGCCCGTGCTTTGGGACCACCTCACGAAATCTGATGTGCAGCTCTCCGTTGTTTCCCTCCCATGGTTCCTCTCCCTTTACATCAACTCCATGCCATTAGTTTTCGCCTTCCGTGTACTGGATGTGTTTTTCCTCGAGGGTCCTAAGGTTCTCTTCCAGGTTGGCTTGGCCATCCTTCGAATCAATGGTGAGGAACTTTTGGATATCCAGGATGATGGTTCCTTTATCTCCGTCCTCAAGGCATACTTCTCGCGTCTCGATGAATCGGCCCATCCGAGGTCTGAGAATCCCAAGCTGAGGGCCATCACACGGTTCCAGGAGCTTATGGTTGTCGCCTTCAAAGAATTCTCCCAGATCACGCACCAGACGATTACGGAACAGCGTGAAAAGCACAAGGATGCCGTCCTGGAGAACATTGAAAGTTTCGCCAAACGGACATCCATCCGCAATCTCGGTCCAGACAGTAAGAAGCTGAGCATGGATGATCTGGGCGTCATCTACGACCGTTACTACGAGGTTCTCTATGACCATCAGCAGAGGCAGAAACTCTTGGATGAGGAAAAGAGGCGCCAGGAAAAGAAACGGGTTGAAAGAACATCGATCCTTGGGCCTCCAGTGGATAGAGAGGTAGGCCGTGTTGGTCTTGGTCCTAGTCCCACTCACATGGATTACAACGCTTTCCGGGAATTTCTCGCAGCCACAGCGAAATGGGCAGTGGCAGACTCGCCCCCTTCGCGAAAGGAGTCAGCCGATCAGGGCTTCAACAGTCTGAGGGGCTGGGGCAAATCCTCTTCATTGTGGAATAATAAACCCGAACCAGCAGATCATGAGTTCACACGACGACTTTTCCGCAAATGGGCAACGGACCCTGACGAAGGTTTGAGCTTGCAAAATGTAGTCAATGGCCTTGCAAGACTTAAAGGGCCCCGCGACATCATGAACAACATCCAATACTTTTTCGACCTCTACGATGATGAAGGGACTGGTCGGGTGGATCGGGAAGGCATTCTTCGCATGTCAGAGGCACTCCTTTTCCTATCTCGGCGAGGCTTTGACGGAGCTATTTCTCCCACACAGTCTGTGGAAGACATCAAGACGAATGAACGTGACCCGGATAGGCTCAGTACAGACGAACGTTTCTTGGGCAGTGTCAGTTCTTTTATCCGTCGTTGTTTCGAATATGCCGATCCCAGCCATCCGGACAGCCGAGCAGTTGAAAAGCAGAAGGATCAGGCGGATGCGGAGGAAACAGCCGATAAGCTTGGGTCATTCAGCATCGGTGATGATGATGAGGAAGATCTCATTGATGTGAATGAAGATACCAAATCGGCTGCGTCAGCTGAGACCGAAACACTGGCGAAGCAATCGAATGAAGACAAGTCCAACACGCAGCACAATCGCGCCGTCTCAGAATCCGCAAACCCGGCGCTCGATCCGAACAATCCTCTGCACATTACTCTACCCACCTTCCGCATGGTGATCCTTGCTGATGAACTGTTGGAGCAATTCTTCGATACATTCTTCCCACAATCATTCCGCCTTTCCGATCATGGATTGCAAGCCTTGGCCTCCTCGTCTCTCTCATCCAACCTCACCACCTTCTCCAATATCGGCGTACCCAAGCCCCAGTCTAGCGCAGCAGCTGGCGCTTCAGTAGCGGGAGCCTCAGGCGGTATCGTGCCACCAGGCAAGGGTCTCCGCGGAGTCCTGGACAACATCGTATCAGATGGTATCCGCATGGCCGCAGAGGTTAAGAAGAGAATGGACGAAGCACAACGCGAACTGGAGCGCACCGCCCTCAACCGCGACGACGAAGAAGATGATGAAGAGGAGGAGTACGACGCTCGCGGCGGCGTTGCCACCGCATCCGCAATGGTCGGCGGCATTTCCAGCTGGGGCGCAGGTGCCTACGGCGCAGATCCCGAGCGACGGAGCGTCAGAGATGCAGATCGCGATCTCCTCGAGGGCGCCGAAGTCGTCAGCATGCGTGGCAAGGACGATGCATCCCTACTCGACGATAAGGACGGACATGAGCAGACAACACAAGGGACCCCGAGCCCACATGAGCCAAGTCAAGCCGAACACAACGTCATCAGCAAGGTCGAGTTCGAGTCTTAAATCCACCCCTTCCCCGACACTACCTCCATCACCTTCCTTTTCCCCCGCCCACCCTATCTCCTTTCGAATCCTTCTCTCCCTCTCTCCTACATTGTCTGCCTCATGATTTCATATCTATTTTACTGGTTACTGCCGGTCATCACCCATACAATTGCTTGTCTATCCTCATTTAGACGTCTGCTGGTTGTTTCTGGAAGATCCATTGTATGTATGCATGCATGTACCATGTTGTTATCACATCCCCGCAATACAACTAAAGATCTACCTTGCTTTGCGCTTTATAAACTGTGTAGTATAATCCGTAGAAGAATCACACTATAATTAAGCGAGCACATACAGTTATTTAAATACTAATCCTCTGTCGATCTAGTAGCTAGTACGAACTGTAAAGTACAGCTATCGCAAGAGTGACAAATTTCCCCTGCTCGCTGTATGAATATTTCTCTTTTTGTTTTGTTTAATTTTGGAAAATTTCCCGGCAGGTTTCAGGTGCCAGTCAACCAGCTGTTGGTATCTACCACTAGCTAGTTCGGTCTAGTCAAATGATTGATGGAGGGAAGAAGCTGTGTTACACATATATATTAGGTGAGCAAACAGTTACCAAAATTGAGCTTTATGCATTACAATGCGAGGCTATCTTATGTATGTCTGACTGACTATGCCAACTATGTATGTACAAGATCAACAAACCCGTACTCAATGGCCCAAAAAGAATCTGCCCTGGAGTACGGCAAGAAAAGATAAAGATGAAGGGAAAGGAATATATTCACCATGAAATAAGAAGGGTAAAAATGGGGGTATAGAGTCAAAAAGAAAAAATGATAATAATGGGGTAAGAGAGAAGTCGAAAGAGAAAGGGGGAAGTGGGGAAAATCGAATGAAAATGAGAGCTGGCACACGTCAAAATTTCCGCACAAGTGGCTCACTAGTATGGAAATTAATCCTTTTGCCCTTCGTTCTCGATCAACTCCAGAATCAATTGACTTCGCTCGTATTCAGGATGTTGCATGCATATCTTGACCGTGCGGCCATTATTTGCCAGGGAAGCACCGTTGGACAATCCGCTGGAGAGGTTGACAGCACCTCCGGTGCTTGTAGGGATGCTGTTCGCACCAGAGCCCGGCATGTGGCTGCCATCGTCAAGGCAGACGACCCCGTGGCCCGGGATCACCTGGCGAAGGCGGCCGTTCATGGCATTACGCACCTCAACAAAGTCATCATTGAACAAGATGAGGAACCTTCCGTAGAGGCACGCAGAGTGGGCGTGTCCCACAAATTCCATAACCACGCTGCGTGATACATCGCCATGTTTGTTCACATACACGGCACATTCAGTGTATACGACCAGGAATTCGCTGTCACTGAGGCGGAACATGCCTAGTGGGCGTAGAGCACCAATCCGCTGAGCTATACTGCTAAGGTGGGCTTGCGCTTCAGGTGGGGCTTCAGATCGGAAATCGGGGACCGACCACGTGTGTTTCTTGTCGATGGTGAGAATCTCGATGCCGCGATGAGTGGAGATTGCCAAGGAAGAGTGGAAGAGATTCATGCCATAGCTCTCGGCAGGGATGTAAAACTCATCGTACTCCCGGAAGAATTCCGTCTGCGAACGACGAGAGAAAAGGCGGCTTCTGCTGCTGGACGACTTCTGCGCGACTGGCTCAAGTATCTATGAACTCTCATGAGTATGCGGAACAACGTGGGGGACATGGCAGCGCAAACCTTGAAAGTAGACGACAGTCCATCACGCTTCTTGTACATAACCAAAGTCCGGTCTTTCATGTGCCCTGCTGCAAAGAAACCTACTTCTCGACTACCCGATAGTTTCTGCGGCGCTCGACGCGACGAGTCTGTCGTTGCCTGTGCTGCAACGCCGCTCGGAGGGCACACAACATCCAGGTGGTAAGCAATCAGCGACTTGTCCGCAATGAGCAGAAACACGTTGAATTCTTCAAAGACAGCAATTTGTGTCACGCGTACAATGGGTATAACCTTAAACGGCACAATTAGTATGTGGACGGTGTGTAGACAATATATGTGGTAGCAAAGAGCTACTTACCCGAGTCCAGCCACGAGGGTCATTGTAGTCCGAAACATACACACCATAGTCAGTGCCAATGGCGCACCTCATCCGACCAGGAGGCTGCTGGAAGACCGTGGCACAGTGGACCCCAGTCCGGCAAACCGGCGCCGGCCGTGGTGAGCCATGATACCGCTCTTCTACGTCCTTGATCGCACGATCAAGTGGCGTCCCGTCGATAATAACACCAGTAGGAATGTACGAGTTGTCGGAGGTGGCAAATGCAGTGTCAGCGAGAACACGAAGCCTGAACGGCTCCGCATTCTGCGCGAACAAGGCGGCAGCATGTTTGGTCTTCGCCTCGGTAATCTTGTCACACCAGTCTTGCCTGTTTTGGGCCGAAAAGGCATAGAGTGTATAGGTTCCTGCTTTCCCGAGGTGCTTGACCTTAAAAGGATACAGGATCTTGTCGTCTTTGGAACTCTCCAGAACTGTGGCAGGTACCAGAGCTCTGCCTCCGTTCAAATTGCCCGAGATGCCAGAATTGCCGCTGGCGGTATGGGTTAAAGGCCCGCCGGCAGCACCACGGCCAGCAACGGCGGCTGGTGATTGCGCCACGACTCCGCGGACGGCAGACTTTACGACCGGGTCATCATTGGTGCTCTCAAGAACCAGAAGATCCATGGGGATTGGCAATTTGGATACATCGTAGCTCTCGTATTTCACGGTTCTCGACGGGTCCCTAGCTGTGAAGGCCTTTGCAAGTACCAAGTAATGGTCGAAAAGTATGGCGTGAGTGTCCACCAAGAATCTTGTTCGTGTCCCTGGCCGCTGCAGGTCTCCCCGGAAGACGATTTCGCGGCCCAGATGCTCCAGATTGAGTTCAACGTCCTTCTTCATCTCCGGGCGGAGCTGAAGCTTGGTAGAAAGCTCCATGAGATCAACCTTCCTACTCATCTCACCCACCTTATGATCACATTCAAGTGCCACCATTTTAATCTCATCAATCGCTTGTGCCAAATTTGCTTTCTCCTCGGAATCTTTGACCATGTTCTTGTGCACCGTCGAGAGCAGCAGGGTGTACCGCTGGATACGAGTGATGGGAGCCTTGAGGTACGTGTCCCAGCTGAGACGATTCGAAAGCTTGTGGTCACGGACTTGGTTAAGGAACTGCCGGAAATGAACGTTCCTCTCTGCTTCCTTGCGCACCACGTAATTGGCATTCGGGAACGTCGCCGCGTAGTCGATATAGGCCATCTTTGCCTTTCGAATCCATTCCCGGAAAATATCACTAAAACCAGCGATGAATGGACCCTGCTCTTTCTGACGATACTTGAGTTGAGCCAAGAGATGGTCTTCGTTGACTTTCTTGACGGCATCTACCTTCCCAAACACATCGTTCAAGAACCGGTTTAGGCGCTTCGGTGCAATCACCGACGGTTGCATATTTGCCAGCTGATCCCGGTAGAGCTCGCGCAGAACGTCCAGCTGGGATATGTAGGAATCTTCGGTTGTCACAATCTCGTGCAAATTGTTCTGTCGATCAATCTCTTTCTTTGAGTGCGTCTCCCAAACTTCCTTGGGGACCTTGTAAAAAGTCACCCAGTCTTCTGCTTTCTTCTCTGGCTCCATCATCTGAGCTTTGAGATTGACCTTTTTCAGCGTCCGCATGCAGTGGTGCGAATAGCAACGTCCGAACACTTCCGCTTCCTGTTCATGAAGGCGGGAGGAGTAGCATCCTGTGCCCGTTATCTGGAATAGGACGCCTGACAAAGTTCCAGTGCCGAACTTGACCCATTCCTCATCCTTCACCAAGGCTCCCTCCGCCAGCATGTTCTTGACTACCCGTGCGGCTAGAGTTTCCGCATCAGCCATGTTCATCGTCGGGACTTTGTGGGTGAACAAAGCAACAATTGCCTCAACGATCGCATGTTCCTTTAAATCCGTCTCATCTTCGCTAAGCTCTCGGATCCAAGCTAGAATGGAGCTCAACGCCCATGGCTCCGTACAGCGTCGGAATTGTACTGAAGACAATTTTGTTGGGTTGAACTTCTTACGGCGTCCCGCAGGGATGGTGGGCAGATCAAGCGTCATGGCAGCTGCAGCATCCGGGGAAACATCAAGCTTGAGCGCGCCATACTGTTGCTGCCGTAATAGCTCCTGTTGCTGTTTATACTTCGCCCGGTCTGCATCGGTTTTCGATCTGATAGGGGGGTCAGTACGAGGCCCAATTGGATGACTCGACAGAGAAGTCGACCGTGGAACTTGGGTAGGGCTGGACACGGTCGAAGAAGCGTACGAGTCTGGAGCAACAGGGAAATGGGAAGGTGTATACTGGGTAGAGCCCCGCCCGTCACCCTGCTCGTGGTGCCGGTACGTCCCTGCCGGCATCAAATGCGACATTAAGCTCGGGTTACTCGCCGGCTCGACGGGAGCCGGTGGAAGTGGCCGCATGCCAGGGTGGAAGAAGAGGTCCCCAGGCTCCTCTCCCCTGCCTGAGCTCTCACTTCCCGAGTGTTGCAGACCATTATGTTCGGACAAGGGCCCGTCGGTCTCATCGCCGTAATCGAAACTCATCCGGCGTCCATACGCTCCAGGCTCTGACAAGCCCCCGGTGCCACCAGCGTCCACTCGTGCATGATGTTGCATATCAGTGTACGGATACCCAGAAGCATCGAGCGCTGTAGGTGGGTAGTCATAATCATCCGAATACTCCTCATGGCCATCTGCAAAAGGGTTAGAGCCTCTCATGGAGCCGGAAGAGGGCGCAAGCCTAGGATGACCAGCGTCATCATTATGGCCATTTGCGTAGTGATCCGTCTCGTCATATTGTGAGGCACGACGGTAGCTTTCGCTATAGGACCCAAGCTCATCCTGCTGCCAGTCTTGCTGAGGAGACGGTACGCGATTCTCGGATCGCGCTCCATATGCACTTATGATGGAAGCAGTGGTCTCCCGCCGCGCACGGTCTTGCAGGCGTTCGGCTTGTGCTTTGTCTTCCTCATCTGCCATTTGCAGCATAGCTAGACCTGCAGCAGCCTCTGCATCACTATCATCGCTATACGCATCGTAATTCACATATTGGCCTGTGCCAGTGGCGATACTGCCATTGGTGTGAGTATGTCTCTCGTCAGGGGACAGCCGCGGACCTGGTGAAACGCTATTTGACGGTTCCAGGACCAACGCACTGTTAGAATTCCCATGTGATGGATCCAAGCTATAGCCAGGCTCCCCAGTTGTCCGTCGATCCGCAACTGCAGCCTCGACCTCTTCCATCAGCTCATCATAGCCCGGCCTGGTATTGGGTCGACTATCCCGGCTTCCATATCCGTTGGCAGCCATATAGGGGTCTGCATCTGCATCCGCATCAATGGGAGGGCCAGGCAGCGGGCGCGACTGCGGGTGTCGAGTCAAAGTGTCTGTCCTACGCGGTGACATTTGCGTTTGAGTGGGATAGATCGGCGGTGTTGGAAGGGATCGTCCTGAACCGGGGCGTGTCAAACTAGACCGCTTGCCGAAGGCTTCTTCGGTGGGTGTCGAGTGGACTGGGGGTGCAGGAGGTTGTTCATCGAACGAAGTAATCACATCTCCAGGGTGAGGCAGCGACTGCGGCATGTGGGTTGGAACTTGTGCACTTCCAGCGTAGGGATGGCTTGCAACGTTCGCAGAAACAGCAGTAGAAGAGCTGTTGGCAGATATATAGGTAGCATTAGTTGTAGAAGGTGATGCTGTGCCGTAGGATAAAGAGCCAGATGAGAGTGTGGTTGAGGATGATGCCTGCTGAGTTGTGAACCCGTACTGCATACCTGGCGAAGCATTTCCATACTGCGGAGACGGACGGCTTCCATACGGATGGTCCGGTCCCCGAGGCGGTGGAGGCGGCGGCAACTGCGGGTGTGGAGGACCCCAAGTTTGGGGTGTAGGGGGGGCATTTGCAAAGGCGCTTGTTGGCTGTCTCTGCACCGGGGATGCGACGAAGCTAGCAGGCTGGTAGGCGGCTGGATTATAGGGCTGGTGGCCGGAGGCTGTCGTGCTGCTATACGAGGTGCTAGGCCCACTATACGCCAGCGGACTGAAGCCTACCTGCTGCTGCGATGGTGTAGGGGGCAAGGCATATTGTTGGGGGTTGTATGCAACCTGGGTAGGTGATGTGGCGGCCGGGACCGACGAGGTATACTGGTATTGGTAACTTGATTGTGAGGAAGCCCGGGTGCGCGACAACTGAGGCGAAGTGGGCGCAGGGACGTGCGCATATCGAGGGTCTGCGTAATCATCTCGTCCAGTATTAAGGACATTGTAGCTCGATTGGCCCTCGGCCGGTGCATTCCAGCCCGGATAACGAGCATTCACCTCGGTGGACCTGGTGTTCTGGGAATTAGGGGAGCCCAAGAGACCCGCGTCATCCCCCACATTATAACTGGGCATCCTTCGCAATTGTGGGCTTGTCGGCTGGGTGGGATACAGGTCATAACGGTTGTGCTGAGTGGGATTCGGCGGGGAACCGGGCGGCTGATTGTAGGCTGGATAACCATTTTGGTAGTGCGCCATGGTTGTTCAAGGAGGCCCAGCGGAAAATGAACGGCAGGTTGGACAAAACTGACTGCACGCGACAGCGAGAGTTAGGAAGACGAGGCTCCGGAACGGCCTGGGAAGGATTCTCCCGGGTTGAGTGAAGCTAGATCGGCTCACTTCAGACACTGACAGAAACCACCGGAAGCCCCGATCACGCTCAGGGCCAGCCTTACCACCGCGAGATAAGATGTAGGAACTAGTCGTAGCACCAGTTACCACCAACAGTGGATTGTTGGTAACGATGGGAGGTCGAGCCTCATCCGGACGTCGGCCGACCACAATTAAGAAGGAGGTCCGGGGAAAAGAGATCCACCTCTAGGCATACCCCAGCAGACAAGGGGGAGGGGGATGTCCCACGGTCGGAAAGAATATCGTTCGTGGTGAAATGAAACAGTAGACCAGAGGGCACGAGGAGGGGAGGATTAGGTGGAGGGGATAGGGGGTGGGGAAGGGCGTGAAAGATTGAACGGAGGGAAAAAGAGAGAGGGATTGATGATCTGGTCTTGGAGTAACAGTCCGTCAGTCCGATGGTGGTTGTTTTTGTGCCGGTGGGCACTCCTCCTCTCCTAACTCTTACTACTAGTAGTTAATCGCTGTGCCGGTTAGGTAGGCGGTCAGTTTGTCATCTTCTGTGCCTGATGCTGGGTGTCTGCCATGCCTGTATGCCTGATTGTCGGCGAGAATGCGAGTGGTCAAGTCAGTCTACATGAAGGAGATCTATCTCCTACTCAGCAATCCGTTTGGAAAATCTGGAAAAATTTGATGGGAGGAGACTCAGTGATTTCCACGCAATCTTGATCGATCCAGACATCAAAACCGCAGCGTTTGTTTACTTATTGTCAGTCTTTACAAAGTCGGCAAGCCATGGCTATAAGATTACAAATAGAAAAAGGAAAAAAAAGAAAAGGAAAGGAAAAAGAGATAGATAATAATGCAAGCTGCTGCAACTGTAGTTTATTTCAACTTAGCGTATATTATTATTACTGATACTGCAGTGGCTAACTATGGCGGCGGCTCAGTCTTACCCGAACCGAGCACAAGACTCATCCTGCCTCATGGTAACTAAAGGGCCTTGATTGAAGTCAAGAATCGAAATACCCTGATCAACTGAATGTTTTTGTTTCACCTCGTAGTCCACTCAAGATAAATCTGCTGTATGGCATTGAAGCATATTGTAAATCTTGCCATAATCTACGGTTTTCCTGTGACACAAACTTTAAGCACATATAAATATAGAAAGTGTCATATGTCATATTTAGGGGCCTAAGGGAGAGCGTGACGAGGCCAACCCAAACATAGAAATAGTCAATAGTTCAGTTACAAGATTTATATACATTTTCAGTGGTTTTTGTTAGTTCTTTGTATCTACAGCATTAGTAGTTATATAAAAAGTAGGAGTAGTACTACGAACACAATCATCTTTTCAATGCCATTAACTGAAACCTCAACCGGAAACCTACTCTATCTAGCCATGATCGCTTCTGCAACAGTACCACCTACACATTGCTATATATAGTTAGCCTGTGTGACTTCCGGGATACTATGATCAGGGACAGCTGAAATTGCGTGAGGGTATACCCATGCTGTACGACTAGTATTGTTGTGACCTGTAGCTAATATCAAAGCAGCATGACTTTCCTTATCCTTTTTTAAGGCACTATAGAAGAGAAACTTCATCGGGCTGCGATGTTATCCCTACGAGCCCCCTCCTCCTCTAAGAGTAACGGCGGTGGAAATTGCCTTGTGTGTTAAACATCATGTGGCTTGATATTTGTTTGTCAGTAATGGCATCGGAAGACCATGCTTCCGAATGCTATTCTGATCTGTCATATGACTTGGAGATCGGTACTGGTTGCAAATACCTGCAAAGGCAAATCTCCAGCTCAAATAAGAGGAGGGGTGGTATTTATTACAGACACAAGATTGATGAATAGGCACGCACTGCTTGGAATGGAATTGCAACCTTACAGAGCAAGTTCAGACATCCCAAAGCGATCCATAATCCATTGTCGGTTTACAGGGGAATGGTAATATGGTATACGGTATAGTGGTAGTGGCTCACTATCTTCCATGGTAACTATCTGACAGCTCGGAAGGGTTTAGATCCGGGGTAACGGTGGGGTTTTGCGGATGCAGAGCTAAAAAGCCCCCGAGATACGCATTCAATACGCACCCAATCAGGGCCTGCCTGGAGAACCTTCCGCGGAAGTGACGCTGAGATAATGAGCGATGACCGAATTGGGCCTATGATGAATACGACTTGGTGATGGAACCTGAAAAATACCTTCGCCGTTATATTTCACTTTCGGCGAGTCATTCACAAGCTACCTCATATATGACCCTGTTTCTGGTCATGAGCTCATCATAGGATAGGAGATGGCAATCAAGTCGTAGTCGAACAGTTAAACAGCATAGAGTTGATCTTGTGTCCGGGAAGGAACTGAGAGGCCGTGTGTACCTGATTGCTCAACATACTTAACTTTCCGCAGATACGGGCCTGGATCACCAGACAAGGATCAGGTAGCTCTTTGAGCCCGATGCCCATGTGAAGTCGGATGCTGGCTTTCCGTCTTCCGGGTTTCGAGACCATCGACAATGTACCAGGTAACGAACCTTATTGAATCACTGAAACTTTAGGGCCCCTTTCATCTGTTCTCTGACTACCTTAACATGCCCTCTCAGTCCTTCCTTCCTTGCTTTCTTCCCTTTTCTCCTGTTGTAGTTTGGGTCTCCTGCATCTCTGTGTTTTGTCTGACAGTGGACTTGCCGTTGCTTGTTTACAATTCTAGTGACCTACTATGCATTGCGTAACCTCAGATTGGTGACAATTGTTATGGCCAGTCAGCCAGCCCCTCCTGCGCCCTTTGGGACCCGGGCTATCACCGCTGCGCTGGGCTCGGAGCTGGAAAGTTCAATGCGCGCGACCATCACCTCTGGGGGAAAGACGGAGAGCTCAGATTCCGCTTGTTTAGAATCGGAAGACAGTATCAGACGGGAAGATCAGGAGGCAATAACCACCCTGGCGCGCAGCCTTTCACAGTTATCCAGTAAAAGCAGCATCGGCGAGGGGACGAATACCTTCCTTGATCCTACTAGCGACCCGGAGCTGGACCCCAATTCGGATCAGTTCAACTCGCGGAAATGGACGAAGAACTTACTTAGAATCACCTCGCGTGATCCAGATCGCTATCCTCGCCGCACGGCCGGCGTCTCCATTCGCAACTTGAACGTCTTCGGCTACGGAACTGCAGCTGATTACCAGACAAATGTCGCAAACATGTGGCTGAAAGGATTCGGTTGGCTTCGAGAAAAGCTCGGTTGTGGGAAGAAAGTCAGAATTGATATTCTTCGCAACTTCGAGGGATTCGTTCACAGCGGCGAGCTGCTGGTAGTACTTGGCCGCCCTGGAAGGTAAATTCACGCAGTGCTGCTTTCCAGCCTCTCAATTACGTGATGTGGAAACCCATGTTCATATTGCTAACGGGTAATACTTATAGTGGTTGCTCGACCTTTCTCAAGACCATTGCAGGCGAGACTCACGGCTTATGGCTCGACCATGGAACAGATATTCAATATCAGGGTATATCTTGGGATGAGATGCATAGCCGTTTCCGAGGTGAAGTCATATACCAAGCGGAAACCGAAATTCACTTCCCTCAACTCTCAGTAGGCGATACGTTGCACTTTGCAGCACATGCTCGTACACCATCCAACAGATTCCCGGGTGTGACTAGAGAGCAGTACGCAACCCATATGCGCGATGTTGTCATGGCAATGTTGGGCCTGAGCCATACCATGAACACGCGTGTGGGTAATGAATATATCCGAGGTGTGTCCGGAGGGGAAAGGAAGCGTGTCAGTATAGCTGAGACCATATTGTGCGGGTGTCCTTTGCAATGTTGGGACAACAGTACGCGCGGCCTGGATAGCTCAACGGCTTTGGAGTTCGTCCGTAAGTTACGGCTTTCCACGGACTATACAGGGTCTACCGCAATCGTGGCAATCTACCAAGCTAGTCAAGCTATCTATGATATATTTGACAAGGTCATTGTTCTCTACGAAGGCCGGCAAATATACTTCGGGCGCTCCGGGGATGCCAGACAGTTCTTCATCGAAATGGGATTTGATTGCCCAGACCGACAAACCACTGCCGATTTCTTAACTTCCTTGACCAGTCCAACGGAAAGAAAGGTCCGTGAAGGTTATGAGCGCTTGGTGCCTCGTACCCCTGATGAGTTTGCTGCTCGATGGAGAGACAGCGCTGAGAGAAAGCAGCTGCTCGCTGACATTGAGGCTTTTCAGCACGAGTTCCCACTAGGAGGAGAAAAATTGACAGAATTCAACCGCTCTCGTGCGGCCGAAAAGGCTAAAAGGACACGGGCAAGATCACCCTACACGCTATCGTACCCTATGCAAGTTCGATTGTGCCTTCGCAGAGGGTTTCAGCGTCTCAAGGGTGATATGAGTATGACCTTGGCCGGTGTTATCGGCAATAGTGTCATGGCCTTGGTTATCTCTAGCGTGTTCTACAACCTTGGGCCTACGACAGATAGTTTTTTCCAACGAGGAGCCCTGATTTTCTTTGGAATATTGTTGAACGGATTCGCAAGTGCGCTTGAGATCCTTACTCTATGGCAGCAACGACCGATAGTAGAGAAGCATGATAAGTACGCTCTCTATCATCCATCGGCAGAGGCAATCAGTTCCATGATTGTTGATCTTCCTTCGAAAGCAATCGTCTCAGTGGTATTCAATCTATTCCTTTATTTCATGTCCAATTTACGCCGTACCCCTGGACACTTCTTTGTGTTCTACTTATTCTCCGTGACAACTACTTTGACCATGTCCAACATCTTCCGTTGGACAGGAGCGATTTCGCGATCTATGGCCCAGGCGATGGTACCTTCTTCGATCTTCATGCTGATTCTCGTGATATACACGGGTTTTACGATCCCGGTCCGCAATATGCATCCCTGGTTCCGATGGTTGAACTACTTGGACCCAATAGCTGTAAGTGTGCCTGCATAACCAGTCAACAATACCACACCCACACCTTGCTTGCAATTCAACACCAACTCTGCTCAAGCCCCATGACCATTGCTAACATTTGGGTAGTATGCTTTCGAATCTCTCATGATCAACGAATTTAGTGAGCGTCGTTTCCCGTGTGCAGTTTATGTACCTTCGGGGCCAGGCTACGAAGATGCTCCTATTAGCTCCAAGATCTGCAGCCAGAATGGTGCAGTGGCCGGTCAAGACTACATTGATGGCGACAGATACCTGAATGTCTCTTTTCAATACTACCGATCTCACCTTTGGCGCAACTATGGCATTCTATTGGGTTTTATGTTCTTCTCCCTCGCACTTTACATCATCAGCAGTGAACTGGTCCGCGCGAAGCCTTCGAAAGGCGAGATTCTGGTCTTTCCTCGCGGGAAGATTCCTGCATTTGCAAGACGGATCCCTGGTGACGGGGATGTGGAAAGCTGTCCAGCCTCGGAGAAGTACGCCGTCGATGGTGAAGAGCCTGACCATACAGCCGCCATTGTCAAACAAACATCCATATTTCACTGGCAAGATGTCTGCTACGATATCAAGGTCAAGGGGCAGCCACGCAGGATCCTTGATCATGTGGATGGATGGGTTAAACCAGGCACTTTGACTGCCTTGATGGGTGTAACTGGAGCCGGGAAGACATCTCTCCTCGATGTATTAGCCAACCGGGTGACCATGGGCGTGGTTACTGGCGATATGCTAATTGACGGGAGGATGCGGGACGACTCATTTCAGAGGAAGACTGGTTATGTCCAACAGCAAGATTTGCACTTGGAAACAACCACGGTGCGGGAAGCCCTCATATTCAGCGCACTTCTTCGTCAGCCAGCTACTACACCGCGAAAGGAAAAGCTCGCGTACGTGGAAGAGGTGATCAAAATGCTGAACATGGAAGCTTACGCAGAAGCCATTGTCGGCGTTTTGGGTGAGGGCTTAAACGTTGAGCAGAGGAAAAGATTGACCATCGGAGTAGAAATCGCAGCTAAGCCCGACCTTCTTCTATTTTTCGACGAGCCCACTTCAGGACTCGACAGTCAAACTGCATGGTCTATCTGCTCCCTTATGCGAAAGCTAGCAGATCATGGACAAGCAATCCTATGTACCATTCATCAACCATCAGCAATCCTAATGCAGCAGTTCGATCGGCTGCTATTCCTAGCAAAAGGCGGCAAGACGGTGTACTTTGGAGAGCTTGGACAGAACATGGAGACCTTGATAAAATACTTCGAGGGGAAAGGCTCTTCGAAATGTCCCCCGAACGCTAACCCTGCCGAGTGGATGTTGGAAGTAATTGGAGCTGCCCCAGGATCCCATGCTGACAGAGATTGGACAGAGGTGTGGAATCAAAGTCCTGAGCGCACTCAGGTACGTCTAGACCTTGCCGAGATGAAGCAAGAACTACTGCAGCGGCCACCACCTCCTCTCATGGTGGGGTATGGAGCGTTTGCCATGCCTCTTTGGGCGCAATTTGCCCTTTGTCTGCAGCGGATGTTCCAACAATATTGGCGTAGTCCTTCATACATCTACTCAAAGGCTGTCATGTGTGTTATACCAGTAAGTATCTCGTGGTCCTCTCGGTATGCAGAGCTAACCGGCCACCATAGCCGATATTTATTGGCTTCACGTTTTGGCGAGAGCCGAACAGTCTTCAAGGGTTACAGAACCAGATGTTCGCCATTTTCATGCTGTTGATCATCTTTCCCAACTTGGTGCAACAGATGATGCCATACTTCGCAAGACAGCGAGCTCTGTATGAAGTTCGAGAAAGGCCCTCCAAAACGTATTCTTGGGTAGCTTTCATATTAGCCAGTGTACTGGTCGAGTTGCCCTGGAACATACTCATGGCTGTTCCGGCGTACTTCTGCTGGTACTATCCAATCGGCCTCTATCGCAACGCCATTCCAACACATACGGTCACCGAAAGAGGTGGCACCATGTTTCTTCTCGTTCTTATCTTTATGGTGTTTACCTCAACATTCAGTTCTATGGTCATCGCAGGCATTGAACAGCCAGATACAGGTAGCAACATCGCCCAACTTCTGTTCTCGTTCTGCCTGATTTTTAACGGGTAAGTCAGACCGCATCGCTTGTCTGTCAGGAAGGCTTATCGTTGTGAATCTAGCGTCCTGGCCACCCCGTCTGCCCTTCCTCGCTTTTGGATTTTCATGTACCGGGTTTCACCCTTCACCTATCTGGTATCCTCCGTCTTAAGTGTGGGCATCGCAGGAAATGACGTTGAGTGCTCCGATATTGAGCTGCTGCATATCCCACCTCCAACGGGACAAAACTGCTCCGGTTACCTAGACGAATATGTTCGCAACTACCAAGCAACCCTACTCAATCCCGAAGATACCACCGAATGCCTTGTGTGCTCGATCTCGAAGACCGATCAGTATCTGAGCGCGCTGAGCATGAGCTACTCGGACCGGTGGCGTAATGTGGGTATTCTCTTCGCGTTCATTGTGTTCAACGCTATCGCAGCCGTTTTCTTGTACTGGCTGGTGCGAGTGCCGAAGAAGAAATCGGTCAAGGAGAAGGAAGAGTAGGCTGGAAGGACAGGAAACATAGATGGAGAAGCCTAGATTGGCATGGCGGAGGCTAGATCATCTTCTTACAAAGTAGAGTAGATATGGGGGTATTTGGCTTGCATAGTTACTAGTCTTAGCTCCTTCGTATGTCGGCACGTCATCGCTAGTCTACAGGCCATAGTCTTTTCATCTAATATGAATGCCACACTATGTTCTTTCAATCTCCCCGATTCAGATAACCTAGGGTAACATTTCACCAGAGTCTAGATGCAGCCGGCACAATACCCCAACAAGGCGCATTGTCACCATTGCACAAAACGCTACGTTGTGGCTTTGCCTTGCCCATGATGTCATTTAATCGTACAGAACAGAGTACAATGATTTCATCGAAGCTAGACATAGATATTCCCGCATAATACATACATACATGTGAGGGCACCCAGGCGTCACTGGGGCTGTGGTGCAACACGCATGCGGTGTGCCGCGCCTGCAGCGCAGAGCGCAGCCCGGGCGGGCGTGAGATCCAGACCCAGACCAGGCCAGACCAAATCAAAAGATGGAAAGGATGTCCGCCCGGGCGCTGGATGAAATGAAATGAAATGATGGATCGATGGAGGGATATTCCCGGTTGGGGAAGAGGGGAAAGAAAAAGCCTCCTCGGGGAATGTTGAATGCACAACATTACCGTCGCACCAGGCAAAGATTCTGGGCGATAAATTACCATACGTGATTGTTACCGATTGGGCTTCCAGGAGCAGGGATGTTCATCCGCGTCGCTCGGAGTCGGACTCAGAGGTAACTAACTAGTAACTAGTTATGGTGGTTAGTTAGCTAGTTAGTTGGCCAACCCAATTGAGTAAGAGTCACAGTCAGAGTAACTACTCTGTACTCCATAGCTAGACTGGAGTTAACCGCGCGATCATGTGGCTTTCTGAATTAATTTCCCGGAAGCTTCCGACCACGCTTGCTAGCTGCGAGGGAGCTGCAGTCATGGTGGATTCGCACTAATTTTTCCTTCCGTGCTGGTAGTCATCGAAAGATTCAATGTTATCATTGTTGCCGTCCATTAGCGGGGGTTGTAGGGGTGTCCTGATCACTTGGCAATACTGTCGGAGACAAGGGTTCGAAGGAAAGAAGCCTCGCAAGACTTCGTGGCAGATGAGACGACGGCGAATCATTTTACGAAGTAGTAAGGCAGATTCGAGGGCACAGCCAACGCCTCAGCCACACGAGGATTCCGCTCGGTGGTTTGTGTGTCTCCGATGTTGGTTGTCCAGCATGCCAGTGTAGCGCGACTTTGACCAGGCCTGATACGCTGGCCTGAGAGTTTTGGACGGGGATGACAGCAAACGACCTTAGAACTAATCGCCGGGATAAAGTCCGATGCGACATGGCCTTGTTAACTTGTTTAGTCAACTGTGCCTTGGCCAGCAATTGGTGCTCATCACAAGATCGGCCTATGACTCGATCAACGCTACCCCGTAGTACCAAAGTAGTGTATCCATAATCATCAATGTTTAATTTCGTCCTTAACGAAGTGCCCTATGAGAGGTTAAGTACTCCCATGATCTTCGAGCGGTGACACAGTGGATTTTTTTCGGCCCCCCAAAATAGGCACTAAGTGGACTCAAGCAGCTGCGTCCACAAGATGCACATTGCTTCGTGAACTTTCATATTAACGACCGGAGTCCAGCAGATGATGGACAGGAAAGGGGTAGATAGTAGGAAGTGGGTCAATGCTCTTCCAGTAATGCGTTATCCCATCCAAGCGACGATAACGAATCCCAGCTCGGAGGATGACCAAGGTGCTAACGAGAGACACCACCAGACGATACTAACGGTATGAGCTGTCAGACCCTAAGCGGATATCCTGGGCGGGTGGCACCCCAGGGGCTATCCGCAGGTGTCTCCTCCGATCAAGAGTTAGTGACTTCTTGTCATTCTTCCTGTGTTCTCTGTGCACCATTCCAGAAGCGTGTCGGGGAACAGCGTGGCGCGGGCTTAGTGCCGTGCGTGCATGGGCAACAGGGCCAAACCGCACCCTGGAAAAGGTCAACAACTGGGCAAGAGGCAACCAACTATGGACAGATCAGGATTCCGCTAATCGTCGACCATTACCCGTTTGAGAGTTCCCGCAGCATAACATCGAATGGGAGCGAGGGTTGATGCAGCGAATGACTCGAAATGTTGGTTCACAATCAGACGAGCTCGACGATAACGCTCGCTAAATTGACCCGCGGCAGCCCCGTATAGTTTGGCCCCCGAAACCCTGTGGTGCTTAGTGGTTCCTCCGTTGCCCGACTAATGCAGCATTAGCTCAACACTGCCTATCATTGAGGCTGAACTGCCTTCTCTGGGTGTGTTGGGCAAAGAGACGAGAGGCCAGCAAGGCCAATCACACGTTGGAATGTGGATGCGCGAAATTTGGGCTGTAAGCCACGAGGGTGTGGAAATAGTCTGACGCCAGAGACTGGCAAAGACACACTTCCAAGCGCGAATGGATTGTTGTCGCTCACCGTCTTTGCGGCTCTCTCGGGGGAGGCGGACGGTCGGAGAAGCCTGGAGACAGGCCCAACCTTTTGCCCAGATCGATCATTTCCTCTGGTGGATGCCGCCGTTCTGTCAATCCCTAAACACGAGGGCCACCATCCTTGCAGCCCACAGGCGCCGTCTTACGACGATGCCAGCCAAACCTTCCACGGCGGAATCGATACCCACCTAGAAGTAAGGAAAATTAAATTGCATTAACGATCGTAAAATAAAATTGGGAGAAAATGGAAAGAAAGAAAAAAGAAAATAATAAAAAAAGGGGGGACTTCTCCCGAAATCGCAGATTATGACTGGCTGATTCGAGTAGGTTGACATCCAGACGCCCGGCCTAGAAGATTATCGGCCGACGCTGCAGGGGCGCACTACTCCGGCTTCCCAAGGTGCACTCCAACCTGATGCTCTCGACAAATAATGGCTCAGTCTGTTCAGTCGATGCGGCTCAACAATGGCCTTGACTCCACGCTCCTCTCGGTTCGCAGTGACCCATCGTGTGTACCGCCCTCGTAGGCCAGTACATAACCATGGCACCCCCAGCTGAAGAGGTACTGCCTCTGGTTTCCGTTGCTATAAAGCAGCGACCTTTCAGCTGGCATAGCTTTGGATCCCTGGAAAGCAAGCACAACGTCGCAGCTTATACATGATGGCCCACTTTCAACCCTTCCCAGACCTCCCGCATACATCCTCCGAGGACAATCTGCCCCAGGATTATGAACTATTTCCCTGTCAGTACGAGCCTTATGCGGACCCCACGGCTATTCAACGCCCTTCAAGCTTCCAACTTCATCTCTCTCCTCCTATCGACCTACCTATGAAGAACCCTTACATCGCCCCGTCCATGTCGTGGTCAAACGAGCCAGTCTTACCTCAAAACACCGACGCATTGACTGCTACTTCTTCTGAGTTCGGCTCACCTTGGAGCAATGAACTCGTCTCCAGTCCAGAAGCGAAAGACAGTCTCGCCACCGGTAGCTCGAGTTGGCTCAGCATGGGATGCTATATGTCTCCTCCATACACCTGCGACGAAGTCGCACTTCCGCCATTGGGGTTCGGGTCTTGTTCTTCCCCATCCGCTCTAACAGACGTTGACAGTCTGGTGGCGCCTTCCCAAGTATATCCCGACCCCGACCCTATTGTGAAACTTGAGTCAGATTCGGAGCATGTTATGGGCGGAACGTTTTGCTACAACAGCCCTCCCCAGCACGATGAATTCGATACCGGCTGTGACATTCAAAGTTGCCAATACGCAGAGACAGCAAGTCAGCAAGAAGCCTGTGGCTCTTCCGGTGATCAGCTCAAGACACCGAGGCTGTCTAGCACGAACACAGGCCGCATCAGCAAGAAGCGGCCTCGCAAAACATCCACCAAAGCAAAATCTACCTCTGCAGCTCGGGCCCTTACCAAGACCGGGAGTAAGAAGGAAAGTGCGAAGTCCAGCCGGGTATTCATCTGCAGCTTTTCCCACTATGGATGCCAGAGTACCTTCGTTTCGAAGAACGAGTGGAAGCGCCATGTGACCTCGCAGCACATCCAACCTGGGTTCTACCGTTGTGACGTCGGACGCTGCAGTCTGGATAATCTCAAGGGCAAGGATCAGGACACGAACAACAGTTGTGCCTCATTCAACGAGACACATCTTGTGAATGACTTCAACCGAAAGGATCTCTTCACCCAACACCAGCGTCGCATGCATGCTCCCTGGGTCGGACGCAACAGCAAGAAGCCCGAAACTGAGAAAGAGCGCGATGATTTCGAGCAGAGCCTTGAAGCGATTCGGGCTCGTTGCTGGCATGAACAGCGCAAGCCACCTACCCAGAGCGCCTGTGGTTTCTGTGGACAGCGGTTCATTGGAGTCCGGAGTTGGAACGATCGAATGGAGCATGTTGGTCGTCACTACGAGAAAGGTGACGCGGACCATGAAGCCGAGGATACTTTCTTGCGCCAATGGGCAGTGGAAGAGGACATCATCCGGCAGGTGGAAGGGGAGTGGAAGTTGGTCGGTCTTTGTGAGAAGTGAAGTGAAGGCTACAATTCCTTCCCAAACGATCCAACTGCTGCCCCTCCCCGCCTTCCTTTTCCTCTTCTCTAACCTTTTATTTTTCTGGGTTTGACCTGCTTCTTTATTTTCTCTTTATTTCCTATGTTGATTCATCTACTTCCTTTTAATACTCCCGGTCTGGCTATGGATTCTGCACGTCTACGTGTGCGGGACTGACTGAGATGATGATTAATGACTGATATCCTGTATTCACTATGTTTTATGTCATGTTTATTGGACCCCTTTGAGGTTTCCCTGGTTTTGCACAATACCCCATACACACTGAGAGAAAGAAGCAAGGGATTGCTGAGCTACATGGTTCTGGTTTTCGGCATTATTCGAGCACGTGGAGTTCATGACGAATAGAGAATGCGATGATACACCATTCTTACCACTATACTGCATATTCTACCATTCCGTAAGATAATACCCGATAGATACTACTCTTAAGATAGACAGGTAAGTAAGTAATTCATCCTCAGCCGCAGCGACTGTGAGATCGACCAACCAGTTCAGCTCGCCTCACATTTCCAGAGACCCCCTCACCAATCATTCCCAGACACTAAAGTAGCATCGTCCGGTGCATGTCAGCATAGCCCCCCATTCCAGATACTGCAAATCCACCAGAATATGGAGCCCGAAAAGAAGTGAAACGTTCCACGTGGCACGGGTACCCCCGGCGCTCCAAAACGAGAGTTTCCCATCCGATCAGTAGTATACTGGGACTGACCTACGTAGCTGGCCCCTTTCTTCCTTCTTCCTTCCTTCCTTTCCTCCTTCTAGTCCAGTCCATTTCTCTCCACTACCAGATCGTCGGGTACACAAAATCATGCCACGGGCCTACTACCTGAAACGATAGTTCGTCTTACATGCTGACACCCCCGTGGGCTTTGGTCGTTGATCGGGGAGGACCATGGTGCATTCCTAATATGCTCGGTAGGCATGTATACCGGTTCTAGATATGCGCCCGATAGGGTAATGCAATGCGTTAGTTCTGGAGGTACTCGGACACATTAAGAAAATCACCGAGATTGATCGGCAGACACATGTCCAGTTACGAACACATACGTATCTGAGTGTACCTCCCTCTGTGCGTCTACTACGTATGTATCGGCCGCCCAGAACCTACCCGCCTGCCGGCCGAGCTAGACTAGTGTATCAGAATTCAGCTGGGACTGGCTGGGGTGGGTGAGATTTTAGTTCGCATACAGATCGGCGGGTCAGCTGCATGCACCTTCATCTGGACTGGATGGGAGCATCCATTGACTGTGTTCAGTTGTAATATGTAGGTTGGAATTAACGGGGACCATTCTAGCATTAGACTAGTGTATGTAATCAGGTTGTACTGCATCTTGAGTCGCGCGTGGGTTTTGCTTGCTTTCCTTTCGTTTTTCTTGTTTTGATGACAGCTGAACAGGGTTCTGGAATTCGGGTGCCATGTGGTTGAATTGTATCCGGGTTGGCTCGCAGTACGTAAACAGTTGTCCAGACTGACGCGCGCGCTTCATCCTTCTTCTGTAAGGGGTACCCTCTTCTTTCGTTGTTCGGTTTCTATTTCTGGTCCTCGCTGGGTGTATACTCCGTGGTCTTATTTTGTTTAGACGCCCGGGACTTCTCTGGACCGGGTATCGAGTAGTGCAGTGATAGTCGCTGGCCATCAACGGGGATCCTTGGCCTTGTCATGTCACAGATTAATAGGTTCGTGTCGACAACAGCGCTGATCTTTCTGATTGCTATTCTGGGGCGCAGCAGTGGCCAATATTTTTCTGGCGGCCACCGAATATGCAGTTGGAACCAACAGGGCTTAGAAATCTTCTTCCAGGGTAGCAGATAGTTGTACCGAAAAGAGATAGGATCGAATTGTTGCCTAGACACCAGTAGTTACAGAAGCTTCATTATCGCGGTATTGTAGTTAGCACATCAATGCCGGTCAGACCCTGGTTATTCTGCTTTTCGACAATAGGCTGAGACAAGAGTGTCACTAGTAAACTGCAAGAGCGTATTCGTGCCACGCAGAACAATACTTCCACGGAGATTCCATCTGTGACAGTCCAAATCCGTGCCGTTGCTGCTATATGCATGAGGTGGATAGAAAGGTACTATTTCCCTTGTGTTCGTTGGCTGTTGTCAAGAACCAGCCATCAATTGCTCCGGCGGTAGGCTATGACGCGTGCGGGGATTTCAAGGTCAACGCGGGGTTCCAGTTTCGCAGGACTTCCCGACTATCTAATTACGCATTACTACTCGAGCACCACTTGACCAACATTCTGCAGTAAATGCATATCATACTATCCGTGAAGATTATCTCTTCCGACACTAAATATAACCTGAAGACCTTCCAATCTGCCTAATTCGATTTCTACTCCAACATGGCTTCGCAAAACCCCACTCCATACCCATTCCAATTCGACACCTCTAACCACATCGAAACGCACAATGATACCACCACATTGACACTCAAGAATGTCCGCGGTAGTATCCCGTCTACACAGACCTCTCGTCTACGTACAATGTGGCTAGAAGCTCACCGAGACCCTGCCAAGATAATAGCCCACCCATGCGGCTATGACGGCCTTTCTGCGCGACTGATAGAGGAAGCTGGCTTCCCTATGATTTTCATTTCCGGATTCGCGGTGGCAGCCTCCCATGGTCTTCCGGATACCGGGTATATTGCCATGGGAGAAATGTCCGCCCGCATCCAGGAAATTGTTCGTGTGACGAGTATTCCTATCATGGTGGATGGAGATACCGGGTACGGGAGTCCTATGAACGTGCGACGCACCGTGGAGTGTTTTGCTGCGGCGGGTGCAGCGGGTGTGATGATTGAGGATCAGACATGGCCGAAGAGTATGTATTGGTTCTTTGGGGATCCGTGTTCACAATAAACTGGGCCAAGTCTAACGAAATCCGTGTACAGGATGCGGCCATACAAAGGGTAAATCGGTTGTCTCTCGCGGCGAAGCCTATGCTAGGGTACAGGCTGCTGTGGATGCGCGTAATCAGGGACGGGATATATTCATCTTGGCAAGGACGGATTCATTGATCCACGGGTGGGACGAGGCAATGACTCGGGCGAAAGAGTTCAAACGCATAGGAGCAGATGGCGTGTTTGTTGAGGCATTACCTGATAGGGAAGCTATGAGGAAGTGCGCCGAGGAACTGGATATCCCTTTGCTTGCTAATATAATTGAGGGTGGAAAGTCGGAGAATTTGTCTGCAAAGGAGCTGGCAGAGCTGGGGTTTGCAGCTGTCGCATACCCCTGGACGCTGGTAGCTGCAAGGCTGAAGAGCGTTCGTGAAGCCCTCGATGGACTAAAGCGCAGTCTAATGAGTGGAGCGCCGCCCATGATACTTGGATATTCTGATGTTTGCGAAGGTGTTGGGTTCAATAAGTATTGGGTGAGTTTATTTTCTTCATTTTGTCTGTCCGTATGCTGATCATGTCACCCAGGACTTGGAATCAAGATATGAGTATAATGAGGATGGACTCACAAACCCTCCGGAAGCCTCTTGATCATGGCACAACCTGCTTCACGTTGAATATGACTGATTCAGTTCCCCAAAGTCAGCTCCGCGGACATGAAACTATGAGCATCGTGAAATCGATGATGCGGACTCTTACCCGCGCTCCCGGCGCGAATACTACAAAGACAGGCAAAACAATAAACTAGGGAATAGCATTCAGATATGATATCATCCGAACAGCACATACACTGAATGACCCATATCCATGTCAAGCCAAATGTTTGTAGCGGTTAAATCCTTAACTGCTGGCGGGGCTGATGGCCCACCTCGGCGTTAAGCCACTCGGCGTCCCAATTCATAAATGGCATTTAAGACCGAATACCCGGCTCTAAATACCACATAAAGATTGGGCTTTGTCTCAACAAATTCTCGGCCTGAGGCGTCCAAGCCGATCAGCCAGCCCTATGGCTATATCTATTGACCGATGGTATCCACAAATGTCCTGAATCCCTCCGAGGCGATGATACAATCGGAGATAAAATCAGAGAAGTAGTGGCGCAGCGATGGAGAGATGGTAAAGTGGACTCAATCCTACTAATAGTAGTGGTTCTCTACATTGAACGTAGCAGCATTATGGTATAAATACCGACTGCCGGCACCTGTTCACCAGATTGCTCAAGACCAACAGACATAATTGTATCACTTGAACATCTACTACCCCAAACAGCTACATCTATCTTTATACTACGACCAGAAATACCCCTCACAGAACCTTACAATCATCTACTACTACAACATCCCACTTCCTTTAACACAGCAATGGCCTCACAAGACACCGTAAGTCCCCAACAACAAGTGAAACCAGCCTCAATCCTTCGAACAACCTACCAAAACTAATACCCATCTACATCAGATTCTCCAAACCAACGCCCAATCAGCCCGGGAATACATCCTCTCTCAACCCAGCGATGCCCTAACCAACAACCCCTGGGCCGTCTACCAGGCCCTGGACCTCTACAGCCGCACAGCGCGTCTCATGAACTTCAAACAAGCCAAGCTCAACGTCGCCAAAGAAGCCCTCACATCCATGGAAACCCCACCAAAGGTGGTCATCGAATTCGGCACCTACATCGGGTGCTCCGCCATCGCATGGGCCGCCATTCTCCGCGACCTGCACGGTCCCTTCGCCGAGGGTCTGCACATCTACACATTCGAGGTCAGCGAGACGGTGGCCGACGTAGCGAGGGATTTGATCCGCGTGGCGGGCGTTGAGGACATCGTGCATGTGATGGTGGGGCCTGCGTCGGAGTCATTGGCGAAGTTGGTTGAGGAAGGGAAGATTGTGAAGGGAGGAGTCGATATGGCTTTCTTTGACCATTGGGAGAAGTTTTATCTGTGTGATCTGAAGCTGTGTGAGGATCTGGGCCTCTTTAGGGTCGGGTCGAGTGTTATTGCTGATAATACTGATATTCCGGGGGCACCGGATTATTTGGAGTATTTGAGGGCTGGGGGCCGTGGGGGTGAGGGGTCCGTGAAGTATGTGACGAAGTCGGTGCAGTCGGAGCATATTGTTGAGAGGAGACCGGTAAGTTTGATCCATGTCTTGTGTTGTTACTTTGCTTGGGTTGTGGATGTTGGCTGATCTTGACGGATTGGATTGTGCAGAATATAGTGGAGGTGTCTACTGTTGTGGCGGCTCCTTGAGGGGTCTTAGTCTGACTCTGGAGAGAGGATGAAATATTGGATATGATGTTAACGGACTCTAAGATTCATTGTATGACAGTTTTTGTATGCTGCGTTGTTTTCGAAGCTTGATATCATTCCTTGAAATAGCAGGTTGATCTTTGAACTTGAATTTTTTGGTATTTTTGGTATATACTGTGGATTATGGAAGTAGAAGTAAAGTCAGCCTCTACCGGCACAATACTCAAAAAACCATAAATATGGGCATCGAAATCCAGAACGTCTTTTCAACCTGTTTAGCTGCGAAACCATTACTGCCATCTAAAAGTAGAGATTAATCTATGGATATTAAACCCACCATTGGCTATCACCCCGTACTCCAGGGCGGTGAAGACAAAACCACCCCGAACAGCTGGGTGCAGTATAGACACCCAACCAACAGCGGCGCACTCCGCAATGTCTCCGGCAAAGACGCCCATGCTATGATGACACCAACAACAATTACGATGTGAATGCGCAAACACGCGAACAATCTCCCTTTACAGTCACCATATCTATCAACGACAAGCGAATTCAAGTGATGCTGGACTCCCCAACAACCTGAATCCCAGCTCAAAAAGGACAACAATACTGTCCGACTCCGACCTTTAATCACCATCACCAACCCCCTCCTCCGCAATGTACGTCGCAACCGAACTTCCTTTAGCAAAATGCACACCTAACAATCCCCATATAGGGCCGTATTCTCCCTCATAATAATCAATAAAGCCGGTGGGCTAGTCTACCAGCGCGAATTCCAGCCAGGACTGCGCAAACTCTCGACAAACGACTACCTCGTCCTGGCGGGCACGTTTCACGGGTACGCACTCAGCTCCCTATCTCTCCCCTAATACATCAATTCCTAAGTCTCACATACTAACCACCTTATTCATTGCTCAGTGTCCACGCTATCACCCGCTCTATTACCCCCAAGCTCCCCCTTGCCCCCGCCGCAGCACTTGCAACAACACCCACCACCGCGACCACACCCTCCCCCAGTAATGTCGTTTCTCCCTCCGCCACATCATCAACCCCTACCTCTTCTACAGCCTCATACTCGTACCCGAACCCGGGTGTACCGGCGACCGGTCTCGAGTGCCTAGAAACGGACAAGTTCCGATTAACGTGCTTTCAGACGTTAACGGGCACCAAGTTCCTACTGTTTACGGATCCGCTGATGGCGAATATCGATGTCGTTATGAAGAAGATATATGAGCTGTATGCGGACTTTGTTATGAAGAATCCGTTTTATCAGTTAGAGATGCCGGTTCGGTGTGAGGCGTTTGATCGGAATTTGCAGGGTTGGTTGAGGGGGAGGACTTGATTGATGGGTTGGTTTGTTTCGGGGAGGTTAAACGTGCTGGTGGGGTTGTGATAGATATCTTCTTTGTTTTTATAACTTTTCTTTTCGTTTCTTTTGCTTCTCCTTTTCTGCGGTTGCATGCATGGACTTGTTTATATCTGGGCGTCATAGTTTGTATCATGAAACAACAAGTTTACGATGGCGATAGATCTGCATATTAGATCGCATCTGTTTCAAAAGCGTGTTGCTGGGGAACCAGCCGCTTTCTACAATTACAGCAAGAAAACGCAAGTACATTTAAAAACGCCGGGTATGCATCAAATCATCCAGGAGGTTGTTCTGGTCTCCACATTAAGCAGTGTCCATCTTGTCACCATCCTCTTTCTTGTCTTTGCTCCCACTGGAGCCCTCCTCGGGAATGTTGTCCAGGTTGGCTTTGCGCTCTTGCTCCTCCCGGTCGCGCTTTTCCTTCTCTTGCCGGTTCTTCTCCTCTTCCAAAGATAGACGGAGGGCGAATGCCAGTTCGGGGTCGTTCTCAGCCGCATCCTCGAACCCAAAGGCACCATCGCCGCCTTCAGGACCTGCACCATCGGCACCGGAGCTGTCCCCGCCCAGAATGGGAGTAACCTGAAGCTCCTCACTCAGCAAGTTGGGGCCCGGGGGAATGATGGCGAGGTTAGAGCCGTCACCACCCTTGACGTTCTCGACGAAGGCCTCTAGTTTCTTGGTCTGATCGGATTCCAGATCTCCAAAGGCAATTACATCGATGGACACGTTGTTCTTCTTCATCTTCTTGGCCAGCTTCACTAATGTCTTCTCGTCTTCTTCGATGGGAGAGCAGGAGAACACGATGATGCGCTGTCTCTGGGACTTCTCGGAGCGGTGTTTGAGGGCAAGCTGCGCCAATCATCAGGTTAGCAATGCAATCAATCCCGTACAGTATCTATCTGAAGAGATGATGGAGTCGTTTGAACATACACCGGCCACTTGTATGCTGGAGCTAAGGTGGGCAGTGCCATGGATCTTCGTGCGATGCAGACCGGCCAGGATACCACCAAAGTCGGAAGTAAATGTCGAAAGGACCTCGGGACCTTTTCCGCCCATGCTCATAAGACCGACAGCAGACTGAGGGTGCACGCGCATCTTAGTGGTGTGAATGACGCTCACGGCGTCGATCTGAGCTTGCCATCGTGTCGAGCTGGCAGCTGTTAGAGGCGGAACCAGACGGTCGATTCTGGGCGATTTAGAACAGTTAACTTACGTATAATCTCCATTTCTGCTGCTTTCGCTATTGTCGACACTGTAGATGGCGTTAGTAGGTGCGCACAGAGCTTGGGATGAAGGTGGCTAAACGGACATGATCATGGTAGCTTCGAGCGGCATCTTGGAAGGAGACTGGCGGGGTTGATGATAGAAACGTATAGGTATAATCAATCAGATTTGGAAAGGAGAAAAAGTTCCTGAGAGTTATATGTTCAGAGCGTGGGAGCAAGGCAGGAGATGGGGGAGAATGGATGATGGAGGTTGGCGGAGGAGGGATGATGATGGAGCTGCTGCTGAGGAGGACGCAGATGTCACACCGTCCCGATCGGAGCTAACCACGAATTAAGTCAGCGCTTGTTTATCCTCTCCGCCATCCGCTTTCCTCCAGAACTCGCTCCAACGCGCTCCCCTCCGTCTTTCGACTTCCATCCCTTCCGTCCCCAATTCGTCCACACAACACATTCTACGCAATACAGCTCACCTATCACTTCCTCTATCGCTCTTATCCACCACCCATACGGCTACTCACGATTGCGCCCAATGACTTCACTCTCTGCTAAACGCAAGTCTCCCGAAGACGCGTCCCACAATGACGAAGCAAGGACACCTACGAACAGCCCTCCTCGGAAGAAGCTTCGTATTACCCGCAGACAAAAGCAAGCCCTGATTGACAACCTGCAGCTCGAACGTGCGCTCTCTTGATACCTCGCTTACCTGGCAATCCACTAACCAAGCCATAGTTACCGAGCGCGCCCGCAAACTTCGCGCACAGTATGCCCTCCAGGCGAACGATCTTCGGGCACGGATTGAAAGACGTGTCAATCGGATTCCTGTTGCCCTTCGCAAGGCGACAATGGGCGAGCTGCTGGAGAAACACATGGCCTCTCTTCGGGCCCAACAGGCGAATCCCTCTCCACGGAAACTTCTCAGCCCGGCCAAAGCGTCAAGGAGTTTCAGAACCGTTTCTGTGAGCCCCAATGTGCGCAAGGCCTCTGCTGCGAGCCCTAGCGCCCGCAGAGTCAAGAAGCAAAGGTACGGCATGAGTGCCTTCAACTTATACGTGCATGTATCGTTGAACAGCGCTGACTCGAGCATCCAGCCACGGAGAAATCTATTCCGACAAGGAAAACGCCCCTGCAGCTGGCGAACAGCTCGATGTCCTCAAGAACCCAAAGAGACGTGGACCTGGTGCCGCTGCTGGTACTTCGCGTGTTGTGTCCCAAGAGATGAGGGGTGCAGACTACAGAATCCTATCTCCCAAGACGTCCAATTCCAGAACATATCCGCACTCGCCGTTACGCGCCTCACCCGAGAAGCCAACGAACTCTTCCTACCTTGCAAGACCCATGTCGCCTCTGAAACCCACCAGCCCACTCAAATCAACATCAGCTAGCATTCCTGCACTGGCAGACAACGCTCGCATTAGGCCAGTCAAAAATACCTCTACCTCGATTAAGGACAACCGCCCCCCATCACAGGCTAAGAGACCCGCCAGCCGAGCCGCCACAGCCACTAGCAAGACTACGCGCTCACCACTGCCAAGACCCGCGACTCGCCAGCTCGAACGCAGAGGCAGTGTGTCATCGTCCGCATCCTCCGGAACAACCGTTGCCAAGCCAACAAGGACAGGTGCCGGTGCCCGGAAGGCAACGACAGCATCGACTTCAAGCGCGACCGCGAAGAAGACAACAGTCGCCCGGAGCCAAGCAACTTCGGCCACCGCGAAGAGAAACACAACTTCGGCCACCAGCAAGAGGGCTCCCACTCCTGCCGGTGGTGAAGCTCCAACTGCGGCTCGTAGAGTCCTTCGGAAACGCGCATAAGTGCTGTATTCCCAACTCAAATTAACCCTTTTGAATTAGCATGTTTCGTTTCAATCATTGGCTTATCTGCAGGGACATGGAGTAAAAAGGGGTGTATTATCTCTGGGCGGGATTATAATATGGAAGGATAACCGGTGTACAAATGGAGTTCTGTCCTGTCCTTTTTCCAATCAGGTCCTTTTGTGACCATATTGGCTTTCTGATTTTGCTTCTCTTGATACTGCCGCTTATTGATTATTTCCGATTACAAGTGGCTTTCTTTCAAATCTTCGACACTTTACATCTCTCCACTGGCTTGACTCGTATCGCAGGCACTTGCATAGGCAGGGCAGAGCGCTTTCTCGGGCTATCGTAACAGTACTACTCTTCTTCATCACCAAAACATGAGAGATAGACTTAGGAGTAATTGCGGGTAACGTCTTCAATTAGATAGATGCCATTAATGGGTACTACGCGTATGCGATGATGATCATGGTTGAAGGTTAGCTAGCACGAATGGAAGACCAACAATAGTAACTACTGGGCAAGCATGCTCTACTCTTGTCACTTTTCGGGATAGAGGTTTTCTTTCTGGTTCTTGAAGCATGGACGCTGACGAGGAGCAAGCGAGCAGCACACAACTTTGCGCACTTCAACAGAGTTGGCACTATGGCATTCCTTTCACAATTGTATGTAAATTACACCTCCTGTTCTCGAGGAAACAGCATCGCATGGAGACATGGATGTGATAGAACCAGTCACGAACAATTCGGGATATCAGAAAAAGAAAAGAAAAAGAATCAAGTCGTATGGGTAGAATGTAAATAGGGGGTTAGAAGAAAGGAAGCAAGAAGAGTATAAGGGAAAAAATGAAACGAACTGAACATATGACTCAGCACAGGTATCTTTGCAGTCATCAGACTGGCTGACAAATGAAATCAAGGGCAAACAGAGGATCTCGATAGTCTCACATCTCGATCGGTAGTAGGTTAAGGGGGGGCGCAACGCCAGGAAGACGCAAGTGATGTAAGGAACAACAAAGGGCAAAAAAAAGCAAGATGCCAGGAGAAAATGCCCACGCTGGGTCTCAACTGTTAATGCAGGTGGAATGCCAGGAAAATAGGAATCGAAAACAACATCCAGATCCCAGAAATTGCCAACCCGAACGGGCAGAGGCTCCTGTGGCCATTTGCGCGCGGTTGGAATCCAATTTATAGGGGGCAGTGAGTGAAGCATGTCGAGACTCACAACCAAATGAAACGCACCCCACGCAGTCAGTGCGCAAGAGAAAGCAATTAGAAAAGCCTCGATCCATCAGGAGAAGCTGTCAGCCGATCATCTAACTAAACCCTGGAAATCATCTCATTTCAAAAGGCGAACAAACTCCATCCAACCTTGTTAAATCGAAAGAACGCTGAACGGTCCAAGAATACGCCAAGAGCGATCACTAGGATATAGAGGCGGGTAATGCATTGGTAAATGTCTTCGAAACTATGCAGAGAAGGAACGGACGGGTTGGCGTCGTCAAGAGCACAACTGGCAAAAAACTTAGCCAGCAACCCCCATGGGCCCAGCTCCTGGACGAGCCCTGTATGGCATTGGCTGAGACTGTCCTTCGGCTTGCATAGGGTTCTGCTGACTGCCATTACTGGTGCTTCTTTCGCGATAGTCATTGGAAGCTGTAGGGGCCAGTTCTGTACCAGCTTGTGGAGTACCACTGGTCGAATGCTGATGCCCACCAGGGCTTTGAACATGGCGAACTGAGCTTTGCATCTGCCATGCCGTGTCTTGGGAGGGATCTGTCTCGATACGGGCAGAAGTAGGGATATTGGCAGCGCGGTTCGAATTCGTAATTGTAACGGTTTCGCCACCATTGCTCGCCTTGGGGGAGAAGCTTCCGCGCGCGATATCGCCGTAGCGTCTAAGTATTTCCTTAGTTGTGACTTCGGTGTTTTCCTTGAAGAATGTTGTGTCGCTAAGGACCGACTGCAGATCCTCGGGTATCTAACCAAAAGCATGAGTATATGAAAACACTGGTCAATATCGGAGAGAAACATACCTCGCACATTGTATCATTGTATGTAATCAGGCAATTAACGGCTTCGATTGCCAGGAAACTCTCATCCACCGTGCTATTTTTCGCATTGGGGTAGAGAATATTGGGTGTCATTACTGTCGCGAGGTTGTGTATGTCCATCTTACTACCGGACTCCTCATCAACGTGCGAGAAAGATGACGTCCAGTTAAGGAAGGCAAAAAGTACTTCCATAGTATCCCGATGAGCCTTGGGAAGAAGGCAGCATGTAAGATGCAATACACGTTTTTGCTTCTCAGGGTCGGGTAATTCTGTGGTATAATGGTAAGTAAACAATGTTATAATGTCAACCAGGGCCGTCAGTCACTTACTTTGTGAAACAACAAACAGACGATGGAGCTTGAATGTAAGGAGAGGATCGGGCATCTCGCGGAGAAACTTCTTCAACAGCGCGGCAATCTGGACAGGATTCTCCTTCGTCATGTCCACCTGTTCATATTTGTTGTCGATCATTTCAGAGATGTCTTTCAGGCGCCTGATATTGCCGTTCTTTCGGAAAACACCCTCCACGGACATATCCATTTGGCGCATGGCGGATACAGCGTCATCAACCAAGGCTGGAATACGAAGTTGTCCTGGACCCACACCATGACTAGATTCAGTGCCCTCTCTTTCAACAAGGAAATCCAGGTTTACCCCGAACACGCCTTTCTTCTTTCCAACCTTCTTGCCTTCTTTGTTGAAGGCGCGGCCAAAGATATTCCATATGGTAGGCTTTCGTGATTCGATCAAGGAGAGTAATTCCTCTAGCGTGAAATATTCACTCAACAAAGGCTCCATGGACAAGACAGCAACGTGCCGCACAATAAAGTATTCCAAAGCAGAAAGCTCAGAGAAATACTTCTTTGTCCTGCCACCTTGTTCGATAATGTGCTGGTCAAGACCTGCTCCGGATACGCCACGCTGATGGCCATGATTGTATTTGGGAAGTGGTTCAGTGGTTCCAACCAACTTGGTCCCGGCGTGCTTGTAGGCGTTGGGACGCTGCTCTTTAGCTTGCTCGGCAGCAACAATTCTGGGTATGTCATCCAATGTCAATGCATCCTGGTTGCCAAATGTCAGCTCGGTGACCGTTTCCCCGTTGGCATCTCTTTCCTCTACAATCTGGAAGCCATGACCCCGTGGGTCTGATCCGTCGCCGCCCGATGAACCAGGTCGTACGCTACGGCCTTCGGGGCCGTCGATAATGCGAGACGCCCGGGCCTTCTTGTAAGTAGTTGAGAGGGTACGCTCATTCCGGATGGATCGTAGACGCCGCATTTCGCCGACAGTTTGTTCAAGTGAAGACCCCTCTTGAGGGCTCCTAGTAGCGTTTGCGTACGATTTGGATCTTGTGGCAGATCGGCGCATTTCGCCGCCAGGAGGGATGCGACCACTTTCGTTGCCATCTTGTGGGGGGGAAGCGTCGCCTAGAACATGAGTCAGAAGAGGTTAGAGATGATGCTATAATGAGGAAGAGAAAATATGAAAATCATGATGACATACCAGAACCGAGACTTCCGCCCGCTCTGAGAACAGCAAGAAGTCGCGCAAGAGCGACCTTGAGGAGAAAGACAAATTGCTGGAGTTTCGTGATATGTGTAAAACCCCCTTGTACGTCGTGCATAAGTCCTTTCTGAGAACCGCAATCGCTACAGAAGGACTGCTTCTCCTTGGGATTCCACAGGGCATCCTGGAGAGTATGGGACAACTCCTTCTGGCATGACGCACAGGTGAGATGAGGTGGCTTTATATGCCACCTGCTATCACCCAGCATGACACATTCGTCATCGATAGGCTCTTTGCAGGCCGCACAACAATCGGAAAGTTGATCAGCCAGTGTGTCGACACCGGTCATTAGATCAGCAAGCGTCTCTTCTTCAGGTGGCCTGAGTGTCTCCAAGTCTCCCAAATGGTCTAGGAAATGATGAAGGCCTTGAGAAGCTTGCTGCTCTCTCTCAAGCTTGAGGGCTCCTTGCAAGCCAATGCGGATTAGCAACTTCAGGTAATGCGCAAGGCCGGTGACCAAAGACAGGAGCTCCTGAGTGACGCCGAGTTTGCGGACACCAGTTTCCTGGGTTTTCGAGAGTAGTGCGAAGAACGCAACAATTTTCTTGCACAGAAGCTTTGCTTCACGTCCATATGCCAGGTCTGGAGAGTCAACATTGTTAGTTTTTAATAATCCTAGTAGAAGTCAAAGATCAGTTGTTGCAACCTACCTTTCATGCCCTGTTCCTTGATATGTCCCGCAAGCTGATCGATAGCCGAGAACAGAATATCAACATGGCCAATGAACCTCTTGGCGACAAGGACACCATCCAGATATGTGCCATTGCTAACATGAAGGAGCATATCTGAAATGCAGGCTGCGGATGATTCCTCGAAGCTGGATAGGATGCTCCATATTTTATACACCTTTTCTTCCATTATGTCCTCCTCTTCACGCACCCTATTGCGCTCCTCATCCGTCGCGTCCGTCTCGACTTCCGGGGTTTCAAGAGGCTGGCCGGTCGGGGCCAAACGGACATTCCAGAACTTGTGAATCATGTAGCACTCAGGGTGCCAATGCTGATTCTGTCCGTTGCGGAAGATCTCCACGAATTGTTTCAGGATTGCTGTATGGCAACCATGGCATCGTTGTGCAAACTGTGTGGAATAGTGAAAATGACAATAAACTTTCCCTTCATGCTCGTAGTATGAGTCTTGTGCACCAAAAACAGTGGGACAAACAGAACAGGTGAAGTGTTCAATGTGATACTTGCGTTCCAGGGCCGTAATATACGACCCACGCAGGGCACCACCACATTCATGGCATAGAAGATCTAATCGCCGAAAGTAGTCCGTTTCACATAAGGGGTATTGACCACTACCGTCTTCGGCATCAACAGGGAAGAATTTCGATGCCACGATTTGGCCGCAGTCCTATGTTCAACAGAGTTAGCTGAAATCCGAGTGTTTCCGTAAGCCTGTGTACACACCTCGCACTTGAAACACTCGAGATGATATGTTGCTTGCAAAGCCCGTACGAACTGGCCAGTCAGTGGTTCGCCGCACTTCTTGCAGATCCGAGACGAGCTTCCTGGAGATTTTGTCGGTGGCCGACCATTCGGACGGGATCTCTCTCGTGGCGTGGATCGGTCCCAATAGCCATTGCGATCCCGGGGAGTTGACGGATCTCTGGGGCCCGGGTGACCAGACTCCAGCCGCCGGCTCATACGATTATCAGAGCCTTGTGGCCCCTCAACAGGGCTGTTCGTGGAGCCGTTCCACCCTCCCGTCCTCGTACGAGGCGAGTCAAAGATAATATTGCTATCTGCGGGAGACGTAGGCGTTTGCGATTGATAGCTACCAGATCCATAGCCGCTAGTGTTGAGTTTCGGGCGGACAGCCCCGTTGCCCGGCACGAGGCTGTCCGGCAAAGGAACGTCGCCGGGAGGCATGTCCGTGGGAAACTATGCCTTTCCGCTAGGTATCTAAGGGAGTAGGACCTGGCTCGACGGGTTGTATGGACGATACTCGAGAGTGTAGATGATATCGGAGCCAACAAGGCGAGGTAGGGCCGAGTTGTAGAAGACGCTGGAGGGGGAAAGGAGAATCTAGTGCGGAATTGGAGAAACAAAGGGGCGAGTTGTCAATGTCGCGCGTCTAACTAAAGGACTTGCCTTCTGCTGAGTGTGCAATGTTAGCATAGGGGGCAAGCTTCCGGGATTCGTTCGCGCGGGGTTGTCCAGGAGAATTGACGGCTTTCCCGTAGCAACTCACCTCACGCCATGTAGATGAAACCTGCGGGGAATATCGATCAAAGGTGTCGGGGCGCGTGATAAAAGTATAACCATAAAATCGCTTCAAAGTAGCAGGTGATTTTGAAACCGATTTGGGGAGAGATGCCTCCAAAAGCGCAACCGCCCGCGTCGAGGGAAGCGGAATGGGGAAGGGTTGGAGCTCAAAGTGAGACCAACAGGCGGCGGAGTGCGCTGTCTGGAATCACAACCATTCCTAATCCCTTCCAGAGAGACTTTTGGTGGACGGCCTGAATCCGAGGTTGAGGGAGACGGGCCGGCAAAGTAGAGCAGGGGAAGTAGGTTCGGGTCGAGTCTAGAATGCCAGCTCGAGGGAGTGAAAGCGAGGGCAGGAAATCGCGTGTTTTGGGAAGAGTGAGTGTGCTGCTGGCAGTTGTCGCTCTGCCCCCCTATGCTTCATGTTGCTGGTTGCCCGCTAGAGACCATCACGTGAAAGGGGTCACCGCCTGGCACACCGCCAGAGAAGGCGCTTCCATGGCTCCTTCACTTGTGGGTGTATTACCAGACAGGGTAACCGTTCCAGAGTTCACAACAGCCAACATGGAGGTTAGGGGGAGGCCCAAAGTACCCCAAGTTTAGTGGCCGGATGGAAGAGGTTGTTTCATGTCAAAGTTTATCTTCTATAAGCTACATGAGGTGGTTATTATACTATCAAACGGACAAAACGCTCCGCACATCAACTACTTAGACTACCCTCTTGATCGTGGTAATTAATGTAGGAAGACAAGGTACTCGGCAGTATACCTGAGGTGCTGGCAGAAACAGACCCTGTAATTTCCAGGGATGTGGAGACCTCAGGATCATGCCGACTGCCATAGTGGGTAGTGATGGCAGGTGAACGGCATGTACGCTGTTGTGCATGCTCTTCTCTCAAGGATGAACAGAGTCGAACCCCCCTCCCCCCCCTTCTGAGACATCCCTGGGGGGGTCCCTTTTGCGCATACCTCTCCCACCACGCGCTTCTATTTGGGCGAACCTCGTCTTTCCCACGCGGCTTTTGGGTCGTTGGATCATTCCCCGCATCCTTTTCTGCTTCTTCCCCTTATTCATCACGGGCTAAAACCACTAACTACTATCTAATCAGGCAATGCTAACTCTAGGGGAAGCGGGCGAATGCCCGACCGCTCGCTATTATACAGAAGCCTTACGCTACTATGGTTATTTCTAGCAAACACATCCACACCAATCTAGCATACGCTGCTTTACCAAGTGTGCATGGAGAATTAGCTCCTTATTCCTCCCTTTCTTAGCGAACAGCAGTCGCTCCATATGCTAGACATAACAGGTAAAGATGTACAGCGCCATATTTCTTTTCATCGATTATCCACCAACGCACTGGGCGGAGAAATCTCTGAAGCGATGAAGGGTAACCAACCATACTTACTGCGGATCTTAGAGCTGGCATCTTAATTATAGCTCACACTCATGGTGGTATTGAATTAGAACTCCTTAGCGAATGCGTCTCACGCTTTTACAAATGCTCCGTTTACCCTGACAAAGGCATCCAATGTGGATAGTTCTCGCTTTGATAATGGACAGGAAGCCAAGAAGCCTTTCTCCAACGCTGAGAGAAATGTCTCTGAATCAAATCCCATACGGCTGACGCGAAATTTATCCGAAGTGTCTACTACCCCGACCTCACTTGCGATTCCTAGCAGTTCATGCTTCTGTTTTTCGCATAGTATAAATCCTCAAGGGAACAAGGCGTCGTTCATTGCTTGCGATATCATGTTTCTTACCGAAAATAGGCGTCAGCAAGATTGCGGCTTGATACCCATGGGTCTCGTGTTGCGGATTTGCATTCCTGAAGCATTCCCAATCCTGCTGGTGTACCACCTTCCCAGTTGTACATGGAAATTCTTGAAAGGTTGGGTTGGCAGCGGGGGTGGTAGCTACTCCTCATTGGGCTTGATACTCAGTACTGTACTCCAAAATACTCCGTCGGGGTGGCATCAGAATCTTCATCATGGCAAGCACTGTCGATCCAGAAAAGATGAGATGTAAGGGGCAGTTGAAAGGATCAGCGCAGCAGAAAATTCAGGAGCCTTGAACAACACGCCCAACGTCACAAGCCAATCGAGGATCTGACTGTAATGATATTGAGGGGCTTGTACGCGGTGGGTTACGAGATTAGGAGGGGTTGGGATAGTCCAGTAGAAGAAAGTGAGTCGGCTAGTCAGAGAAAAGAATGGGGGGGTTTCTTTCTAGGTAACCAGCCATCCATAATCCCATCCCGCCTTGCCTAAACGGGCATTAGACCCAGGGTCCTGTCAGTGGTCGGTCGCGACTCCAATGGCTCAGTAAGTACGGAGTTGTGAGAAATATTTTATTTTCAGTGGATGTGTTTATTTTTGTCTCCTCGAAACATCATCCGTCGAAGGACGGATCCGTGTCTCCACCTCTGCGGGCGGTGAGACAGGGGGCTGTTTCCATGGGTCATGGCCTCAGTCCCCTTGACCAATCTTGACCTGGCAAGAGTTTGTGCTAGACTGACGACTAAATATGGAGTATCCCGTCGATCAAAAATCGGACGAGTAGTAACTATGTAGCTCCTATGTGAAGGGAACTAATGGAAGATGCAACTTGCTGGACTACTGACTTAAGTGTCCTTTCTGTAGCTCCAATGAATAGTGTATCTCCATTCTCGTCGCTCTCGTACAAGCCATTTGTGCCAAGAGTTGTGACAGCTAGTAGTGGCTTGCTTCATCGTGGTCTATTACCTATCACCTTGGCCTTACCAGATGCTCTGCTAACAGATGGGTCGAGTATTGGCCATCAAGTCATAGAATCCAAGGCTTGCCGCAGAGGTTTGGAACGAGGTTTCGCAACTGCAACATCCACTCAGGTGAATTGGCCCTCGAACATTGACAGGTATTAAATACGCAAGTCAGTACATAGTTTCATGCATGTACTCCGTAGAGCCGTCGCATGGGGTATTGTTTTTTACATGCACCTGAGCATGCAGCCTTCTCTTTTGCCTTTGCGCTAGCCAGAAGTACTGCGTACAGGTCAGATTTACGTCTCTTCGCCAGTCTTGGGTATCTTCAGTCTGTTTTTACTACGTGCCTGGAGCCGTGTTAGGAATTGACTCAGACTGATCTCACTTTGATAGTTAGCCTGCACTGCCTGGCTTCCCCGCCATCAACTACATTACGACGTTGATTGATCATACCCTCCTTCAACACGCTTCTGTCTCTTCCCCGTCGACTGCACCTTGATTTTTTAACACTCAGCCTAGTGATCCCGGGCCCCCGTCAATCTGTCTCCCATTTTGGACCTTCTCGGTCGTCAGGATGTCTGACCAGGCGATCCTGCGTATTACCAGGGTAGCTAGCATTCCTCACCGCATTCTTCTAAGCTTCGCTGGGCTAACGGATGGTCTTACCTTGGCGGGGTCTTAGGAAATCAAGCAGATTCAGCAAGGCGCAGACCTCTGTGGGTACTCCACACCCTACTAATAGTAATCGGAAAACGGTTCCATCGAATCCCCGTTGATGGATAGCACCGGCTTACAATGGTCTATGGCCTTCGCATTCTGATCATTTGCATTAGCTCTCGCAGTATACTACGATGATTCTGATATCCGGAGTGTCCGTGCTCTCATTCTCGGCCCTCCAGATACTCCCTACCAGTTCGGCTTCTTCGAGGTTCGTTTCCAATTCTTCGATAATATCAGCCAACTTCACAGTGCTCTGTGTTGATCTCCAGCATGATACCCTAGTTTTTGATCAAGTTCGGAAAAGGTACATTATCATCATCTCGTGCCAATTCTTAAATCCGTGGACAAGTGGACTAAGCTTCGCAGACTACCCGGCGACATCTCCGAATGTTCGCGCCCTGACCACTAACGGTGGTCGCAGCCGCTTTAACCCAAACATCTATTCATCTGGCCGGGTCTGCTTGTGAGTTGAGCCCCTCGGAGTTGTCCATAATGCCTACTAACCGAGCGGGGATGATGTAGATCGATTCTAGGGTACAGATACACATTCCTATACATATCAACTGCTTGAGCCTGGCTGACAGGCATCTTTGTAGAACCTGGCGAGGCGAGAGTGGGGAGCAATGGTCGTCTGCGCAGTGCTTAGAGTCTCTTCTTATCTCGATTCAGAGCTTAATGTCGTCTAACCCCTACGAAAACGAACCCGGATATGAAGGCACACGATCTTCGAGTGATAAAGAGAACATGGAAGCTTACGTCTCCAAGGTAACAAGGGCCCAGCTATCCTTCTAGGTTTAAACCATTCTTGACCAGATCTCCAGATACACCATGAAACTCTCCGTCTTGCCGTCCTTGAGCCTCTTGAGGCATCTCTTAACATCTCACTTGAAGGGGATGCGGACTCGCTAGCTGATCCAACATCTGAAGGCGATGATAATATCATCTATGAGGATGGGAGGTCTTCCTTTGACCCGTTTTCGGATTTTCGCAAAAAGCGTTTCTTGTGGTATTATGAGCCCTACATGCAATCGCTTGTCGCTGCAGAGAAGAAACACTCTCGCAAAACCAAATTCCAGAGAATGCCTTTCGAGGGTGGCAACAATAGTATGGATGGTCATTTCGACTATCCGGAGTTAAGACGGCGGATGGCGGTGGTCAAGGACGCCATTCTTCGAGAAACACACGGTTGGGCTGTAGAAGGACAATTGGCCAAGAAGCAAGAATGGGGTATTGCAGCGAGTCTGCAACGACAGTACGAACAAATTGTTGAAAACCTCAAGCATCAGAACAACATTACGGTCGATCTATACCTTGATGAGGGGAACCCATTCATGTGGAGGCTCACGTACTTTGGACGACCCATGACGCAACTGGATGGTGGCATGTTCAAGGTCCTGATACACCTGAGTCCGCGATTTCCGGAAGAACAGCCCCGTGTGTTTCTCGAGGCATCGTCTTTCTTTCATATTCGTGTGTCCAAAGAGGGAGTTTTATGCTACGTTCCAAGGCGAACAGAGGAAATGCGCTATCACATCGAGGGGATTGTCGCATCTCTAGAAGAAGAACACCCACCCTATGACCCACGAACCACAGTTTGCCCCGAGGCAACCAAGTTGTTTTGGGGAACACCGGAAGATCGAAGGAAGTACAACCGAGAATTGCGACGATCAGTAGAGAGGACCGTGTAAGTTCCTATCCACATTGGCGAGTTCACGGACAGTCGTATTGACGAAAGGATACAGTGAAACATAGCACGTCTGAGCCTACATCAGCCTAGGTTAGTAAATTAGTAGAGGGCTCAACTAGAACGTTTCTATGCTGTGTCATGGGACAGATATCTTGGCTACAATGTTCTGGATTTCGGGCCTATACTTCCTCACTGCTACTTTATTCATTCTTTCCCAGATCTTCAAGCCGCTTTATCAGCAGAAAAGGGCAAGGGTCTATTCACCAGGGCTTCAGGTGTGCTGTAGCAGCTAAGAAGAATTGAAGAGGAGAGTTCCCATTCAATTAGTGCGTAGTAACCATTCAGATCTGCCTCCTTGCTGTAACCTTGATCAATTGTACGATAGTGGACGCAACGCCCACAAAGTTTGCAATCCAGCCCCGTCAGAAGACGAATATGTAGCCAGATCAGACATGAGATCTTTTCCTGGATGGTTGGACAATTAAAGTAGAACCAAATTGATATCTCGGTTCCATAAAGTGGAAACTCACGTGTGGCCTCTTTGCGGGGGGTCCGAGCTTTGACCCGGAGATTCTGTCCGGAGGCGGAAACCATCGTCGTCCCCCAAACCCGCAGGCCTCGCAATTTCTCCTGTTTATTATCTCTTCCCAACCACCGACCACGGATAGTTAGCTCTATATATATCACAGCTTACTGTCAGACTTCACAATGTCTACTCGACGTCCTACAATGGAACTGGGCACTGTCCTAGTGGTTGGTGGCTGCGGGTTCGTGGGTTGGCACATTGTTGATCAATTGCTCAATTTCCCTTCGGAGACAGACCCCAGTGCTGCTCTTCCCAAGCCCCAGAATGACCCTAGGTTCGTTTATCCCAAGCTAGGTGATCGATACCCTCGGTGCATCGCGAAAGTAGCAGTTGTCGACCTGCGAACGACCCACAACCGTCTCCCGGGAGCCGAGTATTATGATGGCGACATCACGTCCGAAGAGTCCATGTTGGCCGTTTTCCGCGCGGTCAAGCCCGACGTCGTTATCCACACCGCTACGCCCAACGTTTTGGAAGGGAACAAGCCCTTGTTGCGTAAGGTCAATGTTGACGGAACTAAAGTCTTGGTGGAAGTTGCGGGCGGTGCCCGTGGTGACTGGGGTGGAAAGTGCAAAGCTTTTGTATACACCAGCTCGAGCTCTGTCGTGCACGATACCCAAAGCGACCTCATTAACGTCACCGAAGAGTGGCCTCTCATCCGGGGGCCATTGCAACAAGAGTACTATTCAGAAACCAAGGTGAGTTATGTACCCCTATTGTTCGTATGGCAGGTGCTGACTGGGATTCACCCTGTTAGGCGGACGCCGAAGAACTCGTCTTGAAGTATAACCGCGCCTCTCCAACCTCGATGGTAACATGTGCCCTTCGCCCGGCTGGTATTTATGGTGAGAAGGATACGACCTTCACCTTCAAGGTCCTGGAACACTCAGCCAAAGCCTCCCCGACCGTCCTCCGCATGCAATTAGGCGAGAACAACAACTTGTTTGATTTCACGTACGTTGGAAACATTGCATACGCTCATACTTTGGCTGCATACCGCTTGCTTGCTACCTACTCTCGGTATGAATCTGGACAGGGCGCTCCCCTGGACCACGAGCGGGTTGACGGCGAAGCGTTCAATGTCACGAACGATTCCCCAGTCTACTTCTGGGACATGACACGTGCTGCCTGGGCACTGACTGGCAAGGTCGTGGAGCCTCACCAGGTGTGGGAGCTCCCCGAGGGCGTTCTGGGCCCTATTGGTGGAATTGCAGAGACGGTATTGGGACTTCTCGGCAAGACACCTCGTTTAACTAGAAGAACGGTTCGCTACTCATGTATGACTCGTTACTACTCATGCGACAAGGCCAAGTTCCGGCTCGGATATAGACCCGTTGTACCTGTGTACGAGGGTCTCGCTCGCGCAGTCGGGTATGTGGTGGAACAGGAGCGGGTGGCCGGTGAAAAGAAGGCATTGTGATCTCAGGCTAGAGTTTGATGGTTTTGGTACGGATGTATATGTTTATTAATGTAATATATAAGTAATTCCTCATCCCATATATAAGCGCGTCCTCCCTTACTAGTTATCCCTGTGGGATGGGCTCTTTAACAACTTCAGTGCTGACTGACCACAGGCAATTTTGAGCTGGCCATGAGACCAATACCGGCTCTCTAAACCTGCGAAACCCTTGAATTGCCGGGATCCCCCATTATCTTCCGAGTGAGATCAATTGAGGCGCCTCGTATACTCCATCAACGCTGTCTCCTTGGCTCCAGCCACGAATGGTACTCAACAAAGTGTTGTTAAAACGCCCCGAGCAAATTATCCTACTTCATTTCGACTCCTGCCGAATAATATGCCCGAAGCCGAAGATACGGTGTAGCATTTCCTCGATCTTTGGTCCGGCTGTTGAGTTAACGATGATCCACAAGCTTTCTCGACGCAATTTAGAATTCATTGATACTTGTCGGAAACGATACAATAGATGAGTATTGAAGCTTTGCCCCATTTCTTGATCGCAGGACCGAATGGGAGTCAAGTATTCCAGTTTCTAAAGCTGTCCCGTTTGCGCAAATCGATTTAATTTTTGTCAGATCGATTCCCATTATCCTGTCATACATTGCATCTTTGTTTGGTTTCACATTCTGCGCCATATCATCGGGTCTTTTACCCTCTCTGCTGGGATGCAAGCCGAAAGAAAAGTTAGGGTCCTCATGCGAAGAAGTGGAAACCAACATGGATGCGAACTATTCCTTGTGATATAGGTGATGATCGTCGCCATGGGGGTTAGTCGTCTGAACACCACAACATCATCAACGACGGGTTTAACAAGACCTGCAATACTTGAAAGAAAGGGGTCAAAGATACTTGCCTCTTGGCGTCAATTTGCAATGCGCTTTATGTCGTACTTCGCACCAGCTCGTTGGATATTTGGCTCTGAGAATGTGCTGACTGTCATTGTTCTCGCAGGTATAGGTGCCATCGGCATCTTGAACAACAGGCATAATGCTGGTAGGCGTGAGCATGCTATACCTGGTTTGATCGATACCGTTCATTGGTCGTCAGATATCACTGCATGGTGTAGGAACAGGTCATTACGAACTATTAGCAGTATGTAGTATATTCTTTCCTCATCCGGCAGGAACCAATAGATCCCCCACTGTGATACAACTGCATTCCCTCCGAAGGTACTGCGCCGTTCTTTCTGGTCATCTCGTCCATTGCTTTTATTTTTGAGGTTTTAAACATCCTTATTCTGTGGGCTTCAGTGGGATGCAGCGCTATGTCTAACGATCAGGATATGCCTCGGATGCCTCAAAGGCCCGTACTTCCGCCGAACGCCTGCTCTCATCAAACCTGCCTTGGTCGGATATCTTCTCTTACAGCCTGGATACTTGTCCTATTGGCCTTTGCTACCACTACTTTAGGAGCCTCGGGAGATTATCTCGACGACGCCGAGCAAGGTGTTCCGGGGCTAGATGCCTCCTTCGATTATGTGGTTGTCGGTGCCGGGGCCGGGGGTTTGACTCTGGCAGCTCGTCTAGCACAACACAGGTACAAAGTAGCTCTGGTTGAGGCGGGAGACTTCTACGAGTTCAAATATCCCCTAGCTGCGGTTCCAGGAGCCGGGATCATAGGAATAGGGAGCGATGTCAGCAGCTCGACACCCGTGGATTGGCGGTTTGTCGCCTACGCTGTTCCGGGAGCCAACTATCGCGACCTGCATTACCCCAGAGGCAAATGCCTGGGAGGATCGTAGGCTCACTTCTCCTCTCACTTTCGTCGGTGCATTTCCAGATGGCCAGCGCTGATTCTTCCGACCTTCTACAGGACAGGCTCCAACATGATGGTCTATCAAAGGTTCGAAACCACTCGCCGGGTAGTTCACGGAGGGCAGGACTGATATGAACTGGAGCTAGACCAAACAAGGAGGCAATGCAAAAATGGGCGGAGCTCGTTAACGACGATAGCTATACTTTCGACCGAGTTCTCCCTTTCTTCCAACGCACGGCTAACTTCACTCCGCCCAACAACGACGTACGGAACAGCAACGCCACAGCATCTTTCAACCAGGGTGCGTTTGATAAACGGGGCGAGCCTCTGCAAGTATCGTACCCTGAGTTCGCCGTACCGTTTTCGAGCTGGGTGAAACGCGGTATGGAGTCTGTAGGCATTCCCGAGATCCAGGATTTCAACAGCGGGTCACTACTGGGCGCTCAGTATTGTGCTCTGACTATTGACCCACACAAGAAGATCCGAAGTAGTTCAGAGGCCGCTTTCAAGAGCTCTCCAATACCACGCCTGATGACTCTTGCGGTGTACAAAAAGACAATGGCAAAGAGGATACTATTCAACATAGAGAGGCGAGCTACCGGAGTGGAGGTCAGAACGGGAGGTTCGAAATATATATTGCGAGCCACCCGGGAAGTCATCGTGTCAGCCGGGGCATTCCAGAGCCCTCAGCTCCTAATGGTATCTGGAATTGGCCCGGCCAATGAGCTGAAACAGCATGGTATTGAGATTATTGTTGACCTTCCAGGAGTAGGGAAAAACATGTGGGATCATGTTTTCTTCGGGCCTGCGTACCGAGTTGCGCTCCCAACAAGCACCAGGATCGCTACCGACTTTCTTTATTTGACTGAAGTGATCGTCCAGTATTTATCAAATCATAGTGGTCCACTGTCAACCCAGGGAATTGATTTCTTGGCTTTTGAGAAGGTCCCAATTGAACTGCGGTCCCACTTCTCCGAAGAGACGATCCGGGATCTATCTTGGTTCCCTCCTGGCTGGCCTGAGATAGAGGTACGCTCTCTGCACGGGAACTTTGAGCATGGCTAACGGTCAACCCCTTGAAGTACATCCCAGTGGCTCTCTATCTTGGGGACTTCTCTGATCCTATTAAGCACCAACCGCTAGATGGGGCACAGTATGCATCAATCGCTGGAGCATTAGTCGCACCCACATCTCGCGGCAATGTCACCATCATCTCAGACGACACAGATGACCTGCCGATAATCAATCCTAACTGGCTTGCAACCGACACAGACCAGGAAGTGGCTATTGCTATTTATCGAAGAAATCGCGAGATTTTCCATAGCGCGGGGATGGAACCGATTATTGACGGGGAAGAGTACTTTCCCGGTGAAGAATTGCAGACTGATTCGGAAATACTAGAAGTGGTCAAGGACACACTTATGACAGTCTACCATGCTTCATGCACGTGCAAGATGGGTGTTCGCAACGACTCGATGGCTGTGGTTGACAGCCAGGCACGAGTATTCGGAGTTGATGGATTGAGAGTGGTCGATGCCAGTGCGTTCCCAATTCTCCCTCCGGGACATCCTCAATCGGTAGTCTGTAAGCAGCCTATAGTTCCAGATTTTCCTCTGATTCGCTGCTGACAGTCTTAGACATGCTTGCCGAGAAGATCGCGTCGGACATCATATCCTGGGACTGAAATGGTTCGTTACGTGTTGCATTTGTCATTATCATTAAAGTAATTCTTAATAAGTGTCTCCGTTCCTACCATTCTTCGTGCGCTTATGTTCAGAACTGAAATTCATGTCTACTATTGTTAATATTAAACCTTCTTTCATGTTAATATCATTAAGAATTCGACGCGGAGGGAATTTCCTGCATCCTGTAAACTCAATGAAGCTATTTTCCACATGATCCTCCCAGAATCACTCTAAATAATTGGACCACCCATGCATCGCATAAACGCATAGGCAACCCCCAATGATGAAACCATGCTTCAACAACTCCACCCTCTACTCTAAATTCTGTAAGATACACTGACCTCCCCGGATGCAAACACACCACAAGAGTGGAAATAACTCCGACATGATCCAACCGCCTTCTAACTCCCATCGAAACTTGATCCTAAGATTGACTTTGGAAACTATGAGTTTCTACAAAAACATGTATATCTCAAAAGTCTGAACCTTGCCTTGATTACTGATTTATCTACCTAGTACTTACACCAAAAATACATTCCCCCCATACCAGAACGAAATCCAGAACCTTCCATTTCCATCCATACCCCGACATTATGACCATCGGATTGTCGTACTCTATCCACCCGCAACCCCCGCCCCCTTGCAAGGATAGATATACTATTATGATTCTTTCGTCTTCTCCACCCCCATGCTTATATTATATGTATATGTATATGTATATGTATATGTATATGTATATGTATATGCTGTGATAGGAGGGGTGGATGATGTGTATGATGTAGGGGGCTGGGGATGGCAAATCAAACATACATGCATACATACATATATACAAATGTACACAGGTGTGTGTATGTGTACGTGTATGTATGCACGTATGTATGCATGTGTAAAATGCATGAACGAAGATAGGATGGGATGGGGAGAATTGGGATATGGAATATTTATTGGAGGGGGGGCGGGAGGGGGACAAATCTCGCTAGGGTGTGTCCGTCTGTCTGTATGTATTTTGTATGTACTCGCTACAAGGAGGAGTTTTGGTCTATGTAGATACTTTGGATGGATGGTAAAAGTTGGAGTGGTTAGTGTGTTGTTTGGTGAATGGCTGCTGCTGCTATGGTAACTAGAACCTACCCATCTAGGTACTGTGGTATGGATGAATCTCTACGAAAAGTATATGGGGGTTACTCGAAGGGTCTAGATTCCTGTGTTTCGGTGTCGAAAGTAAATTTGGAGATTTCGGGATTTATCACAAGGTAGTAGTGACATGCCATTAAATAATTCCTTCCTGGATATATATACTAGGTAGGTCTAGGTCTAGATAGGCCACCCACTTGCTTCCATGTTATAGGAAAGATCATGCCATGATGAGAATGCATAGAGATTTAAAACCTGTATGTGTCTTTTACATGTAGGTCGAGGCTTGCTCTCGGAGATTTCCCCTAGGTTTGAATAGAGAGCTTTAATAGATATATATTTCTCCCCGTGCGAATCAATGATGAGGTGGTAGCGTTCCAGGTCCTTTGATTCCGTGGACCCCTTTCACTTTGTTTTTGATTTCCAATCCAGGTGTCTTGCTAGTTTGGGTAAGTACTAGGTACCTCGTGAAGGAATTCTTGGTTTTAGAGGCGGAGGTGGCTGAACGTTAACTTTGTTGGTTTGGTTTGACACATTTCAACATTGGGAGTAATGTGGTATGTGAGCAAGGTTAGTTACTGGAGTGACGGACTGACTGACTGACTTTTCTTCCCATGCTTCTCTGTCCGTATTTAGGTTGGGAACCCCCTGTCAGATGATCTCGTGGGATCGGCCAATGTCCGTCCATGCGGGTTTGTGTGCGGGGATGGGGGATATGGTTGATTAGCTTAAGGGAAGAATCGTGGTTAGTTAGTAGTACTTTTGTACACACTCTCTCATGCTTTTTGTTCATGTTTTGATGATCTCCACAGGCAAGTACATTTTTGGGTTTTATGGGTGTCGGCTTGTATCTAAGTGTTTTAGACAGGGAGGAATTTGTGTGCTGAGTGTGGGGAGGGAGTTCTCTCCACCACAGACAAAAAGCCGATCATTACTCTTGTTCCACCTTTGCTTTCATTCTCCTTGGCCCCTTCGGTAAGGATTGACAGTGGAATGCAGTCTCGGATGTGGGAGGTGCAGGAACTCCCATCGAATTTCATGTACGGAGGCCGGACGTGCCTACGCCACCTGCAGACGGTTGATCCTCACAGTTGAGGGTTGGAAGAGACTGGGACCCATGGGATTTGGATGTTTGGCTGACGGCGATAGAATCATTCGAGAATACGACCAGGGATATATGGTCGTCATTGGCTTGTAGCGATGTCCAGGGGTTGGGGGGTCCTCAGGGCGCCATTTTTGAGATTTTGAGGCATTGGAGATGAAACGGGGTGGATCGCCAGCCAGCGCATCATTGTCATCATCATGATATTATTGCGTAGCCATCAAGCAGAGCCAAAGGACGTTACTGGTCTGATAGGTGCAGCAGGAAAGCCAAAGGCGGACTGAAAAAGAAAAGAAGGGGGAGGGATCGTTTGCGGTCATGGATGGCTTTTGGTCTCCAGCCACGCCGTCAATCAGCTTTGGAACCTCCCCACCTGGATTACCCCGCAGAAACATCCACCTCAGCTTCTATCATATACCGATTGGTGTCATCCTCCATCGGGGAGTACGTGGAAGTAGTCCTGATGACGAACGATCCTGGTTTTACCATTTTCGGGTCATAATAGGAGTGACGTGAGTAGAAACAATACTACCTCAGTACCGATCTGACTGCTACCGGTCAATCTCCACACAACCGCAGAAGGGGTAACAAACCGATACTGCTAAGACGGTATCTAGTGGATTCCGCAACTGAGTCGAGCGAATGCTCGGAATCCAGGGCTGAGACTATGATCTGTCACGGGCCAATGGCCGACCGCAGCCCGGACTGTGTGTAACTGCAGACATGCAGACAGCCTGCCTCGCTTACCAGCGGAACCCCAGTCAGTTTAGCACCAGACGCACCACTCTTTGAGATGAATCCGGGCTTCTAGCGTCCCTGTCCCGGATCGAATGATGTATCTCATGGGGGGGCGAAGGGGAGTCAAGTGAGCAGCTTATCCGCTGGGTCTGGGGGAGCTTGATCCATGGTACAGCGGACGCAGATGGGAGACTCTTGCTCTTTGCCATTAATAACCATTATGGTTCATTACTTTCGGCCGGGCGGTGACGTTCTGGTGTAGTCGGTCGACCCTCTGAATTTATTGGCGCAAATGGGACATTGCAGGCAACACACGTACGCCGTCGGTCGCATTCACTTGTAGGGATCCTTTTCGGGGGTCCAAAACTTCGCACCAGTCCGGTCTACAGGGTTGTCTAGATTGCGATGGCTGCGAGTTAGGGAGCGAGGAGGGTCTTGTCGGTTGTACGAGAATTTCGAGAATAGAAACCCATCGAAGAGATGCGCCAAATGGAAATGGCCCGACCGTTGAGACGGGGGTCTGGAGTGGCGCTTCGTGGCTGCGGATACTGTCGTGTGTGGTTCGGAATGACCTCCCTCCAGAAGGGATCGAGACCGAAAGAAAAGAAGAAAAGCAATTCCGCTATCTAACCCACGGGAAAGTACGAGGTCTGCATGCTGCGTTGTCTCTGAATGGAGGGGGGGCCACTGATGGTTCCTGGGTGATGATGACGGCAATGATGTTAATGGCGACCGATAATCGTCAGGCCACAACAAATGAGAGAGCAGAGCATTCTGAGGAACGAGCCGTGTGCTGGGATTGTTCAATATCTCTCCAAGAATTTAATTTGTTAATTGAGGGGAGAGAGTGTGTGCAGCCTCCGACTAGGATTAATCACTGCCCCGTTGCTAGAGTGAAAGAGGGAGCTGGGGGATAGCCAGCGAATAACAGACGTATGGAAGCTGTCCGTCGGATAATGTCGACCATAATACCAGCAGATGATGGGCGGTTCTGGCGCAAGTTGAAGCAGCGCCTAGATAACTGTGCAGCTAGGTACAGTTAAGTGGATGTAGCTAGTGACTAGATGCCTATACCACGGGTGTGTCCGGGCATCCACCGCGGCTCCTCTGAGAGGTCTAGTGGATTGTGATCCATACCCTAATGCACCTTGCAGATGGAGCCACCACTCCTTAGCCAGCGGTAAGAAAAGCCGGACGGAAAGACTTTAAGACTAGATGCACCGTGTGTCAGAAGGGAAGGTGAGGTGAGAGGAGGGGGGAGAAGAAGAGACGAGAGAGAACTAAGAGACATTAATTGCATCTGCCGGTATGAGAGAGAGAGTAACTTCAGTCGCAGTGTATTTCTATAATACAAAGAGTAGACGGCAATAATTCTCAATGCGAATCATGTTATCTACTCCGTAGTAACTACAAAGTATTATTTTCCGGTTGGAACGGCTTCTGACTGTCTCTCCATCGGCAGTCAGAACCAGACGACCAACAACCTCCCCTGCCATTTGGAGCTACGATGGTTTCAGGCGGGAAACCTAAAACCCCATTTAGATTGTGTCCATTCAACCGAAGACTTTCTTGAGAAAGTGGTTTGGCTTTGAAAGTCAATCGTTGATCGAAAGTCTTGCGCTGCTGCTTTTCCCGCCAAATTTACCATACCATACGGTACCGCACAGATCCGCAGCCACCGTTGGCGCCGTGTGATTTGGCTGTGTGGGTACCAAACGGGTAAAGACTGGTAAACTTGCCGTTTCTCACGTTCTTCCCTCCATACAGGAATACAAGAATAGTACGACGGACTGACGCTGCCATTCCTGAGGTTGCTTGCTGGCTGGCTGGCTGCTGTCTTCCCACTCACTCACTCTGTGCCTTTTCCCATCTATTTTTCGCCCTTAATTCTTGTTCGTCTCTCCATTTCCCTCCCTGTTGGCTCTCTCCCCCTCCCGCTGCTCTGTTTATTCTATGTCGCTATTGCTCCAGAGCTGTCTGGTTTCACCAACCCCGACTATTCCCTGCTTCTAGTCGACCTCGTTCGGGGGTTGACTTGGTCAAATCGTCACCCTGGCTTCGCGTTGACGCTCCGTCGCGCCATTCCCCCGCATAGCCGCTTTTCCCTCTTCGTTTCGCTTTCCTCCTCTGTCCTTACGTGATCACGAGATCCTCCTCAACTTTTTTTTTTCTTTCTTTATCTACAGAAGAAAAGAAATACTTCGTTCTCTCTCTATCACCGGAAAAACAAATAGTGCACTTCCCCGTCTGTCTGTTGCGATAGGGTTGTTTGCTGTCTCGTTATCACCGTCCCCCGCTATCCAGCCATGGCCAATTAATACTGCGGATGCATTCATAACCAACAATCAAAGGGCACCCGCTCTGCCTGGCAGACGGTCCTGCTTGGAAGCTGCTCATTGTGATAATCTCTCTCGCTTGATCTCACACCCCACGCCTCTCAGTCATTCGACCTTCCCTCGTCCTCCCCTCGGGGTAGTCTTCGGTATTCCTGTCGGCTCCGCCTGTCCAGCATGGCGGGCAATGGCACAGATGATGCTCAGTACCTCGCTCCTCCGGCCGTGACTGCCCTACGGCAGGAAGCTCGGAGTATCGATCCGAGATTCTCTCCTACTCGCTCCCCCAGCGTCGATCACATGCGACAGGAACGTGAAGATCTCAAAGAGGCGGCGGAACAAACCTTGAACGTCATTGTTGATTTGGATCTCGATGGTCGCGTCAAATGGGTCAGTCCGTCATGGAAACAGGTCGTCGGCACGTCACCAGTATCAATAGAGGGGCGGATGATATCAGAGATCGTGGTCGGTAACCAGAATGTCTTTCACGATGCCATAGAGAGCATGAAGGAGGATGACTCCCGCAGTCGGTTTATTCGGTTTGCAGTTCATATGGGCCCCGATTCGGTCTTGAAGTACTCGCCAGAGCCACGACCTGCGGAGCCAGAGCATGAATCTACTGAAACGACCGACATTGCAGAAGAAGCACAAGCCCCTGCAGAGGAGGACCGCCATCATGACCTCCTTCATCTGGAAGGACAAGGTATCATGGTGTTTGATCGGACAGCCGATGGAGTTGGACATGTAGGTCACCGCAATTGTCGATGCTCGGTATACGTGATATAAACTGACCATTCTTTTCTACATTGGCAGACCATGTGGATGTTGCGACCGTTTACGGAACCGAGAGAAGTCACCATCGACCTTCCGCCTTTGCTAGTAGAATCCTTAGGCGTCGGAGCGGAAGTGTTGGCAAATTACTTGACCACTCTGGCTGAGGCTGCTGCTAGTGAGCCTGATCCTTCAAAGCATCCAGCTCCGAATCCGGTGTTGTGTCGTATCTGTGAGCGACAGATCACACCATGGTGGTTCGAGAAACATTCGGACCTCTGTCTACAGGAGCATCGGGCCGAGATGGATGTTCAAATAGCCCAGGAGAATCTCAACGAGCACCGTCATGCCATCGTCAAGGTGCTAGATGCTCTAGAGGCCAGACAAAGCAGGCCGTTGGTACTCGGAGAGAGCAATCCCCCGCCAACACCCCAGCCCGAGTACAAAGGCCTACCTATTGGGCCATCTCCAGTGGCCTCCGCACCGTCGTCAGGATCAGTCTCTAGTGCTAATTCCGCTCCTGGCACGCCACCTCGGTCCAGAGATCATTCGGCCTCAGGAATCGGGCATACTCGCGCTCGATCATTCGCAGTGCGGCGTCCGTTAGCTCGCGTCGTTGAGTTGATCCTTGACCTTTGTGACACTGCCCTAGAAATCAACATGCCTATGATCAAGGAATCTCGCGCGGACAACAGTGATGATTTTCGGACATTGTCACCGCAGTCCGAATCCCGTATCTCGCAGGTTCTCCAGTGGCAATCACCCAGCTCTAATACACTAGAGCAGGAGCAAGGACTCGCGGCCCTATGCAACGATACCGAACAAGTCGCCAAGGCAAAAGTTGATGCGGTTATCCGCCATAGAAGAATTGTGGAGTATGCTGAGCGGATTCGCATCGAATACACGATTCTGGTAGAGGAGTGCATCACCGCAGCTCTCACCAAAGCCGAGCGAATTGCGGCCGGTCAGCTCAGTGATTCGAGTGCCTCAGACGATGACGCCCCCCAAGACACCGAACCCGCCGTGACCACAAGTAGCCCGATAATACGAGGGAAGCGCGAATCTGCAGCACCGCCTACAATGTCCGCTTTAACGATGTCCATGCGCAATTCGCCCGACCGATTCCAGTCCAGCCACTCCTCCGAAGGCAAAGCCTCAGTCGCTGTGTCGACCGGGTCGAACAGCCCAATGGAATGTCCCACACCCCGATCACACAAGAGTATAGCCGGCGTTTTAGGGACATCGCAGCCATCCAGACGGGGTCTCTCTTTGATAGATTTGGATGCCGGCGATTACAGTGACAGCAGCGCTCCTTCTTCTGCTTTTCCCGGTGCCGTGCGAACCGACTCTCCCTCGTCCGACCGCAGTATGGACAGGAAGCGAAGGAGTCTGGTCCTTCCCGGTCTTTCTAGCTCACCTCGCAGACAACATTCTCCAGCCAGGATATCGGGGCCACATTCACCATTACGAATGCCCCGGGCTCGTCTTTCGAGCGGCGCCGATAGTCTACCGTCACCTATAGTATCTCCCTCTGCAAATGCGATCGAGCTGGCACAAATTCACTACCCTCATCATCGCCGTCAATCGTCCGCAACGTCTTCCGATATCGTAAAGCCGCCCGTTTCACCTCATCTATCTTCCGCCAGCCAGCCGCAGCCGAGACCAGCACCGCCGTCGATCAAGGACTTTGAGATCATCAAGCCAATCAGTAAAGGTGCCTTTGGAAGTGTTTACTTGGCCAAAAAGAAAGTAACTGGGGAATACTTTGCGATCAAGGTATTGAAAAAGGCGGATATGGTTGCGAAGAATCAGGTCACCAATGTCAAGGCGGAGCGTGCAATCATGATGTGGCAAGGCGAAAGCGATTTTGTTGCTAAGCTCTACTGGACATTTTCCAGCAAGGACTACCTTTACCTGGTAATGGAATATCTCAACGGCGGCGATTGTGCTTCGCTTGTCAAGGTTCTTGGTGGACTGCCCGAGGACTGGGCGAAAAAGTACATTGCGGAAGTAGTCCTTGGGGTCGAACACCTCCATGGTAGGGGTATCGTCCACCGTGATCTCAAACCAGACAATCTTCTTATCGATCAGACGGGTCATCTCAAGCTGACTGATTTCGGACTGTCACGCATGGGCCTTGTTGGGCGTCAAAAACGCGTCCTCAAGAGTATGAACAATGAGCCGGCACCCGATCTTCTGAAACAGGGCTCGTTTCCTCGAGCAACTTCAATCACATCTTCCAGATCAGCCTCTTTCGATTTCCAAGGCAGCGGATCCCCGGGATCCACTCCGTTGATCACGCCAGATGTTGCTAGTAGCATTCCCCAACCTTCTTACTTCAGCCTCAACCAAGGTGGCGGTCTCAGTCGGCAGACTTCACGTCGAGCGTCCGGCTACCGTAGCGATAGCGGCGCCAGCGAGAGTCTGAATGCCATGTTCCGCACTTTGTCTATCAACGAGGGTGGTGAAGCTTCCGGCACCATGCCTGTGCCCGTCCCTTCCTCGGGCCAACACCAACATCAACACCATCTACCTGAAGAGGAAAGCCAGAGCGAGGCGGGTGAGTCTCCTCACTTGTACCCGCTTCAACCCACGATGAGCAATTCCTTCTCCTACAGCACTCCTCCGCAACAGTCAATGATGCCTCCCCTAATGGCGCTGTTTGACCCCGAGGACCATAACAGGCGGTTTGTGGGTACGCCAGATTATCTGGCTCCGGAAACTATCAACGGTGTTGGTCAGGATGAAATGAGTGATTGGTGGTCCCTGGGCTGCATCATGTTTGAGTTCCTCTTCGGCTATCCGCCATTCAATGCTGGGACTCCAGATGAGGTTTTCGACAATATCCTTCACCGGAGGATCAACTGGCCGGACGAAGCCGAGGAATTCGCATCCCCCGAAGCTATTGATCTTGTGAACAGGCTCATGACTATGAATCCTCGTGAACGGATAGGGGCTAATGTGGATGAGAAATACCCAAATGGTGGAGCAGAGATCCGGAGCCACCCTTGGTTTTCTGATATCAACTGGGATACCTTACTGGAGGACAAAGCGCAGTTTGTACCCAACATTGAGAACCCCGAAGATACCGAATACTTCGACGCTCGTGGCGCCACGCTTCAGGCCTTTGCTGAAGAACTGGAAGATGCAAGCCCCCCTCAACCGCCGTTAACCACTGGCGCATACCCTCAAGATCGGCCTCATGATGCCTTGTTCAAAGTCCGCTCTCATGTTAATTCGATGAAGCGACCGTTGATGCCTCTACATATTCCACCTCATGTGCGTGAGTCACGTAGCAGGAGGCTGAGCGAGCCTACAATGGCCGACGATTTTGGCAACTTCGCCTTCAAGAATCTCCCTATGCTAGAGAAAGCCAACAAGGACGTGATTCAGAAACTACGCCAGGAGGCAATGCAAGCACAGCAACGTCACGTTCCTCCTACGGGCTCTCAGCAACAAGCACATGCGCAAGGCGGCCAGGATCAAGCCCCCACTCAGCCTGCACCACCCACTTTGGAGGGAAGCCCGTTACCGATGTCCCTACAGCGGACATTGTCTCAAACCAAAGGCAACAACCGACCTGCGTCCCCTTCAAGCATGAGCCAGGCGAATTCGTCTCCCAGTCGTCCTTCTCAACCCTCGTCTCCGCTTCTTGTTCAATTTAGCACCGGTCAAAATCACGAGCGCAGAAAAACGTCCGGGTCATCTTCTAATAACTCGCAGTCCGCCGGAAGCTCTCAGCCCGCAAGTGTCGACCCAAGCCGGATGGCGAGTCTTAAGCACGGTTCCGCCTCATCGTCTCCTATAAAACCCCCTCGGGCCACGGCTCACTCGCCTGACAAGACACCTTCTGGACAGCGCCACGGCAGTGCTCCTGCCTCACGAGCAAGATCACAGACCATCGGCTCCCAGGACGGGGACCTCTCATCATCCCTAGCCAAGGAAACATACGCCGTGGGCCACTACAAACGCCGCAGCCAATTATTCGATATTTCGCCCTCCTCGTCAGACAATGAGGATCCGCGTACGAAAGCTTTGCTTAAAGTACAGCGCCGCCGCCAAAGCTCGAGGCGCATGTCACAGATCAATTTCCCCGATGGGCCATTTTTCCGGCCTTTGGACGTGCTCATCTGTGAAGATCATCCTGTTTCTCGCATAGTGATGGAACGCCTCTTTGAGAAACTGCGCTGTCGTACCATTACGGCCGTCAACGGTAACGAAGCTATGCGTTACGCTCTCAGCGAGGTGCAGTTTGACATTATCATGACGGAGTTTAAACTACCCCAGGTAACC